CCACGCCCACTGATGAGCCCCCCAAGCCAACTGACGAGCCCCCCAAGCCCACCGATGAGCCCCCTAAGCCAACTGACGAGCCTCCCACACCCACCGATGAGCCTCCCAAGCCTACTGACGAGCCGGAGCCGACTGGTGCCCCTGAGCCAACCGGCGCCCCTGAGCCCCCGTCTGATGACGAGTAAGCGAAGGCGCACGTGTTGATGATTCTGGGATTTTGGGTGTGAGATCGTCTTTCTTCTGTGAAGGAACGACGTTGTGGAGAAGACTGGGGAGTAGGGAAGGCAGCGGTGTGGGTGGGATGGAGAGCTGGATTGTTGAGGCGGATGTGGATGTGGTTTAGGTGGTGGTGAGCCAGAGACGAGGGGCACTTTCGCTCGCTTTTTTGTTGATCTGTTGTCTTTCGGCTCTAGCTCTGTGTACTTTACCTTCTTGACGCTCGCTTTAGTGCGGACTGTTCTTGTGGAATTTCACCTTGTGTGTGCTGCTTAAATCATTATCTAAGTGTGCTCGTGACATCTGTTGAGTAGAATAGGCGTGAAGTTTTGGTGTTTGTGACTTGGAGAGAGTAAAGTGACTGGAGTTTGGGGGCGTTTCGGTTGTATGTAAACACCCGGATTTGGACTGTGCAACCCTCCGAAGACACAGCCTTCCCCGGGAGTACATCCAATGTTCTAATACAAGGTGTATTTACTTGAAAAGGCCTCTCTACCTACTACCCTTTGATATAGCTCCTTCCCCGTTTTTAGGCAGCCAGATGGAAGTGAGAGCACCCCGTGTCTCCAATCCCCTGAATCGTGGTGAAACGGGTTGTTGGCAGCTTTAAATGGCATCTGGCTGGTTGACACGGGCCAAGTTGACAGGATAGGGTTAAGCAGGAACCTGGGTGCTCTTAGCAGTTAGGTAACATTGCTTACGCTCTGTTTGATAGCCTAACCTCGTACAACTCGCCCGGTTACATTAATTGTTCGGAATCTCCACGGTAATTTCAACAAGGCTGCTGTAACGTTCCGTTTTAAACGTACCGGTCGACAAGTGTGTTTGTTGCAGGTGCAATAAGAGCAACGCTTGCCCTTGCCTGACAAGGGTCAGCGCAGGAAAAGGGAGAATTCGCCTCACCACGCAACCATCACCACTTCGAGATGGCCCCTTTGTAGCAACACTGGCTGATATATGGCTTAGCCATACGCACACATGGCGCGGATATAGATTACGCTCCGAAACGGCGTGCGGGGATCTCTCCCCTTTTCAACACACAATACTACATGATTCAAACCAACGTTTTGCTACGCACAACCACACCCTTCCAAGCAGACCAACGCGCTCAGTAAGGCCGCTCTTGAGAAGTCTCGCGAGGCCAAGAAGAAGGGGGAATCCCACTGCCTCTCCCTGTCAGCCCGCGCCCGCTACCAAGCGCTAGAATGCGGCTGCCATGTCGATGCCCAAGGGTCCTAAGCACGCCGCCCCGTGCCGGGCGTCCAGTGTGTGCGATCTGTCTTTGGGAGCCGAATCCACCTCCTCAAGGCGGGACCGACGCAGCGACCATCCAGCCTCCGAGTCGCCGTTCGTTGTCACCACTCCGCCCGCAACAGCTCCCGTGACGCCGCATCAGTTGTATAATCACCCCGAAAACCCTCAGTCGGGACCAGTATCACTGCTTAGCACGGTGAAGACGGAGGATGATATCGGGAGCAACTTATCTTGGACAGTAATAGTCGAAGATCTGTAGTAAGTTTATCAAACAGCTCTTTACCACGGCTTCCCTGGCTTTCCTTCTGGGGATAAACGCTCCCGAAGGCCGCCGTCCCGCCGCCATGGGGCCTTACAAAAGTAGCCCTCGGCCTGGCTACCTCTGCAAGTTGAACAACCCCTCAAAGGCAGCCTCTCCCTGACTTCAAAGAAGCCAGAGATTGCTGCAGCCCTCTGCCAAAAAAACTAGGAGCCGAGAAAGCGCTCCTCAACTCCCAGCGACCCCGCGCAGCCAAGCGCGCTGAGGACCCCGAGGCGTTCAAGCTGAAGCAGCGTCCCAGCAAGCGGGAGTGGACGGAGAGAAGAACAAGCAGAACCAGATATACGACGCCGAGGGTCTTTACGCAGGGACAGGGAGCGGTATATTGGGCGGTTAAGCAGCGGTGCGCGGGCGAGATCACGATAAGCGACCATTGGACTGGCGAGGTGCTCGGTTTATTGGAGAAGGGTAGTCCATATGAGGAGACTCGCCACAGGGATTTACCCAATCCACATCCTGAGGTCAATCCATTCCAGACCAGGGTTCACAATTGCCCCAGTATATCCATCTCGCCCTGTAGCCTCCAGTCTCTCTACTAGCCCTGTAATGTCATGCTCCTCCGGCCTTTCCTTGACCTGTTCGCCATTTTCTGCCCATTCCCTCACTCCTTTGGATTCCTTCAAATGGTCCACATGTACCTTTCTAGCCCTCCTAGGCCGCATCACCGACTGAATGATGTAATGTACGTCCACGGCGTAACCTGCTGCAACACCCGTATTGGCCCAATCCAGACCGGCTTAAACTTTGAATGATCTTTGTGCTCTTTGTCACGTACCTCCCAAACCCAACTACCGATCCCAAAACGTCTGAGTGATCTTAACTAGCCCTTCTTAACCGGACTCCTCCTCCTCTTGGCTGACCCGGAGCCTCCATCCGGCCCACGCTCGTCGGCCGGGTCCTCCTCCGCCACAACTAGCGACGCAGGGCCAACCTCCGACTGCATCAGACTCTCCACGCCCTGGGATAACCCTGTTTGCGATCCTGTCTGCGGAAGCGACGGGACATCAAAGTTCAAGTCGGTCGGCAGCTAGTCGATAGCCGAGCAAATCCATTTGAAATGCTTGGGCATCCAAATGTTGTAGACATTCTTCGTAAACCGGTATGCCGTCCATTTTTTTCTTGCCGTCGAGCGCTATGAGATCGAGAGAGTGGATAGGGTAACGGTAGTACTTGGTGTTTTCGCCGTCTATGACTGGATAATGGCCGTAAATCCGTACGCACTGGTTGTCGTGTGAGATCGAGATCGCAAGGATTTGTCGATGGATCTCGTCTTCGCGCTTAACGGCACGGAACAGCTCAACAACAGCTCGGACCGCAAGAGTCATACTATGGGCGTTCTGGCAGTCCGCGACTTGGAGCGAAGTAGTGCTACACTTCACCTCACAGGTTAGAAAAGGGAAGTACATGTAGAACGTAGCCATAAACAAGGACAAGTCTCCTGAAAAGGTATCGCCAACAAAGGGCGAGAGCTTAGCGGAGAAATGTCCTGGACCACCCTAGCCTCATTGCTGCCCCCGAGGGTTTCGCAAACGCTTTCAAAGATATCTTCATCGAAGAGGGATTCTTTTGGGACTGGCTGCTCGTTGTTGAGAAGCGTCTCACAAAGCCGCTTGCTCTGGTCCGTAATATCCAATGGTGACTTGCTCATGTAGGAGCCCTTCGTTTCCAAGAGGAACGGGTATTGAGGGGTTTGGTATGGGGCGCTCTTCTCTTCTCTCGGCCTCTGGTCGCTGGGAGTCTGATCGCTAAGTAAGAGTCATGGATAAACAAGCATTCGATCGCTCGCGCGAAAGAGCAGGCGAATATCTCTTCCGCGCAAAAAGACGCTCGAAAGCAGCCTCCTTTTTCGAGTTCTCTTCCGGTTTTGGCCAACACTGCTCGTTTGGCCAGCGCCCTTCCGTCACCCAGACGCCGACCGGGTCAATCTGAATCGCGCGTACGGGGGCGCCCGTGCTTGTAGGTGGCCCGCTACGGATCTGCATGGCGGCGGCAGCAGCAGCAGCAGCAGCAGCAGCAGTACTAGTAGAGGGTGTTCTTTGTCGCTTATTAGCCTTATGGGCTGGGTCAGAGCTGGGCTCGAGACCGGGATCGGCTGGTAGTGGTTGCTTGCGCTTGAGATCTCTGCTTTTGGTGCTACCCTGCATATGGATCAGGTTTGGGCCTGATTATTATTTCAAGGCAAATGGAGAGCACCATACCGGTTGAGACATGTTGCATGTATGCCGGCAGCGGCACACTTGGTGATAATACGACGAGGTGGGTGATGATCAGGGTTCCCAAGTTTAATCAAACTACGGTGATGTTGTGATCTGAGAGTTGGGATCCTTGCGTCGGTCGGGATGCCGCGTCGCAAGGGAAGCAAAGCGAACGTCTAACCAATCATTCAGCACCCGCAGCGAATCACCCGTACATGAGTGCTGCGACCGAATTCATACTGTGCTGGGATCGCGAACCAGACTGTGAACTAACCAGAATACCATATCGCCAATGGCCAAATCAGAGTGTCAACCATGTTTTCGATTGTATGGTCATTCATAAATTTAAAACCTTGTTTACAGGTGGTAATAGTTATATACGGGCTGATGGTACATGTACATATATTACACGGTACTTGATTTACGCAGTACTTGACACACTTCACAAAACTCGGGTTTGTTACCCTGAACTGAACTTCTGTACCCAACCTCACCACCAACATCATCCTCTCAGCTCCTGCTCCGCACCCCCCCCTTCCTAACACTGAAAAGTTAAACCCCCTCCCTCGCCCTCCGTCTCTCCTCCCCCAACAACCGATCCTCCTCCTCCAAACTCCGTCCATCCCCCAAAACCTGCCTCTCCACCAACCCCTCTCCTTCCCCAACCCACTTCATATGCTGCTCCCTCCTGACCCTACTCACCATCTGCGACTGGTAATACGCCAGCTTTTCCCTCGCTTCGGGGGTCTGCTCATCCTCTTCGAGCCCCTCCAGATACTTGCGCCGCCAGAACTGTTTGCGCCCCCAGCTGGTTTCGCGTCGTTCGCTCTGGTCGTCCCGTCTGGCTTGCACGCCGCCGCGTTTTATTTCGTAGCGGATTTTGTGGCTTTTCGGGGGGGTGAGTTTGCGGGTGATGCCGTGTTGGGCGTAGGCCATGGCGGAGGCGTAGGTATCTTCTGGTGGGTTAAGGTTAAGCGCGGCGCTGCCGCTGCCGCGTTGGCGGGGTTGGATGAGGGAGTCTTCGTTCCAGGGGCGGTGGTGCGGGAGGTAGCCTGTTTTGGTGCCGCGGATCCATTTGGATATCATGCGGGTGATGAAGCCGTGGAATTTGGGGATGCTGACGGCCGGTTTGCGCCAGCCTTCGAGGGTGAGTTTGAGTTCGGGGAAGGCGGCGCCCGCGCCGAAGAGGCCGATGACTGTGTGGCGGGAGCTGCCGTCGGGGAAGAAGGAGCCCTTGAGGGCGTTGAAGATGAGGCGTTTGGGTCGGCCGATCGGGGACCCGGCGGCGTCGAGGCTGGGGCGGACTTCGGGCATGCGGGCGCGGGCGAAGCCGACGGCGTGGATGGTGAAGTGGACGTCGTGGAGGTGGGGGATGATGGCTTTTTGCTCGCGGGCGATGCGGTCGGTTTCGGTGGAGGTGCTGGGGATCGGGGGGAGGAGGTGGCGGGTGATGTAGGCGCCGGCGTCGGATTTGTGGAGGCGGTCGCCGTCGAGCATGGTGCGGGCGAAGTTGGCGGCTTCGCCTTTGAGGCCGTCGTGGTCGTTGACGAGGATCTTGACGGTCGCGTCCATGCTGAGATCGGTCTCGTCGGGTTCTTCTAATTCCCAGTAGCGTTCCTCGGCCTCTTTGCTTGGGAGCCTGCTCGGGTACAGGTCCTTGTCGATTCGTAAACCGGCGTCCAACCCCATATCCATCCTCCGTTTGATGGCCTTGGCGGCGTCGGTATCGGCATTCCCGGGAGTCCAGGTGCCGGTGTATTTGAAGTGCTCGCTGCGGGTAAACCAGCGGATGCGCAGCTGGCGATGCGTCGTGGCCGCAAGCCGGAATAGGTTCCGGAGCACCAGCACGGCCGAGTGACCGTTCCCAATGACAGCAATAGTGCGGGGTTGGTTTCTGGGTAGGATCTTGGCGAGGCGGGTGGGCGAAAGGCTGGACTCGAGCCCGAGGATGGGCGTGGGCAGGGACGGTTCCGGCACGATCGGACGGGCGCCAGTGCAGAATACCACCATCGGGGCACGTATGCGAGTTCTCGGAGCGGCCGTGCCCACCCCGTCGGCGGCCTCTAGCGTGGCGGTCCACTGGTTCTCCTGCACTACGGGTTAGTCTCGGGTAGTCCAGTAGTGTTACATAGGGGGGGGAACGCATACCTTAGGATGGCGAACCAGCTTCTGCACAGTTCCATAGACTGCCCGAACGCGAGCGTGCACACGCAACCCATCCGTGAGCATGGTCAGCAGATCGCCAACGAGGTGCAGGGGGCAGGTCATTTCCGGGTCGAGTTCCGACATGGCCGTGAAAGCGTTGGGTTGCGGGGAGTTGTCAAGGATGGTCTGGAAGATGGAGGGGGTCGTGGCGAAGCGCAGGTATTCGCCCACCGAGGAGTAGCTTGGTCCCGTCAGTAATTTAAAAAAACAGTGTCGACAAAAGGTATGCATTGCAGAATAAAACTGACCTGGGCAGTTCCCGGTAATACCGGCCAATACTTCCCCCATCAAACGTCCTATCAACCCACCAGATTTTGGCATCAGGCATAGCACGCAGCAAATTCCCCACGGCAGAAATACCCGCCGGCCCCGCGCCAATGACAATGGCATCGACAGTCTGCTTGTTCTTCCACGGCGTATCAAACGGTGCCTTCTGATCTGGCCGCAGCGGGCGATCCCCAAGCTTCAGGAGAGACTCGCGTTGCGGAAGCTTCTGAGGCTTCACTGTACTCGATTCTGGGGGCCTCACATAGAGTCGCCCGGTGAGTTGCCGTCGCTCTTGTGTTGTGTCCGATTGTTGCGGGGGTTGTGAAGTCTGCGGTGGTGGGAGCCATTCCAGTTTTGGGCGTTGGGACGGCCGCGGTGATGGCAGCCATTCCAATAGTGGTTTTGGTTCTGGGGCCGAAGGTTCCTTAGGTGTCACGGCCGAAGGAGTCTTGGGTTTCTTGGCCTTGCTATTGCTTCGTGATGGTGGTTGTGGTTGTGTCTGTTCCGGTCCACCTAACAACTGTGCCTTGAGCCAAGCTTGCATCCGCTGGGACTCTTGCTCTTGCCGCGAGTAGTCTTTCTCGGGGGGTTGAGATTCCTGTGACGGCGCCGGTGACTGGGTTGGTTTTTTGGCGGGGTCCGACTCTCCGGACCCTTTAGGTTGTGCTTCTTGTGATCGTTCATGAGATTTCTGTGGCGGATCCGAGCCCCGGGAATCGTCGTGCTTTTGCCGCATTATGCCCCGCTGAGGGAGGAACGGCCGGACGCCATGGCTGGTGGCAGGCCGCAATAGCGGCCGAGTGATGGCGCGTGATTTGGCTATGGGCCCATTCCGGAGATGGTACATTGTCCCGCGAGTGGTGGTGACATCTCGGGTTGAATGTTTGATTTTTCAATGTGAAAACGGAGAATTGGATGTCGTCTGGAACGTTGGAAAATGGCCCACTTTGGTGGACGGCCGTGTTTTATTGGTTCAGAGTCGTGGGGCAAACTCAACGGACCCAGTGCTGTTTATTAGCAGCACACTGTAAATTTCCCGGGTTTAACGTTGACATGCTGCGTTCAAAACGGGGATACAGTGTGAGTTTCTCCATTCGAACAATATACCCAACGACACCCCATCTACACAGTAGGATATTACCGGTCGTCTGGTGCGACGTCTCACTCACATAATTATGGGTCTTTTTCCCAAATTCAAAGATTGAAAAAAGGAAAAGGTCAAGCTCAACCAAATAGTAAGTAAACTTAATGAAAACGGCCCACCTGAACTCGTTCAACTCACCCGACAAACCACCATCACCAAAAACCTGAAGGCCAAAACAACGCTGCAACAACAGATGTCACAACCTAAAACAGCAACACAAAATTCATCAAAATATACTCCAAATCAAACCTCCCCCCCTCCGGAAACAACCCAGGCACCTCGCACCCAAGACTCCCCCAATCCACCCGATCCATCCCCATCACCGCAAACACATACTCCCAATACGCCGGATACCAGCCCGCACACTCCCAGTCCAGCAGCGCCACCACGTGTCCGTCCCGCACGAGGATGTTGCGCGCCGCCAGGTCGGCGTGGGAGAATACGACGGGATAGTCTGTTGCGCCGAGGTGGGAGGTGATTTGTGTCCAGTAGGCGGATTGCTGCTCGATGCGTTGGGGTGGACGGACGAGCCAGTGGTGGAGGTCGGTGACGCTGGTGAAGGGGCCGCCTGAGCGGGGGGGGAGCGCGGGGAGGAGGGCGCCGAGGCCGTTGAGCCGGCCGATGGGGGGGTGGGCGGAAGGGGTTGGTGTTGGTTTTGGCAGGTTTGGCCCAGGCTCTGGCTCAGGCTTTGGCTCGGACTCCGATTCTGGCTCTGTCGCTGACCCTGTCTTAGGCTCTGGCCCTAGCTCTGATTCTGTCTTCAGCTCCGTCTCTACTACCCCCGTACTTGTCCCAACTGCCAGGCCAGCCTTCGACTTCGACTTCGCCCGAAACTCCTCCCACATCCCCCCCGTCAACCCCCTCAACTGCCCCACAAACCCCCTCAACTCCCCCAACACCCTCTCCCTCTCCTCCCCCGTCATAACCCCCCAAGCCTGCCTCAGCGTCTGCCCCTCCACGTACTCCATCGTCACCCGATCCCACGCACTCCCCCTCACCTCCGGCACGGGCACACTCGTGTAGGCCTTCACAAACCGCATCGCCACCGCCTCGTTCGGTTCCTCCACCCCCTCGCTTAGCCCGTGCCGCAGGGTCGTGATTTTGGTTACGGAGTTGCCGTCGTCGTGGCGGATGATGAAACGCCCGTAGCGCTGGTAGAGGACTTCGCCTTCTGGATAGGGCGCTGGGGTGCGGTCTGCGTGGGGTGGGTTGGTGGTGGAGTCGCCGAAGAGACGGCGGGTGCGGTTGGTGTGTTTGAGGGATTCCAGGAGGGCGCGGCCGCGGAGGGGTTGGCCGTCTGAGGGCTGGGGGGGTGGAGGTTGGAGGACGATGGGGGGGGTGGGCTGGGAGAGTTGGGCTGCCAGGGAGGGGCGGTGGGAGAGGAAGGTGCTGGCGAAATTGGGGGGGAGTGAGGAGGAGGGATTGTCGCGGGAGAGGGCACGCTCGGCGTACCAGGTGATTTGTTGGTGGGTTATGTTGATGCCGGCGCGGTACTCGCTGTTTATCCAGTTTTCGAGCTCGGTGTTTTGGGCGTCGGAGAGGGGGGATTGTTCCGGCTGCTCGGGCGGAGCAGATTCAGATGCCTCCATTTTAAGAGAATGTAGCGAGAAGACTGTGCTGCTGTTCTGCAACAGACTCACCGATTTTCAACGGTGAGTGTTGGCAAAGAAAAATGGGCAACTGATAGAGGGGTAAGTTGCCATACAGTGCCATCTTTGGAAATGTACACTGTATGCTGTTCGGAAATCTGCGGAAGGTGAAGTGCCGTCTCAAACTGTCGTTCAAGTTTAAGAGAATTCATAAGTAAGTGATATGAGGACTCATGATCAGTTCATTTTATTCTCATTCAAGCAAAGGTTTGGCTACTCTTTCGTGGTGCGACGGTATCACACGGTGTCTATCACAAACCAAGCACTGTACCTTCCATGACAGCCTGCTGCTGCCTTTGGCAACTGGCAAGCCCAGGAATAAAATCGACGACCCAGAAAACAGAGACTTGTCACAAACATGACTGGAAGGCCGCTCCTCGTCTTGGTCTTGCCACCTCTGCCATGCCCTACCAAGCGCTGTTCCGCATCATTCGCAGTTGTCCACGCTGAATCTGATGTTCCAAACGTGCCAATTCTTGGATGGCTATGTCTCCTATACTTACGACACTCTCAATTACCAGCTTCCGGCCTAACCGGCTTAGTTTTGATCTCCAGTCATTGCTTATAGTCAGACATGGCGGAACGGCACACCACATATCATTGTAAGTAATTACTCGACGTCTCAATCCCGACCGAAATTCTCCCCACGGGGTCACATGTCATTACATCTCACGAGCACCTTGGAAAGCAAATACTCATGACTTAGTAAGAACAATATGAAAGCAGACTCGTTACTAGCACCCTATTTCTAGCTTACGCTTTGGTTCCCCAAGCAAGGTGAGTCCTCACTCTAACCAGAAGGGTTAGGGTTGCATATGCAAGGCACCCATTGCAGAGAACTGCCGTTCCCCTCCAAGAACCCCCCTCTAGCTCATAATATTCCGCAACCTTATCCTATTCTCAGCTCGTGCGTGCAGGCAGCCCTGCCGCCGCGCATGGCAGAAACGTGGTTCCAGCAGGTCCAATAAGACCAAACCCAAGCCCTAAAAAGGGGTCAAAAACCAAAGTTGGTTCTGGCCACTAAGAGACCGCCACAGCAGTGTCAGGCGCCAAATGGCGCGCGCAAACCAGGGAAGGGCAAAATTTGCAGGGCGAGTCTGCGCTGTGCCAATACGGGGCGTACAAGTCGTGTGAGTGTGAGTCGTTGGGTCAAGCTTCGGGTGAGGTGGCGGATTAGGAAAGAACAGAAAATAATTATAAAAAGAGGTCTGTCCGGTGATGAAACACATTCCGCAAGTTTCATCATATCTCTGTGAAACTTATAACCTAGTTAGACCACCTCTCACAATTTCCAATTTACTACAAGTTTTAATTACCTGGTGTTCACTCACCCTCACACGTCTGTTTTCACTTAATTCACAATGGGCAACCAATCCTCCCGGCCGACCTCGCCGGCCCCTGATCTCAAAACACAAATAAAAACAAAAACCATAACCCTCCTCCCAACACCAACTCACACCTCATACACCTCAACACCCTACAACCCATACACACCCCCACCATCCACCCACCCAACAAAACACTCCTCTCCCGCTCCCGCACCTTACTCCCGCCTTCCTTCATTGTCACACTCGCACTCACAATCACACTCACCCTCCCCATCATCCTCTCCTGAACCCGAACTAGTCTTTTCCCAAGACCTTCTCCTTACGCCCGCATCTATCCCCCCGCCTGCGCCCACACCTCCACCGCGATCACCTTCTCTATCGGAATCACCGTCCCGTTTCGACACACCCGACTCGTCCTTCTCGCACGGCCAGTCCTATCCTGATGCGGACTATCCCGTTGCGGATGCGGACGTTGGCGCCAACACTGAGGCTGGCGCTACCACGATATGTGCGCACTGCTACCGGGCCATCTCGCCAGATGCGAGGAGCTCACGACCTCAACCACGACCACGGACATCACACGGTTCTCCTCAACGAACCGCAGCAGCAACAGGGAAGCTACTACCCTGCAAACACCTCCTCTGCGCCCGCTGTATCCGCAGCGCATTACTCTCCGCCCTAAACAGTGATCCATTCCTACCCGGGGGCTGTCCAGTCAGGGGGTGCGGGAAATTCACTTCTCAGTCAACCACCGTCATCGCCGAGCCAGAGCCATGCCCAGGCTCGGATCGGGACATCGTCATGGAGACAACAGAACTTCAGCCACAACGCGACACAGACATCATCATGACCACCACAGAACACGACCCAGAACCAGAACACGACAGAAACATGGCCTCAGAAACAAAGACCGATATCCCCCTCGCAACCCTCGGCCTGCTCGCAACACCCGCTGAGTTCCTCGCCTACCGCGCCAAGCTACGCGAGCGTCGCACGCCTGTGGGACAGAGAGTATACTGTCATGATCGGGAGGGGTGTGGGATGTTTTTGGTGGCGTCTAAGGAGACTGGATCTTCAACTTCGAGAGAGAAGAATACATGTGGAAAGGGGGGAGTTATAGTAGGGTGTCCGCGGTGTGGGGGACGGACGTGTGGACGGTGTGGGGGGAAGGCGCATATGTTTGGGGTTGCGGAGGGTGAGTTCTTTCTCTTCTTTCCTTTCCCCTTTTCTTTTTTGGGGGGTTGTCGAGACTGTTGAGGTACAGAGTCACTAACATCACAGGCAAACCGTTAACCCCCAAAACCGGACGGGTCCAAAAGCGGCGGTCAACATCAGGGAAAAGGAAGAACACAGGATAAAAGGAGGTGTCTTGTCCAGAGGTGTCTATATAAACCGGTGTAGGAAACGCTGAAATGTACAACCCTGTAAACCATGTACCACATATTTCCCTAAATCCAAATCCAAAAGTACACTTTTAATACCCAACCAATCCCAAATCCCTAACAAAACCGCGAATCCGGAAACAAACTCTCCCACGCAAACTCCTCGCCAAACCCATCAAAGTCAAACCCCTGAAACAGCCCGTCCGCCGCAAACCCATATTCACTCTCCCCAGGACTGCCTCCGAGATGTGCCAGGCCAATTCCATGCCCGCCAGCAACAGCAACAGCTGCTGCTTCTATATTGGTAGCAGCCATGTCCGCGGTACCACTTCTCGTAGCAGTAGCAGTAGCACCCATCGTAGTATCAACAACCCCCCTCCTCTCCCTCTCAACCTCCTCCGCCCGTCCCCTCAACACCCCCTCCGCAAAAACCAAACTATCCCTCGCCGCCTCCGCCACCGCCCTCTCCACCCCCCTTCCCCCTCCCTCTTTCCCAGCATCCCCCCCCTCCCCAGTACCCTGAAAATCATCCTCAACCCCCACCTGCGCAAGCACCATCTCCAAAAACATATGCGCCTTCACATTCGTCTCGGCCCCATTCCTCATCCTCCTCGCAGCCATCGCAATCAACCCTCTAATTTCCCCGGCCAGGGTGTCGCGTAAAGCTCGCGTGCGGTGCCAGGAGCCGTCGCGCCGCCGCTGGGTGTCGGCGTGGGCGAGGAGTTCGAGGGCGAGTGCGGCTGTGGCGCAGCGCATGCCGTCGCGGAACATGCCGCTGCCCGCGGTGGTGAGGAGGCGGGTGAAGGTGCTTGGGGGAGTATTGCTGGGGGGCAGGTTGCTGTTGCTGTTGCTGTTGCTGTTGCTGGGGGGGTTATTGGTGGTGTGTCTGGTGTGAGTGGGATCAGAGGCAGGGTTAGGGTTGGTGGTGGTTGAAGGGGGGTTTAAATCAGGGTCCTTGACAACCCCCGAGATGAGGGCTAGCGCGGCGTCGAGGCTGACTTTGCGCGAGTAGTAGAAGAGAGGATTGGTGCGGGCTTGGTGGCTGAAGGGGAAGTGGAGGGGAAGAAGGAACCGGCGGGTGAGGTAGTCGAGCATGTCGCGGTGGAAGGCATTGTTTCTCTTCTCCTGGTTAGCCATCCCCTGAGAAAAGAACACCGTATTCGCATGGATCGAGTCCGTCAGCTCCGCCGTCAGGGCCAACGCCCGCGAGTACGACCGGTCCTTGCGGAAGCTGTTCAGAAAATGCACAATCCGCAGCCTTGTCGGCAACGAGTCCAGCAGCGCTAGCTGCACCGACGTGTCGGTGACCACGTCCCGCGGGTGCGAGTACGGTTTAAGTGCCGTCCCCGCGGCCGCCGGTACCGTCGTCGTCGTCTCGTCCATCTCATCATCGTCCACATTCGCCGGCGCCTCGACATCAAACTCGTCCAGTGCAATCCGCGGCGGCATCCACGCGTCCAGCGACGACTGCACGATCAGGTCCAGAATGGTCGCCCACAGCCGCCGGCGTAACTCGGCCTGCAGTACACTCATGGCCGGCAGATGCCGCGGGTCGCGGTGCATGCCGATCTGCATCGCGCTGTGCAGCAGCGAGCCCATCGACACCCACACTGTGTCGCCGCCGATGGAAAAGATCTGCCGCGCCAGGATAGCGAGACAGTGTACCTGCAGGCCGGCGACGTCCAGCCGGTCTTTTTCCAGCGGGCCGGAGAGCCAGGTTTCGGCGGCGTAGATCCAGTGGTGCACTGCGTCGGTGTTGTGCTGGGCGGCGGCGGCTGCGGCTGTGGCGTGGGGGGAGTGGTGGATGCTGGAGCCGATGCCGACGACGAGGAAGATGGTGTGGCGCACTTCGTCGGTGACACCGGTTGGGTCGGCCCAGTACCGGTGGAAGTCGGCCCAGAAGGTTGGTGCGTGCAAGATACGATGGGTAGATTCGAAGGAGGCGAAGTACGCCCGTGCCATCTCCCCGGCTACGTCTCTACTAGGCAGTCCCGGATTCACCACCGCATTTTGACCAGTCATGCCCTGCTGCTGCCCCCTCGTAGGCCTCACAACCTTCATCCCCTTTGCCACAGCCTTACACCCCTGCAGCGCAGCGCTCGCCTCAGCAATCAGGGCAGCCGTCTCCGGCCGGCGGAACGTAGTGTTGGCGGTCGTCTTGCCCATGATCTCGGCATAGCAGCTAATGATAGTCGCAAACTCGGGCGAGTCGCCCACCCAGCGCGTGCGGCCCCATTCGCGCACCTTGAGCTCGGGCTGCCAGCCGTGGGACTGGTTGCTCAGGGGTCCGTCGTTGCGGTCGGGGCCGCGGTGGCAGTTGCTGGTGCGGTTGCAGTTGCTGGTGTCGTGGTGGTGGTCATGGTCATCGTCGAGATGAGGGTCCGGGTTTGCCTCCGGGTCACGGTCACGGTCGCGGTCACGGGTTGGCGCGACGCTGGCTGCTTCGGAGCGGGCGAGGAGGGTTGGACTGGCGTCGGTTGTTGTTGTGGTTGTTGTTGCTGCTGCTGTGGCCCCGGCAGCTCTGGCGGCGGCAAGAGATTCTTCGAGTTTCTGCACCCGGAGGAGCACGGCGCACATCTCGGAGGCGACTGATGCGACCGGGTCGGAAGTGGGGCCGCTCCGGGCCGAGGCCGAGGCCGGAGTCGGAGGTACTCCCGGAGCGGAGAGCGCCAAGTCCAAGCCCGAACGCGGGGGCGCCGCGTGGTACGGAGAAACTCCGGCCGCTGAGACACTCCCCACTCCAGCCTGTGCACCTTCCAACAACACCCCAGGGGCCCTCAACGGCGGAGCCGACAACGCGGCCATGCTCGGAGGCATCCCACTCCCATTACCGTTACCGTTACCATTCCCTACTTGACCTCCAGCAGCAGGTCTCGGCCGTGAAAAAGACCCCAACCTCGGACCCGAAGCAGCAGCAGCAACAACGACCGGGCCATCATCGGCAAAAGGCCGGTACACACACTCCGACTGGTTACGCACGCAGTGCGTGCACGGGCTATTGTGGTCGCACCGGATCTTGCGGCGCCGGCACTCGCGGCAGGAGAGAGCCGGCCTTCGACGGCGGCGAGTCATGGGGGGCATTGTTATTCCGGGGTTTGGCGGCATGGTGAACGGATGAGACAACCAACTATTGAATGGGAAAAGGAGGAAAAGTTGATGGAGGATGGGTGTGTTGCTGTGCTGTTAGGTCCGAGCGCGGGGATATCGGGTTTTTGTGGGGGGTGTGATTGGTTGGATGGAGATAAGGGATTGTTTCGGCCGAGTGGTATTTGTGGGCTGATCATTGCGATGTTCGATGTGCTGCTGGTGAAAACGTCAAAGGTATCAAACGGGGAAACAGTCAAAATCGTGAGAGATTTTTAACCCTTTCTCCACTATTCACGGTTTTGGAGAATAGAGCGAAGCTGAATTGCCAGAGCAGAAAACCCGACCATCGTCTCGAATGCCCAAAACAAGACAGTTTATGAACAATTACCCTTTTAGGACATCCTCCGCTCATCTCATTGGCTCGCGCGTAAAGTGCATCCCAAGCTTTCGGCCGAGAGAAGTGTGTCGGCCGCAACATCAACAACAACTTGACTTATTAAAGCGGCGGCCGATGTTGGTTTACGGTGCTTATGTTTACAGATATTCAGATGACTAGTGTATCCAGTGTTCAACAAGTAGTTGGCCCGAACAGTCAACACGGCCAACCCTAACCCAGTTACACCCAGTTCAACCCAACCCCAATCCTAAGAAATAACCCCGACAACAACCACCCTATACCCCCCGTGCCCCCCACCACAATGCCCCCCCTCCGCATCCTCATCAACGGCGGCGGCATAGCCGGCCACGCCCTAGCCTTCTGGCTCGCCCGCCTGCGCACCACCACCCCCAACGCCCCCTCCATCACCGTCGTCGAACGCTTCCCCAACCTCCGCGCAACCGGCCTCCAACTCGACCTCCGCAGCGCCGGTCTCGAAGTCCTCCGCCGCATGGGCCCAGAACGAGAGCAACTCTTCAAAGCCATGGCCGCCCCAGAGCAAGGAATGCAAGTCGTCGACAAAAAGGGCCGGCGACGGGCATTATTCCCCGTGCGCAAGGGGAGCGATAGCAAGAAACAAGCGCAGAGCCTGACCTCAGAATTCGAAATCATGCGCGGGGACTTGTGCCGCGGTCTCTACGACGCCACGCGCGCAGTCGCCTCTTCCACTCCCACTCCCGAGGGTAACCCCCCACCAGTACAATACCTCTACAACACCTCCATCGCCTCCCTCACCCCTCTTCCCACCGGCCAAGTCTCCGTCACCTTCACCACCCCCACCAACCCCGGCACGGACAACCACCCCCCACAAACCTACGACCTCGTCATCGGTGCCGACGGGCAATGGTCCCGCACCCGCCAGCTTCTGTTCCCCGACCTCCCCAACACCGGCATGCGTCGCATCCCAGGGTATCACATCGCTTATTTCACCATGCCCCGGCCGATGGCGGAGGGTGAGACTGAGTTTCTGGCTACGACATATGTAGCGCCGGGACGCAGGGGGTATATGGTGCGACGACACAGTCCGGATGAGGTGCAGGTTATGATGACTTATATGGCCCCGCCTAAAAACCACAACCGCGGCAAACCCAACCAGGCCGGGAAGTCAGCAAACCCCGACGAAAACGACGAGAAAAACGACCCCCTAACCCCCATCCCCCGCGGCGACACCCCCCTTGAAAAAGCCACCCTCACCCACCTCTTCACCGGCGCCGGGTGGATCACCCCCGACATACTCGCCGGCATGGAGAAGGCAGACGATTTCTATCTTGAACGGCTCGGGCTGGTACAGATACCCGCGTGGTCGCGGGGAAGGGTGGTGTTGGTTGGTGACGCGGCGTATTGTCCGACGGTGTTGTCGGGGATGGGGACGACGTGTGCGATGGTTGGGGCGTATGTTTTGGCGGGGGAGATTGGGGAATACATCCGCCGCGCTGCAGGGGATGGTAATGAGGAGGAAGGGGGGGATGGGCTGGAGAGAGCGCTGAAGCGGTATGAGGAGCGGTTTCGGCCGTTTGTGGAGGGTATGCAGGAGGGGATTGAGGAACGGGCTGAGGGGCAGTGGGCGATGACTGGGTCGGCGTTTGGGATTGGGGTGTTAAATTTGATGGTGGGGGTTGCGTCGCTGTTGAGGGTGAATGTGGCTGCTATGTTTGGGATTAGGGAGACTGTCAAGGGGTGGGAGTTGCCTGTGTATGAGGGGCTGTGGAGGGATTGAGGTTGATGTGAGGGTGGAAGGGTGTATGATTAAGATGTAAAATAGTAAGTGTAATCAGCTAGCTAAACTCTCAGCTCGGAGGCTAATGGTAGTTTTGTGTTAATCTACCTCACGCTGTCAATATCTTTTGGGCGGAGAAAGTACGTTGTAGATATCCTCCTCCGACTCTATCTGATTCGAAATAGGCCCTATACAGGCCAGGGCAGCCCTTATAAACACACTTGTTTTATCCTGATGAACAGGACTCGTGGAAAATGCGAAGTCGGTCCAGCCCGAGTACCCAAGCCGGCCATAATCCCGTGTAAGCCTGGAACTCATTTGGCTCATGAAATAGAGTTCGGGGTAATTTTACATCTCACGGCGCTAACACCGACGGCTTGGTAAGGAACGCGGCAAGTAATTTACATCGGCGTGTGGATGTAAAAAAGGTAGTTGAGTGTGAGCCCATTTTACCAGTTTCAATTCCCAAACATCGCTTATTATCGACTTATCTCGGTCTTTTGCTCTAATTTCAGCTCAGGCATCCGTGTCTTTCGTATGTACCATCATCGTATCTCCAAGTTCAGACCATGTATGAGGAATCAAGGATGTTCTTCGACATCAGCCAATGCTGGTGAAGAAGTCTCAGTTCTGTGTAGAAGGTTCAGGCAATAGCCTGACTGGCAATCACATCTAAAAACTATCAAAAGAAATACTCCTTTCTCTGAGGGATCTCGACGGTCGAAGCCAAGGACCACGAGGTTCGTGAGAGAAAGGGTTAGGGTTAGTAGTTAAGTATAATCCAAGTCGCATCTTGCCCTCAAGCGAGACAAGCGTAGGTAGCCACTTCGCGAATGAAACGTAGCTCGAATTACAAGCTTCGAGATGCATATTCCCCGGCTGTTTTTCCTGCAATCCTTCGCTGACTGCAATGTTTCAGATCAAGCGGTTTGAGATGATCATTCACCCATTCACCATTATCACATGCAAACCAAGCTCTGCAAGACCGCCCACAAGGACACCTGCAGGCCTGCGTCATGTTCGCGGGGCACCCCGCTGTCCGCAGCCTCTGACGCGCTCCAAAATTCCCACTAGCGACTAGGGTCCAGGTCCAGGGGTCCTGAGCCGACAAGTGCCGGCCCCCGTTTCCGTGACCGTCGTGCTTTGCACATGCCAGTTGCCGAGACGTTTCCGTTTCCACTTCTATGGCCGGGACAACGGCGCTGCATTCGACAACACCTCTGCTCCCCCTATCCGGTTTCTCGCGACGGCGATTCTCTCAATTGTTAACCCATCATCCAATGCGGTAGACACCGGATTTTCTATTTACTTTCCCTCTCCTCGCGAGCGCGCAGTGCACGAACCCGTCGCGCGTCTTGTTCCGTCCGTCGCATTTCTCCCGCGCCGAATTGCCGAGGCTCAATCATGTCGGCCGCTCTCGAGTCTCTCAAGGTGCGATTTCCTCGGGGATGCCATCGCAGCTAGCCAAAATACTATGGCCCGCCCAGAGGCTCTAAACCCCCATTCTGACCACACGACAGGCCGCGACCGAGCGCATCATCCTCGACCCGAAATACCACGACCTGCTCGCCATCCTCAAAGGCGCTCGCAATGGCGCCGTCTACGGCACCAAAGTGCGGTTCCCGCATGCGCTGGTGTATGGAATACCCACAACCTCTCGCCTCCTAGACCACTGGACTGATATGGAATATGCAGCATGATTATGCTTTTTCGCTCTGGAACGTATGTTGGCCCCCAAACCATACACACCCTATCCTCCCATCTCAGCCAACTAACACAGTACCCGCCCACCAGATTCCGAGAAAAGATATGGCTCATCTTCCGCGCGACACGCACCCACGCCCGTAACCTCGCCAAGTTTGCCGTCATCTACAAAGCCACCTGCGCGCTGCTCAGGCGCTTCGGTCAGACCCCGGGAAAAGAAGGTATGAATGACAACGACCCCCTCTCCCCAACCATACCCACACCCACTCACCATAACCCAACAATACCTAGGCCCCTACGACAGCTTCGTCGCCGGCCTTCTCGGCGGCTACATCGTCTTCGGCCAACGCTCCCCACGCTCCGGCAAAGTCTCCTCGGTCAGCCAACAAATCGTCATCTACATCTTCGCGCGCGTAGCCCTCGCACTCGCGCGACTCGCCGTCAAACCAGGCGTGGGCCTACCCATCGTATCGGCCAACGCCAACCGCAGCGCAACCATCAGCCACTACGCCTGGCCCGTGTTTGCTAGCGTCTCGTGGGCGATGGTCATGCACTTGTTCAAGTGGCATCCGGAGGATCTGCAGCCGAGTTTGAGGAGTAGTATGACGTATATTTATCGGGATTCGGATAGTTGGGATGGGTTGAGGACTTTTGCTTGGCATAATAAGTAGGGGGATAACCATCGTGGGATGGATGGGATGGGATTCAGGGAATAAACGGGTGGGGAGAGCAGAGGTTGCTTGGGGGATACGATACATACACTGGCGTTTGGGTGCTTTTTTTGGCTTTTTTGTTCTTTGGGGAGGCATGGTTTCCCTCAGCGTTGGTTTTGAGAGTCTTGGATATGGTTGCATACAACAGGTGTAGTTGTACACTATACATATTTGAGGTATGGGCTGTGCATTAGAGATAGGGCCGAGCTCGGGCGATGAAGCGGAAGCGAGAAAATACAGCGATACTGAGTATCGATGCGCATTTACTAGGACCGGTGCGTCTGCCGGCTCGTGCTGGTTCCCACATAAGATAAAGATCAAGTCTATCTCAAACCTTAAACTTCTACCAAGGACCATTTTGACGTACCTTATAGATACAGCCATCTAACGTGAAGGTAAACCTACTTTCAATTTCGTGTAGCCCTGCTCTGCCTAAATACAAAACTGGTGTGATACCACGTGCATGAGCACCTCCATGCCCAGTTGGGCATCGTTGGGAGCACTTGCCTCAACCAAGTCACGCACACCAGGTGTCCATCACACCTGCCGAAGCTGAACACTTCCACAATCCGGGGCAGGTACCCACGTGTATGATAAAATTCTGATTGTCTCAGGTAGAAAACTCAGTTGCCGCCTAGGGTAGGGACCCTAAGAACTCTATGTTTTGTTTCACGATTGCTTGATGTCTGCAGTCCGTATATCGACAGCAACCCCTTACTTAGTTTTGGCATGCCCGCTGGAGACCCTTTTCTTATTCTTCCGTTTCCCCTTATCCACGAGCTGATTTGCATGCTTCGGGTCAAATGTTTACCCCGGAAAGTACAACACATCCCCACGTCCAACCTCCACATCGTGGCATCCGTTGAGCTGGCCACACATCAAAGATCTGGGGCTTCGACGCTTCCAAGTGTCGGATCCCCATAGTTCGCGCCATGCTTGATGTCGTGGAGAACGATCAGATAGGCAAATCATGTGGTTTGTTGATGTCCTGGCTCAGGCAGGAGCCACTGTTGGGGTGCTGCGTTGAGCCACTGGAAACCCGGGCCAAATGGGATGTTAGGGTCGGTGTTGTTTCTTAGGCTCATCGCGAGATGATCCAACCCTCATTTGATGGGATGTCGGGCTTTTACAGGTGTTGATTCTCTCGTGGGATGAGCATCATGCTCAGCTGGTAAGTTGAAACTTCTCTAAACACACGGACACTGTCATTCTTACGTCAACCCGTCATCTGCACTAGATATTTAGCAACCCCGCGATGCACAAAGTTTAGTTTATTTTAACTCTTGGATATCCCCGTCACTCCTTTCTTTTCTTCGGGCTCCCTTACAAACCCGGTACCTCAATAATCCCCACCCCAATCTCACAACCATCCGACCCCTTAACCGTTAACCCGTCTCCCACACACCACACCCACCATGGAGACTCCCTGCACCGTCTGTGGCGGCCCAGTCCGCTTCTCCTCCTCTCTCCCCCTTCCCCCCATCTTCCCCTGCTCCCACGTCCACTGCCTCCCCTGCCTCCGCCTTAACTACACCCTCAGCAGCCAACCACAAAACAACCACCACCAGAAACACCTCTCCGACAGCCACGCCCAATACCCCCCACCCCTCCCCACCACCTTCCGCCCGGTCCAATGCTGTCCCGCCCAACGCATGCCCATCCCCCGTCTGCGCGCCCACCTCCGTCTCACATCCGCCGAAACAGCCGTCTACCGCGCCCGCCTCGCCGAATACGACACTCCCCCTGGAAGTCGACTATACTGTTCCGCACCAGCATGTGGCCGGTTTATTCCGCCTGCGCTGCAGGACTCGCGTGTGGGGAAGTGTAGACGGTGCTGGACGAGGACGTGTGTACGGTGTGGGGAGCAGGCGCATGCGGGGAGTTTGGTGGGGGAGTGTGCGGGTGTTGTTTCGGCGAAGACGGGGGGCTTAGGGGGTATTGAGAAGGCGGCGATGAAGCCGTGGAAGGAGGGTGTGGTGAGTGCTTCGACGGCGGCCACCGCTGCGGCGAAACGGAGGCGGTTAGAGACGGAAGGGGAGGAGGGGTTTAGGAGGATTGCGAAGAAGCTGGGTTGGTGAGTTGGTTTGAGGGTTACCTGTTTTCTTGTGATAGTATGCTTGTTGCTAATGCTCTCTGCTAGGAAACCCTGCCCGTCATGTAAACGATGGGTGGAAAAAACGGCGGGGTGTAATCATATCCAGTAAGTTTTCTCTTAAAAGATACCCCTTTCCTTGTTGTGTCAGAGCTACAGTATCTAATACCAAACAGCTGCATGTGCGGGTGTGACTTCTGCTATCGCTGTGGGGAAGCGCCCTATTGGGACCATGGCTTGTGCCCCTCGTGAAATCGGGCTATGCATCATGAACCGGGGGATTCGGGGAATCCTCGTCTGTCGTTTGGTGTCTTATTTCTTTTGTTGGTCATGGCGAGGCGTCGTGGTTGGCTTTGTGGTCTTGCACGGCTGATAATGTACTCAGTCGACGGAATGTCGGATATAAGTCCATCCTTCTCATTTGTAGTATTATCGCGGGGCCTAAGGGCCGTGGCGGGCATGGAAGGCAAGGAAGTCCCTTGTTTGACCTGTACCGTAGACGTTGGGAAGGTCAATGACTTCGGTATTGACGGGACTGATATGATACTTGTGTACTTCAGGGGCTATGTGGTAGGTGCGGGCGTATCAATATTTGGGAATTGAAACACCAGCATCTCATTGTTCACAAGGAATAACTTCACGCCTAAGGCACCGTCAACTGAACATATTGCCTTACATCCCCTTATACCCCCCTCTTGAGCTAATGACAAACACGCCATTCCACCTCCTCCGCTCCCGGACTCAATCCCCATTACGTAAAACGAACACCGGACGCCATTCCCATGCCAGGTATTTTGTCTTCCGAGAAATCCCAGATGCCATCTACAACAAAACCAGAACCACTTTAAACGAGGAGAACAGCGTTGAGACAGCCGTCGTTCTGAAATAAGGTCAGTAAACAAGGTGGGAAATGTTCCGCTTGATGAAACTCACCTCAGGGTTGTTGGTAATTTGCGCGTAACGACCCCAGGCAACCTTACCCGAAGCCGTGACGATACCTAGATCGGAAACATTGACCTCGATACTGTGACCCCGTTAGTGAATACACTCCCAATATTCACGAACAACAGCCAAAACGTACATTGTACCCTTGGTCAAAACACCAAGTTGGGTGTCTACACATCTGATTAGTACAGTGGCAGGGAATGTCGGCAAACAAGGGTATCGTACAGCTAGATACAGGTTAGCTTAGCACTAGTTAGTTAGACATAGCACGACTCACAGAGGGTTGCTCGGGTTCTTCTTGACACCAAGGATAGGAAGCTGGACGGTAACGTTGAGAGTTGGGTGTGTGACGTTGGCCTTCTTGTAACGCAGACCCATTGGGCGGATGAAACCTAGAATCGTTAGCATCAGCCCGCCCGCGGTACAGCTGCTGGTCTTAAACTCACGCTCGTATTTGACCGGCCGTCTGGTAAAGTCGGGCCCGACAAATGTAGGCTGACAGATTCGTTAGTATAGCCGTCCAAAACTCCCGAGATCCAGTTGAGGCAACCTTTGTAACGACACGCTTCCACCCTGCATCATAGTTAGCATCAACCCCCAGCACAGCAGTCCAACAGAGAAAACATACCCTTCTTCTGAACCTTCTTGCCCGTCTTGACACTATTCACCCAGTCAGCCCTGAATCAACCCCATGATCCCCCCAAACCTCCCCAGCCACGCCCCAGCAGCACCAAAAACATACACTTTAAACAACTCCTCCTCACTAATCCCCCGCACCTTCGGAATAGGCACCGAAAACCTCGCCGCCTTCTCCGCCCTCTTATTCTTGATCTGCGAGCTCAGCGCCTTCGCCGTCGTCGGGTTCGCACGATCAAGCAAATACGCAGGGATAGCCTCGGACGGCTCCTTCTCGGCCGGCGCGCCCTTCACGTTGCGCTCCTCGTGTTGCTTGATGGCCTTGCGCATCTGGATCTTTTGCGCGTGTCGCTGTTTCGCGTACAGCTTGGCCCGCAGGCCGCGCAGGTTCTGCGCATTCTCGCTTTGCTTGTGGCCTTCGCGGGCGGCCTTTTTGCGTTGGCGTTCGTCGTGGTCGAGACGCTTGCCGTGAAGCTTGCGGTGGCGTTCTGTGGGGGGGTGTTAAATTCATGGTTGTTCGAGGCTGTCGGGGCCGCTGCGGGTGTCATCGGTGTGCGGGACGGGAGGTGCAAGCCGTCGATGGCGGCGCAGATGGGGGGAGGGAGGGGGTGTTCGTACCGATATACTCGTTCTGAGGCTGTAGTTGTACAAGAGATGCGGTTAACGAGGCGTACTTCCTGGTGTTGAGGGAGACGGGGGACAGGGAAGCTCACCATGCTTGTGGTCGGTGCCCTCGAAAGGGACTGTAACGCTCAAAATGGAATCAAAGACACGACGGCGCAAACTCTTGTTGACGTCTGTTGCCTCTCTGGCGATGGAGGTTCAATCGAGGCGCTGGCTCTTCAAAGACGTTCCTGAAGTTCCCCGATAAAAAACTCGATGGCCTTATCGGATTCGCAGGTGGCAGGTTTTTGGTGGGGCGGAAGACAGGCCAAGCGCCTATTGGGTGGCAGGTGCCAAGCCTCCCCTTCAAGTACCAGAGTACGCATGCTGCGACGTCCTCACACCCAAACCTCGAAGGCTCGAAACGGGCGTTTAGCTGACAAGTGGAGAGACGGCAGGTGCCGAATATAAGCGACGTCGGTGCAGCACCAGGGCTAAGGAGAGTAGCGAAGGAACAAAAGTCGAGAACTGTAAATGTCAATCTCGTGTCTACGCAACATTTGCACACCAAGACAAAAATGTGGAAAGGAGTTCACGGTAAAAAAACACCTTGCATTCAAGAACACGAGGTGACAACTAAATAGCTACGGTGAAATGCAAACGCTGATGGATGTGAATGGCATGTACCGCCGCCCGCCCATCCCTCTAGACTCCATGCTGATGCGAGACGTCGATGGAGGTCCCTCTAATGTAGTAGTGCAGTGACAACGCCGCCAACCAATCCGGCCCATCCTAGAGAGGAAAACAAAGTAGAAAGGTCTAGAAGAAATAAAATGCACGCTGATTACGCTGTTTCGTGCTCCCAAGGCGCGTACCCGACACGAGACCACCGAGTCCGGAACAGGCATAAGACAGTGCCGAGAATATTAGCGGCTTGCCTTGGACTTGGTGGTTTCAAGGAATCGACGACGCCTCTCTTCCTTCTCCCGTTTGAGTCGTTTCTCGAGCGCCTCCTGCTCCAAGTCCTCGCGTCTGGCTTGACGGTCGGCCAGTTGCTCCTCATCCTCAATATCCGTGAGCCCCGCCTCCATGTCCGACTCTTCGTCATAGGAATCGTAGCGGTATCGGGGACCACCCCCGCCGTATCCGGGCTGAGCCTCTTCCTCTTCATCGTCGACAATGAAATCGTCCATATCGTCCTCCTCGTCGTAGCCCCCTCTACGTGGAGCGGAAAGTGGACCGCCATACCGGGGCCGATCGCGGCGGGCGCCAGACTCAGGACGACCAGAAGCGCCAGACTTGGTTGATGCGGACGCACCCGGCCGAGGACGTGCAGTGCCCGTGTATCCGGTAGTCGCTGTGGCCGCTTTCTTGACCTTCTTTTCATCAGCCGGAGCCGATTTCCCAGGGGCCGTCGATACAGTAGATGCACCATTCCGTGCACCAGGGTGCCTTGGGGCGTCTCGCGAGAGTGGCCCGCGAGCGCTCGGGGGACTATTCCGGCCGTTCGCGCCCTTCCTCGCGCCTGATTTTGCCCTCCGAGCCTCTTCCGCCTTCATTTCCTTGCGCTCCTTCATTGTCATGTTCCGCTCCACTGTCTTGTGTTGGATCTTGCCCAGCGACTCTCTCTGTTCCGAGTTGGCTTTCGCTCTCGCCATAATCTCCGCATACGACCGCTTTTTCGGCGGGCCGGAGTCTGTTGGGCTCGGTCGACTAGGCACTGGCCGAGGAGGCGGCTGTTTGTTGCCATTTGTGGATTGTGCGCCATTCCCATTAACCCTGAGACTTGTCGTGCTTTTCTTCTCGGCCAACGTCTTTTTCTCGACTGTCGGTCGCGGAGTAGGGACGAGTTTGTTCTGCGAACCGATGAGCGGCCGGTTCGCGAGACGGGGGGAAGGCTTCGAATCAGTGCCGCCTGGTTTGCTTGTCCTTTCGGTAACCACATCGACGCGAGGCGCTTTTACGTCATGCGGGCGAAGCTCATCATCCGCTTTCCGTTTGAGGACAGTTGTGGCGGGGCGAGGGGTCGGCTTCGGCGCCGCCGATGGCGACGGCTTTTCGCCGGTTATCGACGCAAGTAAATCGAGAATCTGCGAAAAAGAAAACACGTCAGCATTCGAGCAAACGAAAAACTAACGACGGCTGTACATACCGGCATCGCGAGTGATGAGTTCTGGTCGCTTGAAAACGGTCCCTAGATGCCACGTTTTGCGTTGACCCTCCCCAGCCTCAGACCGAATATTGGCGCCCAGGCATCGAGAGTTGGGAAATTCAGCTTGCTGGCTTCTCACAGGCGTATCCCAGCCCCGGCTGGATTCGATCGGCTAGCTGTCTAAATGGCGAGATAGCGAGAAGAATGAGGATCGAAATGGCGAATAAATACTCGGCGCGGTCGGGGCGGTTTAGAGGACGGTTTGGAGAGGGCGATAAGGAAGTTTAGGTGTTTGGAGAGTGCTCTGAGCCTCAACGTTGGCCAGCAGCCTCTTTTTAACTTGTTGGAGGGGGGCGCATAGGACCCACATTTAATGAGCCAGCGCGCGCCTGGAGGCCGCGGAGGCCAGGTGCAACCGATTCCGGCAGAATGCCAAGAAAGCACGTGCCCACTCGAGGTTCGCGAAAATTAGGTCAGCAGATATGGAGATGTCACCGGGTCCGTGCGAGGTGCCCTAAACTCTCCGGCGTGAGTCAGGTGATTTGTGGGGCCGAAATTTGCGGGCTCACAATTGCACAATTCTGAAAATCAAAGAACTTCCTTGTGTCTGAACAACCCACCTAAGTACCGACCAGAACTAAGAAGAGTCTTTCTCCGCCCAACTTGCGGTTAAAATTGATTGACCTCTCTTGTTCTTCAAGCAACCTCAAAAGTAAGTTTTTCTACCGACACTTTTTCCACAACCACGCCAGCGGCCCAAAGTACCCGGCACTGACAAGACACCCCGCGCCAGATCAACCAAAATGAAGCACCTTGCTGCGTACCTCCTCCTCGGCCTGGGTGGCAACACCTCGCCCTCGGCCGCTGACATCAAGGCCGTCCTCGAGTCCGTCGGCATTGAGGCTGACGACGAGCGCCTTGACAAGCTCATCTCCGAGCTTGACGGCAAGGACATCAACGAGGTAGACAGATTTGCGCTCTTCGCCCACAGCATGCGGGAGCAAGAACATTCGCTAACATAGTGGCACAGCTCATCTCTGAGGGTTCTACCAAGCTCGCCTCCGTACCGTCGGGCGGTGCTGGCGGTGCTGCCGCTGCCGGCGGTGCTGCTGCTGGTGGTGCTGCCGAGGAGGCCCCCAAGGAGGAGGCCAAGGAGGAGGGTATGTGGTTATCCGTCAATTTTACGCCACCGACAATATGTGCTAACCCATGCCGCAGAGAAGGAGGAGTCCGACGACGACATGGGCTTCGGTCTCTTCGACTAAACGCCTCACCACAATCGCAACAACAAAAACGATGCCGTGGTCATTTCCGAAGTGGCCGAGTCACCTTTGCGTCTTCTTCCAACGACTTTAAGAAGACTGTTGGACCCGTGTCGAGTGAGTCCAGGGTTAACCGGGATTTCTCTGTCGCCACAAGGGATTATGAGATAGATGGAGCAATAGAGTGGCTGGTCTCTCCGGACGCTGTGACCCGTGGAATCCGTGATCTTCGCCTTTGGAATTCGTGACGTTCGCCTTGTCGACACTAAATAATTATCCGCAGGCGACCTGGGTAGGAGAGAGGGCCATCCAGCGTGGGCCCCGGTGTAGGTCTGATCAAACGGGATGGTTTGTATGGTCGCAACAAACGCATTCAGTCTTCAGCCGACATGCAACAGTAAACGACAAATGCCGAGGAACTGACCACAGTGAGTCTACCAGCTGTGCAGTCTGTCAGTAGACTTGCGCCGGATTTCACCGTCCTGCTTTTCGCAGGAAATGCGCCAAGCCTCGTCCCTTCGCAAGATTTTGGCCGACCGTGGGGATCGCGTGGAAAATCTTCCTGCAGGCACTCTCATTGGTCGGTTGCCCGGTCAACGGCTCGGACGCAGTCCCTTGCACGCAGGAACCGCAGCCTAAGCTCACGATTGGCCGCAAATTCGACGATAGTGGATCCGTTCCACTGTTTGTCCACAAAAGCCTCCCCCTCGAGGGAACCTGCTTCCCCAAACATCCCGGACAACAGACATCACCAACTTTTTTGGCGGGCAGGGACTTTCGACCTGAGCAAGATAAGTACTCTTTGCTTCAATTCGCTTTTATTTGCGAAAAACGATCGATTTTGTGTACATCCCTTCGATCTTGAGCGTTTTTTGGTTCAACCAATCGCAACTGCGCCGCAAGACAGTAATTTCGGCGCGTGGTGGGCAACGCGACGACACTCGACACCGACAAAACCACCATTAAACCGCCCGCAACCATGTCACCAACACCAGCCGAAAGAGCGGGACGCTATGCGCCCGTGGGGAGGAGGATGTCCACACGAATAGCAACCCGGGGCCATCAACAGGCGCAACAACAGCAACAATACCGCAATCTCGACGACAGCTCCGACGATGAGGTGCTCAGTCCTATGAAGCTGAGCGCCATCACCAAGGCCCTGCTCGGCGGCGGGCATGTATCGGATGCGGCCGCTGCGTCGAACAATGCGCGCCGGACCTCGATCCCCGCTCCGGCCAAGGGAACAACCGACAATGCGTCAGCCCCAAAGTCGCCTACACCGTCTAGTAGACCCCGCCCGCGCGATGGCGCCAGGAGAAGCTCGATTCCCGCTCCGGCGGCGCAGGCTAGTGATCAAGGGTCGCCGGTGCCGGCGGCGGGCCGTGTAACCCGCCACTCACGGAGAGAAAGTAATCTTTCACCACCGCAACATCGATCGCCTGCAGGCAGCCGAGAGACCAGCCCGGCGCCTAGGAAACGGGTGGTCCGACTGCAGACCGCTACAGCTGCTAATGGCACGAGCGGGAGCCGCCGGAACAGCCTACGGAACTCGTTTTCGTCGTCGACCACGAGGAAACGGCCCGAGAGCGTGGAGCGTTCGAAATCCAGGACGGGCGGTTCGTCTCCGGTTGTTCCGCAAGACCACGCTGCGAAAACTCCCGTTGTGCCGGTCAGGACGGTTAGGATAGCGGTGGGCTCGTCCGGTCAGAAGCCGGCATCCAGCGCCTCGTCTGATGGGCGGTCGAAGTACAGCACCCGTTCGGCTGAGGGTGAGAGTCGTGGTGGTTCCGCTGCCGGCAATGCTGCCGCAGCGGTCGCCCCGCAGGCTTCGCTGAGGATCAAGCGGGTCGGCAAGACACCAGGCAGCTTTCTCTCCGGACCAGCCCGTCGTGGGCGCAGGAGACAAAGCGAGGAGGACGGTGAGGGCCAGTTCGATGGTGAGCCTTTTGGCTCGGGGCAAGAACCCGGCAGTCAGCAGCATGCTCAGTCCGGGAGGGAACGAGACGCAGAAGAAGATGCAGCAGCATCAGCGGCCGAATATCCAGACTTCGCCGCGTCTGGGAGCCCCGTGAGTTCTAAAGATTCCGCCAGGCTTGCGCTGCGGAAGCACAAGTCCACCTTTGCCACGCCGCTCAGCGAACGCAAGCCGGAGCACGAGCACCGGCCGCTGGCCTACCGCATCCCATCGCCGCGTGGTGCGCCCGAGTCGCCTAACTTTGACAAGGAAAACGACGCGCCGTCGGAGATCGAACCAGTCATTCCCGCGTCCATGCGAGCGCCCCTTGCTTCTATGGCTGCACCCGGTGGTGCCGGTCTCGCAAGCCAACGACCACCGTTGCAACCCGTCGCCTCCATCAACCCGCAGATGATGGCAGAACTCCGCCACCAACCGCAGGTGGTCCCCAATAACCACATCATTGCTGCGCGGGCCAACCAACGGGCTCCTGCACCACCGCCCCCACCCAAGATGTCCGTCGCGGAAACGGCCACGGCGGCTGCTGGTGCTTCGACTGCTTCGCAAGCGAGCAAGAAGCGGCAGTTCTTGCTGCGGGTGAACGGGAAGATGTACACGCGTATCGACTCGTTGGGCCGCGGCGGGTCGGGGAAAGTGTATCGTGTGTCGGCCGAGAACGGGAAGCTGCTGGCGCTCAAGCGGGTGTCGCTCGAGAACTTGGATGACAGGACTATCAAGGGGTATCATGGGGAGATTGATCTTTTGCAGCGGTTGACGGGTGTTAACCGCGTCATTCAGCTCATTGATCATGAGTTCAATGCCGAGAAGAAGATGCTCAGTATTGTAAGTGACCTACTTCCCAGTTCCGCTTCCTTGAGAGAAGGGAGTTTCTAACAGCCAACCACAGGTCCTAGAAGCCGGTGAACTCGACTTCAACACCTTCATGCGCAGCCGGCTCTCCGAAGACTGCCGGTTCGACCCAGTCTTCGTCCGATACTGGTGGAAAGAAATGGTCGAATGCGTACAATCCGTCCACCAAAAAGACATCATCCACACCGACCTCAAACCCGCCAACTTCGTCCTCGCCCAAGGCCGCCTCAAAGTCATCGACTTCGGCATCGCCAACGCCATCCAAACCGACATGACTGTCAACGTCCACCGCGACGCCCAAATCGGCACACCAAACTACATGTCCCCCGAATCCCTCATGGACTCCAAAGAATACGCCCTGACCTCTGGCGCCGGCGGCCAGATGCCCCATGCGTTGCCGTTACACCGACCGAAACACTTCAAACTCGGCAAGGCCAGCGATGTCTGGAGTTTGGGGTGTATCCTGTACCAGATGGTGTACGGTCAATGTCCCTTCGCCAAAGTCCCCACCATGATGGCCCGGGTGAACGCGATCAAGGACTGGAACCACACCATCGAGTTCCCGGAGGCCACCGAGCACGGCGTGCGTGTGCCGCCTAGTTTAATCCGCACGCTCAAACGCTGTCTCAGCCGTGATCAAACCTTGCGGCCGACGTGTGACGAGCTCCTGGCCCCGACCGATCCGTTTTTGTATCCTATCGAGCTGTCCTCCGCGGACGGTTCCGCTGTCAGTGGCAGTCATAATGGGGCTGTCGACATGGATAAAGCAATCCCCATCACCCCGGACCTGCTGCGCGATGTGGTCTGGGATGTGGCGCAGCGTGTGCGGCGCGGGGATGTGGTGGATGCGGAGGTCTTGCAGCTGTGGCCGACGGCGTACTGGGCTAGTTGCAAGAAGTCTTTGGCTGCTGGGCAGGGCCGGTCATGACGTCACTATCTATGACTTGACGGTTAACCTTGCTGGTTAGTTGGTTGTTGGTTTGGTTGTGGGAGTGATTGTTGATGTTGGGTAATGGCGTTGGACTTGAAAAACTGGAAAACTGCTTGGACAGGAAGCAGGACAGGACGGCTGTTGAACGTGGACGTGTAATGACACCGGAAGCAAGGAAAAGACCCCAAGACTTGCGCATTCTTATACCCCGGGGCTGGATGAGGGTGATTTATCTTTGTTTGTTTTCTTCTTTTGTATGTTCTTGTGGTGTTGTGTTGGAAGATTTATAATGAATGACCTGGCTGGCGAGGCGAGGCGAGGCGAGCTTGGAGTTTTAGACCCGGTCTAGGCGGTTTTCTGTCTTTTTTTCCTTTGTCTCGTGTCTTGTTAGTCCTCAGCTTGTGTAGTTCTCTTGGACACTGGCCGCGAGGCATGTGCAGAACTTGTAATGGCGATTGGTGTGGTTACTGATCATTCTGTTACTTTTCGTGAGACATGGTGTGTATGCTGTACTCGACGGTAGTTGTGCGTTGTCTCTCGGTAGTTTTCCTTCTGTTACTTTGGCGCAGTCTATGCCGTAGGTAATGCCGAATTGGTCAACTCTCTTCCCTGTCGTCGAGGGTTTCAGGAGATCACGTATATTCTGGCGATGGCTTGAACGCCCAAAGTGGATTCTTCGCGTCCCGGGCAATTGAGTTTGTATGGAGGGAGTGCGGTGGGTAAAAGTTGATCATCCCGTAAGCAAAATGGCTTAACTTTGTCGGCTAACGGTCATTCTGACATTTTATTCGTGTTTGTGCACGCCTTCGCCGGGCGAATATTGGACCTGGTTCAGAGCCAAAGTGCCGTGCTCTACGAATGAGCTTGGAACTGACTGCTGCCGCGGCTCTGTCTTGAATAACTGTCTCAACATAGAATCCCGGTGTGTTACAGCTGTTAATAACACCAACAATGAACTGCCACAAGCAGCAGCATCGGACATATAAATAACAACGTATGTTTACAGACGTCAAATATGATACATTCCATTCAACGGCTTATTCATCTTACAACCGATGACTCATGCCCGTCGACCCGACCGGGCCATTTTGCCTAGCATACCATCCCTCTTCTCCCCAGGAGCATACAAGAATCCGGCGAACTCAGTCGATCCCTAAACTATAGCCCCCTCCAGCCCCTCTCAGTCTTCCCCCCCTTATATCCATCCATCCTCTTAAACGTTTGTCCTCCTATAGATCCTCCACCTCCCTCCTAACACTCAACTCACTAACCCTCAAAACCGTATACCGATGTTTACTAAACACCCTCTTCATCCTCCTACACCGTCTCTTCTTCTTAACCATAACCCTCATCGGCTCCGCCTCCGTCCCGACCACCGTCGCGCGGCACGCAAACAACCTTTCATCCACATAGGGCGCGCCCTGCAGCGTCAAGTCCCGACTGCCCAGCTCGCTGGCACGGTTGAGACGTAACACATCGCCCGGTGAGACCCCTGGCATCAGGAAGGGGAGGCGGATGGTGTCGCCTTGGGTCACGAGGTAGCGCTTGCCGTGGATTAGGACGGTGATGTAGTGGCCGGGTTGGGCGGCTAGGGCTGGGAGGAGGGCGCGGACGGAGGGGCTGAGGGGGGTCGGGGTTGTTGGCGGGGTGGGTGGTTGGGTGCGTGGGGAGCGAAGGGGGGAGGGGGTTTGGAGGATGGGGTTGAAGGGGGTGTTTGTTGTTGTGAGTGTGGTTGTGGATGTGGCTGTGGGTGTGGTTGTTGTGGTAGCAGCAACGGCGGCACCGGGGAGGGTCGGCTCGGGGTGGATGACCGGGTCGACGTGTTGCGTGGTTTGGTTGAAGAAGCGGATTGCTGTTGCTGGTGTTGTCTTTGCTGTCGTGATCGTTGTTGTGGGGGTTGGGCGCATGAGGCGCGCCATGGGAGCGCGCAGCTCCAGGACGGAGCGCAGCATTGGCCGGCTCATGCTCGTGATTGTGAATTGGCTTGCCTCGGTTGTTCGGCAGCGATGTGCTTCAGCCGTCGCGGCGCTGTTCGGCCGATGATCTGGATCCTAGTGTGGTGGTGGTCGAAAATTTGGTGGGTCGAATCGAGTCGCGGGCCGGAATTTTAGGTGGGGTCACCGAGGTGTATTAACCCTAACCCTGATCGCTCAACACCACGACGGCCACCCTCCAAGTCACCTTCATAGACAAAAGGCTGAGTTCAGTTCGCTACCATACACCTGCTAATCCCTCTGACTACATTTCAACCGCCGCCGTTCTCTAAGCCTCAGCACACACGCACAACACCGGATTGTCAAATCTTGGCCCCCTCCACGGCCGCAAACCCAGCAAACTGCTCCAGCGGCAACAACTGCATCGGCGCCGCAAACAAGCCCTCCTCCTTGCCCCTCTTCACCAAGTCCCCGAGCTTGGGGTTCTTCTTGTGCACCTTAAACGCCTCCGCGTCAGCATACCTATACACCGTGCGTTAGCTCGGCACTTTGCTACTGCATGATATGATACAGAACCGGGCTGAGTAAGAGGGTAAGAAAGAGAAGAAACATACACCTCCCACACAACAACCTTGGGCTCCTCCGGGCTCCCACTGCGGAACCACTGGTACTTGGTCACGCCGGGCTCGTTTTGCTTGACGGAGTCGATCAGGGCCTGGGCGAGTTCTTCGAGCTGGGGAGTCAGAGGGTCAGTGCCGTGAATACCGAATGTAGGTCAGGGCAGTAAGAGTTAGACATACTCGTGCCAGCTTCTCGGGCTTGGGGGACATGATGGCGAGGAGGTGGATAGCCATGGTTATGGGTTTCTGGGGTATGTGGGTTAAGTTTGGGTTATGGAATTGAAATTTAAGGGTAAATCGTGACGAGAAGGAAAATGGTTTGAACAGCCCAACTTCAAGTATGTATACACTATTGAAGAGGAACACTGATTACAGATCCGTCAACCTCGGGATACCACATTCCCGAAAGCCGGTGGGGAAAGCTTTCCATGTTGAGATATGGCTCCACTATGGCAGCTGAATAATCCATGCCATTGGAGGTCGACGAGAAGCAGGGGATAGAGATCCCCCGGTTCCAACGGTACATAGGTGGGTGAACCCCGAAGTTCTTGGGCCTTGTTGACGACTCAGTCGGTATAGTGCTTGATGCCGAGGGCGAGACATGAAATACATTGACTTTGTCTTGCGCTACGGGTTGTAAGTGGGGAGTGGTGAGGCAGGGTATAAACTATAGCGGACCTTTTCCCATCTCTTCAAGAACGACTGGAATTGGGAACAAAAAGTTCTCGGTGGAATCCTATTTATGGGAGAGATTCAGTTACAAGAAATGTTTGTTTAAGGTTTCGGATTATCTATCATGCTTGCCAATTTCATTGTTCAAAGTAAAAGAGCCTATTCCCAAATTAACCTATCTGTTCCTAACAATCTAATCTCAAAGATACCTTATCACCTTGATAAATTAACAAAGAACCATCCTTCTCCTTCGCCATCAGCGAGTGTCCGCTTAACTAAATCTAAGCCCAGTGTAGTCAGCAGCCCACCTAACCACCCACTTTGACCTCCGACCTGACTTACCTTGACCCTTTCTCTTCCCTCACACCTTTCTTTACCTTCCCATTAGTCAGTGACCTTACTTACCTTACCGTTTATTCCCACAAAACACATCCCAACCTTAAACTTAGCCCCATCCCTAGCCGCCCGCCCACGGCTTACTTTGTTAGTTTAAACTCACCTCGACTTACCTTCCCATCTCCCCCCGCCCCTATAAACAACGTAAAAATAAACAAAAATAACGAAAGACACACTTACTTACCTTCCTCCTCTCCCTCGCTCTCTGACGGAATACAGGGGGGAGAGGGAGAGACAGCTTTATAGAGAAAGATCCCTACCCCCCCCTCTCCACCATCGCCGCATCAGCCGACACCCACTCGACCGACTCCTCACTCGAGTGACTCGCCATGCGATGCAGTCTCTTGTTGACGCTATCGTACCAGTGTGATGTCTTTGTGGGGGTGTTGTTGTTATTGTTGTTGCTGGTATTATCATGACCATGACTGTTACCAGGGCCAGGGCTGGCGGTGGGATGGTTGTTCTTGTTGTTCTCCTGTTTGGTTAGGTGATAGGGGGTTTTTAATCTTAGGGGGGCTGGGACTGGCTTCGGGGCTAGGACTGGGGCTGGGGCTGGGGCTGGGGGTGATTTCGAGTTTGAAGGTCGGTTTGGGGGTGCGTTGGGTGGTGTGTTCTGACGAGTATTGCCACCCTGCCTGTGACTGCGGCTGTTGCTGTTGTTACTGCTGGTGTTGGTGTTGCAAATATGGTTGTGGTTGTTCAGTCTGCGGATGTGATCCTCCTGCTTGCCGTTCTGTCCACGGCGTTGGGTACCAGTACCAGTGCCAGTACCAATACCAGTGGTATTCACCACCGGAACCCTCGTAGCAAACATCGGGTTTGGCCGCGGCACCGGGATACCCGAGGACGACCCTGTGGCCACCTGCTGCTGCTGGCGTTGCAGATATCGCTGTTCTCGCCTTTGATACAACGGTGCTTGGGCTTTCGGTTTCTCTGCCACTGCCGGCGTGGCCCCCTTCACCTCAAACGGCCCTGCCCTGGGGACTTCCGTGTTCCCCCGCCAGATATGCACCGTCTCCTTCGGCCCCGGCCCCGTCTGCGGCGACGGCTTAGGCGTGAGCCGCAAAGGCGGCACGGCACACGACCCCCGTTTAAGCTCGTGAGAGCTGGGCACGTATGGGGATAACATGACGGGGACTTCCATGGCTGAGTTGTTTGAGCCCTGGGAGTTTGTCAGGGGCGAGACGGAGGGTGGTGGTTGGGTGGGCTGGGGTTTGGCATAGTGTCTTGTTTGGTGTCTTACTTGATGCTGTGTTTCTCTGGTTTGGGCTGGGCCCGGGTAGTGGGAGTTTTGGTTTTGGTTCTGGTAGGGTTCGACCGGGAGAAAATTCGGGTGTGGCGAGGGGTGGACGCGGGATAGGCGACTTACCACGGCGTTGTGGGTGGCGTGTGGGGGACTGGGAGTGCGGAATCGGACCTGCTGGCGGGCTGGGTTCCGGCGAAGAGAGGTGTGGGACGGCGGTCGTCGTTGATGTCGGCGGTCAGATCCTGATGAGCCGGGATTGCTGCGTCTGCCGTTGGGATTCTGGTTGTTTCCTCTTGGTGATGGTCGCCTTGGGGGCGAAGGTCTCGTTGGGGGTGAGTATCTTGGTGAGTTTCTAGAAGTGCTTCTCGGGGCGTGTCTCGTCTGGGATGTTCTCGACGAGTTTCCCGGGGAGTATCTCGATGAGGGATACCGTGAAGAGTTCCTCGGAGAATAGCTCCTCGGAGGAGAAGCCCCTGGAGCCTGATTCCCCCATGGGTTCTGAAAACGAAACCCGGTAGACTCAATCTCCGCAGCCCGCGCATTCATGGGACGCCGGGTAGACCCCCTCGAACCATCCTTCGGAGGCACCGGCGGTTTACCTCTGCTCCTCTGACCCCTTCCCGTCTGTCGCTCTCTCTCTCTTTCCCTCTCCAACTCCTGCTGTCTCTCCCTAGCCCGCTGCTGCACAGCAGCCTCCCACTGCTCGGCCTTATCCTTCGCAGCACGGTACTGCCGCGCAACCGCCCGGGCACGCTCACGCTTCTGCTGCTCCTGTCTCAGCTCCTCCCGCTCCTGCTTGCGCTGTCGGTCCATCAGCCGCTGCACGCAGGCCTGTGAGCACATGGTGGGCGCTTCCTTGTTGTTGCGGCGCGTGTCGGGGCATTGAGAGGTGCGTGTGTGAGTGCTGTGGTGGCGGAAGAGGGGGAAGTTGCAGAGCGTGGGCGCCGCTGCAACTCTGCGCTCGTGGTAGGCTGCGCAGCGGCGGGTGCGGCCTTCGAAGGTGTGGCCGCATTGGAAGTGTGTGACTTGGATGAGGCACATACTCTGACTTGTTGATTTGTGAGGTCTGAGTCTTGATGTAGTTGTGGATACTCTCGTTGCGTTCGGGTTATGTGGAGGTTGGCCAGCGGCCTGTGGTTGTAGCTGAACGACAAAACGTAGGCTGAGTGAGGTCTTTTATATATGTCTGCCTCTAGAATCAGCTTCTTTGTTTGAACAGTGTGGGTAGTAACAATGGCTTGGTTCCATACGATAAGCCGACTGAACAACACCGACTTTGTTGTCAGGGCCCGGTGTTTAAGAAAGAGAACCCTTCTTAATGGTTCTTGATTCCCTGTGTTTCGATGAACGGATAAATCTGAAGCCATCCCTTCCAGATGTTCACCTATTCCACCGGGGTTGTCTATTAGATCCTCGTTAATGCCGAGAGAATGAACAAAGATAGGATGGAACAGTCCCAAGTACGGCTGTCCGCGATCCATCGGATCCTGAAATAACTCGATATATTCCCAGCGCGCTCGAACAGACCGTCGTCTTGCGGCGGATGCCTATACTCCGGGAATACTCACAAGTGATGCCTCGTGTTTAGGGTAACTGTTCCGATGCCCAAATGGTTTTCGTGTTGACGCGAAGGGTTCTTGCCCTCCTCGATCAGCGGCCGGAACAATCGAACCCCCCCTCCCTCTGGCTGCCTCCAACGCCCAGGCAAAAGAAAACCAGAGCACCCGGAAGTCTTCCGGAAACTCTTCCGGGACAACGCCCAGAAAGTCACCCGTAAGTCTCCCCCATGGCCCCACGAAATGCCTCATGGCAATCCTCGCAAAATCTTCACGGATTTCAATGAAACAGAATCTTCACGGAGATCCTCATGGAAATCCGGGTAGAAAACCTCACGGAAAACTTCACGGAAAGTCGTGTAGAAATCCTCGTGGAATTCTTCCCGGAAATCTTCACGGAAATCCTCCAGGGAATCCTCATGGGAATCCTCATGAGAATCCTCAGAGACCCCAAAGAAACCCAGAAAGAAATCACAAAAGAAACCCTCTAAGAAACCCGATGAACATCCCCAAAACAATCTCCAAAAGAAACTTCACGAGAAACCTCACAAACCCGAAATAAATCTGAGAAGAAACCCAAAAGAGAACCTCAAAAGAAGTCTTTTGAGAAACCCCGAAACAAACCCAAACGGAAACCTGAACGGAAACCCGAAAGGAAACTGGATAAGAAATCTCGAGGCTAACACAAAGGAATATTATAGTCACACCAAGAATACCACGCCGAGACCAACACGACCATGGCCCTGCGCGCCGACATTCTCGTGCTGGTGGCCGACTACCTCCCCCCGGCCGACCTGTGTGCGTTGATGGCGACCTCGCGCCACCACTACAAGGTCCTTGCGACCTTCGAGCCCTACATCGCCACCAAGCATCTCAACCGCTTGGTGTGCGCCGCCCACGCCACCGACATGGCCCACTACCTCCCGGCCGACTGGCCGATCCTCTCCTCCCACCTCACCCTCACTCACCACCCCCGCGCCATCCTCTTCCAAGACCCAGCCACCTTCGCCTATACCCACGAACTCGAGCAGCGTGCGGCCTTCATCAACCAGCTCTTCGGTCCGGCGACCAACACCACCAGCACTCTCTCCCCGGCCTTCATCGGCCTCTACCAACGCCCGGAGCTGCACAACCTCACCCCGGCACAACAAACCCTCCTCACGACCCGGCTCAAGCAGACCTGTGCCCTCATCGACCGCATCGCCGACAGCGGAGCCATCCTCCGACACGCTTTCTGGTCCCTCTGCCAGGACCGAGCCGACGACAAGGACGAGGGCCTGCCGTTTCCCACCTTCACCACGCACGGCGACCTTCCCCGCGTGATCCACCATGCGCAAGCCGCTCTCCTCTCGGCGTTGACCCCGCTGGACCTGGCTTTGATCCAGCTCGTGACCGGCCACTGCTACATGATCTACTGGGTCCAGCTGCAACAGCTCCAACAGCAACAGCTCCAACAGCAGCAGGCGCACAGCGCGGTGCCGACAGCCGACGTCAACCCGGCCGATGCGGAGAACTTCTCGCCTTTCCCACACTGGCAGCACCAGCAGCAACGCTCACTATTTCCGACCAGCACAGAGCTGGATTGGTTCGACTTCCCGACCATGGTGCCTTACCACCCGCACATGTGGTCGTTCATCGACGTGCTCCTCCAGCACGGCACAGCAGCCATGCGGTTGATCGCGAAGCCTCAGCGCAACACCACCACCCCGTGCCCGTTGTTCACAGCCCTGTTGACAGCAGCACACACCACCCACTCAGCCTACCGCGCCACAACCCTCGCCCACTCGTTCACCAGCAGATCCTTCACAACCCCGCGCTACACCCAACCCCCCCTCTCCTCAGTCCTCCAAACCACCTTCCACACGGCCCTCAACCGCACCCTGACCACAACCCAACAACACACCCTCGCCTTAGCCCAGTACCCGCACCTCTCCCCCGATAGCCCAGCGCGCTATCGTCCCCAGCCGAAATGGATGTGGCTTATCCAGGAGTGGCTTCAGGACGGAGACGGCAGTAACAGTAACCTGGCGCAGCGTTCGGTTCTCCCTAACGAGTATGAAGGGTGGGTGGAAGATGGAGCAAGGGGGGGAAGTGGGTGGTTGTTTGAGTGGGCTGAGAAGCAGGATGTGAACATGGTTTTGGAGGGGGAGATGGATTCTTCGGATGAGGAGGATGGGGGTGATGAGATGGAGGTGGATGATACGGATTCGGATTCGGATTCAGATTCGGATGTTGGGGAGGGGATGGAGTTTGTGGGGTTTTCTTAGGGATTTCTCTCAAGGCTTTCGTTTAGAGTTTTCCTTTGGAGTTTTCCTCAGGGTTTCTGAAGGGTCGGAATCGGGATCGGGATCGGGATCGGGATCGGGATCGGGGAGGAAGGAAAGGCGTATCTGGCTGTGGCTGTTTGTTTGGCTGGATTAGCTGGACAAGAGGCATATTTGAGATGGCACAGGACAAAGCAACGCACAGAAGGGATGCAATACAAGGGGGAAAGGAGAGAAACAAAGAAAAGGAAACTGTCGGTACTTGTAACTTGTTTAGCATTTCTCGTCCCGGTCACCGGGCACCTACATAGCTGGGATCTGCCTGAACGAACTGCTCTTTAGTGGCTAGTCTATCAGGCCAAATGCATTTGTCTCTGCATCATCTTTCGTCCCAATAATCGAGTGAGTGAGGATAGATATTGGGCTCTGGTGTAATTGACCACGCCCATTAACCTGACAATAGTTCTCTCGATAGTCCTTCGATAATCCTTAAAAATAACCCCTCGATAGATGCTGCTGATCCCGATTCCGTAACGTAATTCTCGGCGGCCAGCGTGGTCGAGGCCATCGGCATACCCTGTGATGTCGGCCGATACTGCCCAGGTGAGTAGACTACCAAACCAATTGGAGTAACTCCCTTGCTCATGTAGCAATGAATCACCCCTCGGCGACTGCTGTCCTTCAGCACGGTGCTCCAAGATACAGCCGTATCGCCGCACAAAGCCGGACATCGGCACCAATACCTTATATATACACCCCATCTCCCACTCCTACTCACTCCGGCGCATCCCCAGCAGCCCCCGCACCCCCCGCAACGACCCTCTGCGCCGTCTGCGCAAACCTCAGCGCAACCTTAATATGCGACTGCCCCAGCGTAGCAATTTTCTCCGCCAGCGTCTTCTCCGCATCCAACGCCACAATATCATCCCCGCCACCAATACTCTGGCCATACACCAGCACATTCGGCACCGTGCGACGGCCCGTCATCTCGCCCAGCTTGGCCTGCATGCGCGGACCCAGCGGGTGCTGGTCCAGCTCGACCACAAACGGCGTGGGCTCGATGACGTATTTTTCTAGTAGCACGCCCTTGGCCCGTTTGGAGTAGGGGCAGTACGATTTGGAGAAGATGATGACTACATAGCCTCAGTTAGCAAAAAACCCCTAGCAAACTCAACCCGGGTAAGGACGAAAAGGAGAAAATTACCAGGCGACTTCTTCAAAATAGAATTCAACTCCCCCTCCACCTCCCTCTCCTCCTTGCTCGTCTCCTTCTCCTTCTTCCTCCCTTCTGTGTCGTCCCTCACCACCCCAGACCTCTGCCCCCCGGCCGAACTTCCCACCCCCACAACCTCCTCCGGCATCTCCGGTTTATTCGGCCCCTTCGCCTCCGCATTCTGCTTCGCCTTCTTCTCTGCCTCCCTCAACCTCTCCGCTCGCTGCTCCGACAACACCTGCTCATCTTCTTCGTCATCATCATCATCGTACCCGCCCCCCGCGGCGGTCCCTGGCCGGGATGGGCCGGACAGGGGTTTCTGCCCGGCCTGACCGGGCTGGTCTGCTGGTTGGTCGTGGGTGGTGGGGTTGCGGTTGTGGTTGGAGGAGGAAGAGGAGGAGGAGGATGCTAGATGGTGTTTGTCGATGGCGCTGACGGTTTTGGAGTAGAAATCTTGCACGGCGTGGGTGTCGGCGCGGCGGTGGGAGATGAAGAGGAGGGTTATTATGCCGGCCAGGACGAGATAGGTGATTGCGCGGGAGCGGCGGTGGGAGGGCATGGTGGGTGTATTATTGTCTGTATTCTGCACTGCTGTGACTGCTGGGCACTAACACAGGACTCGGGAATCGTGTTTAGCGTTCTTTCGGTTCGGTTTGGGAGGTTCGTTTCGAGGCGTTTGTGGCAATAGTCCTCGGTATTCAAAAGACAGGTCAATCTGGCAGCGGGCTGTGTCGTGTATGTGTTGGCATAGCACCGTGTTGGATCATTGGGGAACGTTGCGAGGGAGGTCGTTTGGTCCTTTTGTCAGGCCCTCCTCTCTTGCTGCGCTGCGCTTGTCTGTGTTGCATTGTTCGTGCCGCTTCCTAATGTGGAGACGGCGCCTGGTGTCGTGCAGGAAGACTGGTGCGCACAGTGTCGATTGGTAAGGCTATACGTCTGGGGAAGAGAGATGTCTGTTTTCTGTTATGGGGGACAAATTAAAGGCAGAGATAAACTAGCTAGAGATTAAGAATTTTATAGAGATGTCTATGCCACAATTTCAGCAGTTCCCTTTGAACTTCAGGCATTAAACCGTTGATCAATGCCGTCTACACACAGTGCCCTATCGCCTCTACACTGTCTTCCAAGGTCCCTGTGGAGATTAAAACCAAGCTTCTGCAGGGGAACGCAGGCGCAGATGAACTCCCGTCCAACAGCCGCTGCCGAGTCCAGACCACGTTCTCCTCCTTCCTCCTTCCCGATTTGCAAAGTCATGTTGGCTCGTCGAAGAGCACAACTTTCAGGCGTTGTGTCAGCAGCTGTTCTAATAGGCTGTTTGCGGACACAAGCTTGCCCAATCTTAAAGCGAGCACCAACGGCAGTATGTATGTACGCAGGAAATGCTGCAAGCCCCTTTTGGCCCCCACCAGTTTACACGACGCTCGATCTCAAGTCCAGCAACTCGACCCACTTTCCAGCAGCAGGTGATTTTGTATTAGTAAAGCACCATCACAGCCTTTTAACTTTACATAGTAAAGAGTACCATCAACAATCCCAAAGAGGCTTCGGGCCGCTTCCGACCAGACTGCCCTCGACAGCCCTCTGGTAAATGAGGATCCCATGGAGGCTCGGGCCGCTTCCGTCAAGGTTCACTTGGCCAGCTTAGAAATGCATCGTGCTTAGAAACATGGCAGTTTTCGTGGGACATATCACCGAAGGATCAACTTTTACCTAAGTGAAAGACATCTACTTAGATGTGTATAAGTATCTCGTCCCCGCTGCCGTAGATAGTAGTGTTTGACACCAAACCGTACTCACCACTGCATTCTACTCCATAACCCCCATCTTATACCCTCTCTACAATATACACCTACCCACCGTCAAAATGTCCCCCCAACTCTTCCCCTCCATCCCCCCCACCCACGCCGCCATAACCATCCTCCAACCCAACGCCCCCCTCCAACTCACCACCTTCCCCACCATCCCCCCTTCCCCCGGCGAAGCCCTCATCCGCGTCACCCACACCGCCTCCACCCCCCTCGACATGCACCGCGCCATCGGCGGCGTCCTCCTCGAAAACCACCTCCAGGCTCGCCGCCCTTTCATCATGGGCACCACGTTCGGGGGTATCGTCGCCGCTTTGGGGGGTGACGCCACCGACGGCTCGAAGGCCCATCTTAAGATCGGGGATGCCGTCTTTGGGTTCGTGCTAGATGGAGATGATGCAACCGCAGGCCACCAAGAATACGCGACCATCCCCCTCTGGCGCATCTCCCGCGTCCCAGATAACCTCCCCGGCGGGCTCTCCGCCGCAGTCACCGTTCCCTGTAACCTAGTCACAGCCTTCCACACCATCCAAGCCGATCTGGGTCTCGACCTGCCGTGGCCTATCCCGGCGGGACCGCCGAAGGAGGCTGAGGCCCTGGTGCTGGTGTGGGGTGCCGCGAGTAGTGTGGGGTTGTTTGTGGTGCAGGTGTTGAGGCATTGGGGGTATGGGAATGTGTTGGCTGTGGCGGCGGGGAAACATCATGGGATGTTGGAGGGGTTTGGGGCGAGGGCGTGTTTTGATTACCGGGAGGAGGGGGTGGTGGAGAGGATTGAGAAGTATGTGGCCGCAGAGGGGGGTGAGGGAGGACGGGGAGGACGGCCGCGGGTGCCGTATATTGTGGATTGTATTGGGTCGTTGGAGGGGACGTTGAGGCCGTTGGTCAAGATTGCGGAGCCGGGGAGTAAGGTGGCGGTTATGATGCCGGTGATTAATGTGCATGCGGAGGTGGACGGGCAGGAACCGGAGTATTCGATGGATGTGAATACGGTGTTTCCGGGCGAGTGGAGGGAGGGGGTCGAGTTGAAGGGGGTGAGGACGTTTTTCTATGAGAAGGTATGTTATGATACTCTGAATCTTACGACACACACAGCTGACTTATACGACTTACAGAACCAGTTCTTCAAGAACCACCTCCAGCCAACCATCATCCCGGCCCTGTTGGAGCAGGGCGTCATTCAGCCCAATCCGCAAACGATTGTCGAGGGCAAGACCATGTTGGAGCGCGCCCAGAAGGCGCTGGAGTTGCTCACACGTCGGGCTGTATCGGGGGAGAAGCTTGTGTGGAGGGTCGCCGATGATCTTTGAGGAGTTGATATTGGGTTAAAGCATGGCTTGGCTGAAGGGACTCAATCCCATGCTGATATGCATTGAGTTTCTATGTAGCATTCTGCGGTATCCGGAATTAGTGAGATAGTACATTCGATCGTCCAAAAATAACGGATTCCCCCAACTGAGAAAGTGTCCTGAGATCCGGGTTGAGAGCCGCGATGCTACCCCGGATGCTACCCCGGAGGGAGATGAACCGAGGCGTCCTCATGATTGGTGGTGGTCCCGGCTGTTTCGAAACGCACCATTCTGATGTCTCGCCATGAATATCCATGGGCATTTGCATGAAGCGACGGTAATCTTCCGAAATGTAGCTGCGCTAAATTGCCCGGAAAGGAGCTCATAAGGCCCACAACGACTTGTTTCCCGGATAAGTGCGGGTGTGCTGGGTTTAGTTAGTACTTCAGCTACTCTCTGTTGTATAAGTCCACTGCATCACCGACGAACTCGGAGTTTGCACCTCGGCCATCGCGCGACAACTATCCCTTGAACACGCCAAGGAAGCCACAGAGACAATCGATCCTGGCGATCAAAATGCTGCTCTCTCGCCTCGCAGCCGCCTTGTTTGTCTCCGGCATTGACGCCGCCCTGACATACAAAGGCGTCGACTGGTCTTCAGCAGCCGTCGAGGAGAAAAACGGCGTGTCGTACAAAAACGCCAATGGCAATGCCCAACCGCTCGAGGAGATCTTCAAAGCCAGCGGCGTCAACACTGTGCGCCAGAGGGTGTGGGTAAAGCCGAGCGACGGCGTGTACAACATGGACTACAACATTGCACTCGCAAAGAGAGCCAAGGCCGCGGGACTCGGCCTGTACATCGACTTCCACTACAGCGACACCTGGGCGGACCCTTCCCACCAGACCACGCCGTCTGGATGGCCGTCCAATGTGGGCGACCTCGCCTGGGAGCTGTACAACTACACGTTGGACGCCGCCAACCAATTCCAAAGCGCCGGGATCCAGCCCTCCATTATCTCCATCGGGAACGAGATCACCACAGGCCTGCTGTGGCCGTTGGGCAAGACGGATAACTGGGCCAACATTGCCCAGTTGCTGCACTCGGCGGCCTGGGGGATTAAGGACTCCAACTTGAACCCGAAGCCAAAGATTATGATCCATCTCGACAACGGCTGGTAAGCGATTTCCACCGCAGTGTTGAGAATTCAGACACCATAAAACCTGCGGGACAGTGAGCTGAAACCAAACAGGAACTGGGACACGCAAAAATGGTGGTACACCGAGCTCCTCAACCAAGGAACCTTCGAAACCTCCGACTTCGACATGATGGGCGTCTCCTTCTACCCCTTCTACTCCGAGTCCGCAAGCCTCAGCGCCCTCAAGACAAGCCTGAACAACATGGTTCAAACCTGGGGCAAAGACGTCGCCGTGGTCGAAACCAACTGGCCAACATCCTGCCCCAACCCCAAGTACAGCTTCCCCTCCGACGTGAAGAACATCCCGTTCTCGGCAGAAGGCCAGAAGACCTACGTCTCCAACGTCGCCAGCGCGGTGGCCTCGGTCAGCCGTGGAGTGGGGTTGTTCTACTGGGAACCTGCTTGGATCCATAATGCGAACTTGGGGTCGTCGTGTGCGGACAACACCATGTTTTCGCAGTCGGGTCAGGCGCTGTCAAGCTTGTCGGTGTTTGGGAGTATTTGAGAGGTTCTCATAAACAGAGGCCGATAGCTAGAAATCGAGCTGAAATGCAAGATGCCGGTGGTCAAAGGAAAGGAGTAAAGAGTCACGTATTTGACGTCTCAGGGTAGAAAGTTAAATACAAATTTGAGAATATCCTACTGTTACCACATTGGAAGGGATTGATAACCTGAAGTGCCGACGTTATAAGGAGCTTTCCGCAGCAAACATTAGATGTGTTCTGGTGATGAAAGAGGATGAAAGAGGAAGACAGGATGGACCCGCTTAACTCTCGTTAATTTAGCCACACATGTAAGCCACAACGCGGCGCCACTCACACCAATCACAGCACAGCAGGGCGGCAGAGGGCACAGAACCCTACGAATTTTTGTGAGTGGGGCCCCGACCGCCAGTAACCCCCATCCCATCCACGCAGCCTGCGAAACCGCCCGCAGCCAAATCCACCCCATCATCGCGACAATCTGAATTTCGCTCTTCGATACCAGGACTATCGAACAGCGAAATCCGTGATCACCCAAAACCGCAATCATGGCTGACACCGAATACGTACGTTGCCTCCTCACCCTTTTCCCTCTCTTCGCCCGCTCGATCGATCTCGGACGTCCCGCCATCTATCGCAATTGCCCGCCAACGATTCCTCGAGTCCGACTCGACAGACACCCTCAACAAATTGGCCGGGACATTTTGAGCTGACAACATGGATTACAGAACGCCGAGGAGGCTGCCGAGCTCAAGAAGAAGAGAGCCTTCCGCAAGTTTTCCTACCGCGGTGTTGACCTTGAGGCGTAGGTGCTGCCCTTTTTCTGTGTTCTGACAACCCACCACCACACCACTACCACTGATAAACCGAGGCGTCGAGAATTGGGAAATACACTGTGTGCAGGGAGGAGGATCGGAGGAAGAATGTTTCGGCATTGCGAAGGCTTTAGTGGTGTGGTGGACGCCAAAATTTTGCACATACCAATTGCAACACACACAGACCAAATCACTGACACGACGTCCAGTCTCCTCGACCTCGGATCCGACGAGCTCCGCGATGTCGTCCACGCGCGTGCGCGGAGAAAGATCAACCGCGGCCTGAAGCGCCGCCCGATGGGTCTGATCAAGAAGCTGCGCAAGGCCAAGCAGGAGGCCAAGCCCAACGAGAAGCCCGACCTCGTCAAGACACACCTCCGCGACATGATTGTCGTGCCCGAGATGATCGGCAGCGTCATCGGCATCTACTCCGGCAAGGAGTTCAACCAGGTGGAGATCAAGCCTGAGATGGTTGGCCACTACCTCGCTGAGTTCTCGATCTCATAGTACGTTCCCTTGCTTCTCTAATCAATACCCCCCCACTATCGAAGATATTCTTCTTCGTCTGTGTGCCAGGTAACTAACAACCCCCCAGCAAGCCCGTCAAGCACGGTCGGCCAGGTATCGGTGCGACGCACTCCTCTCGTTTCATTCCTCTGAAGTAAGGGCTCTGGGATATGGGTGGTTCTTGCATTCAGTCAATCATGGATCCGGCGAAACGGGGCACCACGGTTCTGCTCATGGGCGTTGTTTGAGGGTGGCAATGCCGGACGCTATCTTGGAAGGTTCAACGGGATAGTAGTTTACACAGAGAGAGCAATTCGAGTGCTGCATTCGGTCCCACGATGGGCGACATCAAAAAGAAGAGAGACCGAGAGACTGGGAAGGTGATGATGATAATGTTTGTATGGGAAAGCGGGCGCCATGGTTGTTAGTATGGTGCTTCGTCAAGCATGTCATGATTATACCCACGGTTGTGCTTATCGTGATTACGCCGTATTTTCATGATCCACATGTGTCGTGTCGCGGGCTGCCAATCCTAATCACCAGTCCGAGTGTTCTCTGTGACATATGGAAACGGTCATTTCTCATTTGCTCAAGTAGTCTGCGAGAGGATCGATCGATCCCGCTATGTTTTACATTAAACTACAAATCCCACTCAACCTCCTCTCCCGGCAAGTCTCGCACTCGCAATCAAACCCCTTCTCCCTCTTCCCATAATCCCACGTCAACTGCTCGCCCTCCCGGATCGCCCGGCGTGCCTGCACACAGATATGCCGCGGCTTGACAAAGTGTGCCAGGCCGGACGGCCCAATCCGCCAGGTACAATTCGGCCCGGTCTCCCCGTTCTTCTTCCGCTTGCTCGTTGTCGTCGCCGGCGGTGGTGTGCAGCAGTGGTTGATAAGCGAGCCTAGGAGGTATATGCACGCCTCGCCCGTAGAGGCGGCACCAACCATTGCGTTTCCGCTTGTCCCTCCTGCTGCCCCTCCTCCTGCTCCTCCTCCTCCACCACCACCACCACCTGATGCGCCGCCCGTGGTACTATTGCTCGCCGGCACCTGAAAGGCATAGTGCTTAAAGAAATCCAAACACGCCTCCCGCGTATCCGCCTCAGTCACCCCAGCACTTGGCACCTTCAACCCAGCCACAAACGCCTCATACTCCTCCCTCGACACCTCCGCCCCAGCATACTGCTTACCAACTCCCTCCCCTTTACCCACCGTCCCCCCAACCAAATTCATCCCCAACCCCCCACCCTCCCTCAAAACCCGCATAACCTCCTCATACCCCCCCGGCACAACCCCCGCAGCCCTTGCCGCCAACCCCGGGTACGCAGCAGCAACCACATCACGATGAGCCGCGAGCGCAGCACGGTACGAGGCGGCCTGGCTCTGGACGAGGGCGCGGTCGGCGGCGAATTTCTCGTTGAAGAGGGCTGTTAGGAGGGGGGCTTCGTGGAAGATGAACTCGTCGGCGGCGAGGTCGCGGGCGGCGAAGAGGCCGTAGCCGACTGCGGGGCTGACGAGGCGGAGGCGCACGGCTGGGAGGGGGGAGGGGGGTGCGCGGAGGAGGTGGGAGGGGGCCTGGGAACTGGGTTAGTTGACTTTTATTTCATTTTTATAATTTTTCTTGTTTTGTTTTCAAGCATGGATTGGGGCTAGGGAAGGGTGGGGGGAGGTTTTGTTTTTGTTTATCGCGATCCACATGGTTTCATCGGCGATGAGTTGGGGATTAAGAAAGGCGGGATGAAGGTGATGATGATAGGCGGGCCGCAGCTAAGAAGGCTGGTGGGCCGCGGAGGTTTGGTTTCTCTTGGCTCGGGGCTCGGGGTGGGTATCGGGGATGGAATGGATGGACGTGGGGCAATCGCCGGCTTTGGGAAAGAAACAACATGACCAATGAAGAAGATTTGGTAGGAAATAAAGGTTCGGGGTGATCGGAGGCTTCTTTTTCATTGGATTACCTGCCTTTGCTTGCTTGGAAGCATCAAATACTTCGTGGTTGGCGGATTTGCCCAGAGGGCTCGCCATCGTCGGAATGTCAACTTTGCTCGCGTGCGATGTCGGTTGGCGGCGGTCGGGTGTTTGGACTTCGCATTGGCGCGGAATTTACGTTCGTCGGAGGCTCGATTGAAGAGGCCAAAAGAACATGACAAAGAACGCTACGGCCGGTAATTGGAAGAGAAACAAGGTTACGCGACGTGGAAAATGGTGCTGGGTTCAGAATGGGAAAGAGCAATGGGGGTTGTGGAACTTGTGGTGGTGCCTTGCGTTGTCCGTAAGGTACGGTATGTATGTACAGGGAAAGCACGTGTACCACAACGGGCGGGTATTTGAGGGAACATAAGAAAAGACCAGGCTTGGGTGTTTATTCAGAAGACTCCTTGGCAGCCGCCGCCGCCGCTGCTGCTGCTAGCTTCTTTGCCTTGCGCTCCTCCTCAGTTTGGTACTTCCTCTGGTAGTGGCGGACCACGTTGTCGATGTTGGGGTAGTGCCCAGCCGGGACGTTGTAGGGCGAGCCGTGCGTAAAAACCCTGTCACGTGGTCAGCAAAGTTACACGAAATACCGCGTCTTTCGCAGGGGTGTTGTGATGAGCTGTCGGGCTGAGCCGCCCGGGGATGTCCGGCCTGAGGGATTCTTGGGGCGAAAAGCCGCATAGCGAGAGAAACAATGCTCTCCAGGCTAGCCCAGCAGAATACCAAGTGTGCGAGGCCGTCCAGGCAGGAGAAAGAGCAGGAGGGTGAACCCTTCTCTCCATCAAACCAACCGTGTAACAACCGTCCCATTCTTCAGCAAAGGCTCCCAGCTCCAAGCAGCCCCATTATCCACACCCTTCCTATCGACCCCTTCTAAAAGTTTGATAGTAGGAAGTAAGAAATCGCAACATACTCAGGGTAACTCAATTCGACGTTCTTGGGGCGCGGAACGGTGTTAAGCAAGTGCCTATCCTCGGCGGCCTGCTGGATCGCCGTCGCCAACAGCGCATTCCGCCTCTCCCACTCGCTCCCGTAGTCAGTCATCTTAGCAACCCATTTGTGGACAGCGGTCGGCTCGCCGTTCTCGCCGGGGCGCGAGAGCTTGTAGGTGATGGTCGCAATAGCAATCACGCCGAGGATGCCGGGAAGGAGGGGCTATTGCAAAATGTCAGCCCTCATCCATGACTCTTCCTTTCTCCCTCTCCTTCTTGTTGTTGTGGGCGACCCGTAGTAGCCATGCCCGGTGTGTGCTGGCAACGTACCCCCATAGGTTCCTCGACGTTGTGGGGAGCGTCATGGTGACCGTGGCTCGAGGCGTAAGACCGGGTGTTGCGGACACCGGAAGGCCGCACGGTCCTGGCAACCTGCGCTGCCCTTTGCCTCAGGGCGGACATGGTAGCGGTGGTGGTCGTCGTCGGACGCAATCGGGATTCAATCGCTGGAGGGGGGTTGAGGGATTGGCGAGGTCGACGACGCCGTCCACGGTCGGGTGCGGCGGCGGGTCCTCAAACACCCGAAACTGTCGTCCGCTGTATCGTATGTCGGAGCTCGAATCGCGGTGCCGCTTCTCGGGGACGGCGCTGCGGGAGGGTGGGAGAATGAGCGACTAACGGCCGTGAGCTTGTTCCTTGTTTCGTGATGCTGCTGCTGGAGCTTGGCGATCGAGGTGCCGCTTCTCACGTGATTTGAAGCTCTTGCTGACCCCACGGTCGGCGGCAAACGCGTTTACCAACAGCCGCGGATGGAGCGTTTGCTGGCCAATCAACAGGTGCCCCGTAAATTGCAAGTTGCCATTGAGTTTCGCGCCTCTTTCGTCGATTCAAGACTCCAGGGGAGGCGAACTCGGACTCAACAGTCAATCTGGCCTTTCTTTGGCATTCTGTGCCTGAGTCATTGCGCAAGCCAGTAGTGGGCCAACAGAACAAGCTAAACATTGAGAAAAGGCCATGTGTTTGGTCGGATCCCAGATGTTTTGATTTACTATTTGTTGACCGTTTGCGCTTCTCAGGCGTCTTACATCTCACAAGCCCAAGTCACTTATACACACACACTCGGGTATCACACTTTATTTCATCCCCCTTGCTTCTCACCACACGCCAACAATATGGCCAAATTCCGGTTAAAAATGCTCCCCCTCAACCTCCTAGCCCTCGTCAGCCTCATGGCATGGGGCACATCAGCATCCGCCGCAGAATCAGCGCCATCACCTTCACTATCAGCCGAGGTCGAGCTCATCTGCCACACCGACAACCCAGCCGAGTGCTACCCCAAACTCTTCCAAGCCACCGACGAGTTCCAAATCGTCCACCCAGATCAAGACTTACCACAAGGCCTCCACGTCCGACTTAACGTCAACACCGGCCTAAAAGAAGCCAAGATCAACGTCCCTGACGAACTCGACCCAGCGCTCGAAGGACTCCCCGTGGACTCCTCCATTGTCATTGTCGAGCGGGACCAACCCGACGAAGATCAAGACCAGGACCCCATCCCACCACCAAACGCCCCAGCCTTCGATTCCGCAGGCGCCATCAAAAAGCCCAAATCCGCCGACCAAGCAGAGGGCAGCGCCTTCTACAAGTCTCTGACCATCCTCAAAAAGGGCCTAGACATCGACGACGCCCTGGAAATGCTAGAAGACATCTCCCACGACATCTACTACGGCCTCAAGATCGCCGAGGACTACGACACAGTGCACGAGCTCTTCTGCCTATCCACCACCCCCCCCGACCCGGCCAACGCAGCCGCCCTCTCCCGCGCCCGCCTCGCCTCCCTAACACTGGCATCCACCCTCCAAAACAACGCCAAAGCCCTCGCCGAGATCGAGGCCCACTGGCCTAAACTCTCCGCCTCCGTTTGCTCTTCCCCTTCAGGAACCCCGGGCAGCACCCCCCTAGGCACCAGCATTTTCTCCCTCCTCCCCTCAGAGACCACCACCACAACAACCCTCCCCAATCCATCCCTAACAAAAACCCGCATCTCCCTCCTCACATCCCTCCTCAAATCCCCTCTCATCCGCACCGCCTTCCTCTCCCTCACCAACACCAACAACGCCGCCACCGCCACCGGCCCCTCCCACATCCTCCGCATCCTCACCACCACCCCGCCTCAACAATCCAGCCAAAACGAAGAACAAGAAGCAAGGGAATGGACCCAAACCCAACGCCGCGCCGCCCTCCTCCTCCTCGACACCTTCCTCGACACCGACATGGGCGCTGTCCCAGGCCAGTGGCCGACGCGGGGCCAGTTGTCTGATTCGCAGTGCGCTGATCTTTTCCCTCTCTCCACCTCCTCCACCCCCCAACAACAAACTGAAGATGGGGAAGGGGAAAAGGGGCTAGGATGGGAAGAGGAATGCGTGCATTGGTTGATTAAGGGGTTGAGTGAGAAGCGGTATAGGAAGGAGAAGGAGCATTGGAGTCATGAGTTGTGGAGGGGGTTGAAGGTGCCGAGGAAGGAGAAGGGTAGAGATGGTGAGAAAGTGGAGTTGTGAAGGTGGAAACGCGATGGTACATGCGTGATGACGACTGAGGGGGATACTTAATGGGTTGGATATCCGATCAACGATGACTTAAATTAGACTACGGGAGGTGGCTACGAGAGATAGAAGTGCAGTACAGAACAGTACATATACCCATTGCATGATTGTACGGTTGAAGCATATAATATATCATTATCATCATTTATTTCTACTTTAATTAGTCGCGTGGTGACACGCTGTATGCTGTAGCACACACGCTATAACTGATAGGCTACATATCTATGACATAACCGTCTAGTCTACTAGACAAGCCTCAAAATGGAAGGTATGACACTTGGTATAGTATCACGGGGAAAGCATGGAATCCAGATCAAACGAGGCTATCTGCATCTCACAGCCGCATCTCCTACCGACCAAGAGGGCGTCCAAACTTCGACTTGACTTGCCCATGGTCCGGTAGCAGAGCGAAAGGTACCCCTCCGCGATACCCCTCTGCATGAAACTGGGAGGCAGGTAGGTGCATACATACAACCTGTCTGCACTGCGTGGAGGTGCTACAGTCTCGCGGGTCAAGACTTGTCCGACGATGCTGCACTTCACCGCCTTGGCTCAAGGGACACCATGACACCACTCAGTCAGGAGCAAAAGAAGAAAAGGGAATAGAACGCAATACTGTGTTGTTTGAGTACGTCAGGTTTTGAGTGAGACAACTAGCCACTGATTCTGAGACGATCAATCAATCAATCAATCAACCCCCCTCCCCTCTTGGGACAAGCCCCTTGCTTCACACCGCTAACTCGTCACACTTGTGTGTGTCACACAACACTTGCGTGGCCCACAGACGAAACAACGAGGAAGCCTTTCCCCAAGACAAACAGAACAGGGAGGGAGGAAGAGAGATGCAAAAGCAAAATACTGAACAATATGGCTACAGTGATCCCCGTACTCCGCCTGCCCATGCTCCGACCGCCTAAAATCACCTTTCTTTTGGCGAAAAAAAAGACAACGCAGTGGGGGGAAATGGTACGGTCGTCGTCGCGCGCGCCGGTAAATGAAACCATCCCCGTCCCAGAACCATACGAACTCCGTAGCTCTGAAGAATTTCCCCAAACCACCGACCAACCTTGCAACTCCAACTCCGGGGTAGTACTTATAGGAAACAAAAGCAAGGGGTTTCTGAAAATCAAGACACTTTAGAGCTAATCTTGCCCACTCCCAACTTTCCCTTCGCCGTCAAATCTGGCCTTTCGAAGTGATGCCCGACTGCCCGACACTGTCGAGGCGAACGTATTTAAACTGACATTAAAAATGGATGAGACAACCGAGAAAAAAAAACGGCAACGCATCCATGGTGGTGAACTCCGATAGTTCATGTTCTCCCAGCTGGGGAGACAGGTCTCTAGAACAAGGAGAAAAGAGACAGAAATCACAAAGTACTTGCGCGTTTCTTAGGGTTGCTCGATTTTGACCGCGCTCTGATCGACAGCGCTCTGATCGACAACCTTGTCAGTGCGGTTGCGGAGATTTTTGTTGGAACGGCGAGTCTTCCGTTGGTTTCCGCGGCGCTTATTCTGACGGTAACCCTGGTGGTTGCCACGACGGTTGTTGTTGACACGGCGCTGGGGCCGGGAGTTCTACTCGCTCGGCGTGACACCCGTGTTACCGAAGCCGCTCAGGTTCCAGCCAGGGTACTTGGTTGAGTTGCCGTCATTGTCAGTGTTGTCCGATGTAATGGGGGCCGGGGGAATGGGGGGCAAGCCATTGGCAGACGTGCCGTTGGCCGGAGTGTCAGTCGGCTCACCATCGGTGGCCACGTTCGTCTCCTCGGGCTGATCGTCCGAAGCCTCGCCGTTGGATGCCTTGTTAGGGAGCACGCCTCTGTCCTGGAGGTACTTGAGGGTCTCAACAATAGCGAGATCCTCCTGGTCCTTGTCATTGAGGGTGATGCGTTGCTGCAAGGTGATGCGGCCTCCGTTCATCTCGCGCTCCTTCAAAGCGGCCTCGCGGACGGCCGGGTCGTGGACGAAGCGGCACTTGCCCCGCTTGCCACACGTGCCTCCGGTAGAGTAATACTTGCAATGCTTGGTCGGGTCCGCCTTTCGCGGCGGCGGGGGAATGTTGCTCAGAGCCGAACGAGTCGACATGACTTCAGGCTTCTCGTCTTCTTCCGACTTGATCTCGCTCGAGGGAGAACTCAGGTCAATGTCTCTCATGTCGTCGCCCTCATCCTGCTGCTCGCGCTTTCGCTTGATGCTCGACTCGACCTTCTCCAGCTGCTTGCGCAGCTTCTCGGCCTTTTGCTCCAGGGCGCTGCTCTTAGCCTGCTGGGCTTCGTTGGTCTGGGCCTTGATGGCGGCCTTCCTCGCTTCGATCCTGCTTTTCGTCGGGAATCGCGCGCGACGCTCGGCAATCCAAGCGGCAATATCGGCCGAGGTTTGGGGGCTAGAGATGGTCAGCGATAGCCCTAACGGAAAGATAGGCAATACAAAGTTAGGTAAAGTTTGATCATACTTCGGGGCGTCAGCGCCATACATCTCATTAAGGCGCTCTTCTTCATTCTCATCATCTTCATCCGACTCGTCGCCAGGCGTCAAGCCAAGCGTGTTGGTCTTGCGCTTCTTCTTCTTACCAGCAGACGCAGCATCAGCCTTCTGCTGCTGTTGCGGGGCGGGGCTCGATTGGGTTGTGGAGCTCTTGTCCCGGCCATGGTTATTGTTATTGCGCCCGCGGTTCTTGTCGCCGCCGAAATGGCCGCGCGATTTGTTGTGCTGGAAACCGCCGCGGCCATGATGGCGCGCGCCGTGGCCAGAACGGCCGTCGAAAGGCTGATGAGTAGGCATGTAGGGAGAGGGTGCCGGATAACCTTGGTATGGTGAAGGATACGCAGCCGGCGGGGTGGGAGGAGTGGCGTATGGATATGGGGCGCTCACTGGAGCGGGGGCGGCCTGAGCCTGTCCGGCGTCAAATCCCATTCGGATGGGTGGGCCCATCAACTGGCCTTTGGGCGCGTTCCTGTCATTGTAACCACCGCGACCGCCACGACCACCACCGCTGTATCCCCCATGAGAAGCGGGCGACTGGGAATGAGCACCCCACGGTTGAGCAGGAGGGCCGCTGGGCGCGGGAGCCGCATAGGGTTGGCCGTAAGGCGGCTGAGGGGCAGGTTGATACGGCGGCTGGCCGGCGTAGCCTTGCTGTTGTTGCTGAGGCTGGTAAATCTGTGGGGCATAGTTCGGGTGGTAGTTCTGAGCCGGCAAGGCGTGTGGCGCGCCCGACTGGGCATGCTGTTGCTGACTGTGATCGTGGTGCCACGACTGTTGTTGCGGTGGCTGGGGGTAGCCGGACTGGGCCGCGGGAGCCGCATAAGGGGCAGGAGTCTGAGGGCCATAGGCGGGCTGCTGGTGGCCATAGTTGTACCCGTGGTGCGGTTGATGATAACCGCCGCGATCAGAGCCGCCGCGACCCCGACCACTATGACCGCCACGCGGAGGACCGTACGAGGGATAGCCGGCCGGGGAAGAACTCGGGGGCGCCGGCGGAGGAGCCGGCGGGGGAGGGCCGTAGTTGTAAGCCATGGCTCTCTCGGATATTTCTTCGTTCGCGGGGTAAATTAGGTTTGGAGGCTCGATTGAAAAGGGAAAGGGAAGGCCTCGAGGGGACCTCGATCGACCAAAGCGGTCTGGCACCTGATGGAAGGCGTCTTCACTTGAACACGAAACCCTCGATGGGCGTGATAAAGAAAGGAGAAAAAGGGGGCGTGGTGTTGAGAAAGGTACAGTGCGAGGTGACGCGACTGTCGAGTGGTTGTCGAGATGGAAGTATGAGGGTGCGAGTTTTGCGGGAATGTTGGGCGGAGGTCGTGGTTTTTGTTGGAAGGAGCGACTGTCACAGACGGCAAGACCAACCGTGGAAATTATTCGCACGGCGTGACACGTGTGGGAAATGTGGGCCACGCACAGTAAGGCTCACAGTAATTTTTCAGTCACGCACAGGGCAAGATTTATTGCGGGGCAGCCCGCCAGTTCTCGAAACTCATTCCAACTGGTTGAATGGGGACATGATCTCTTTCATGTGCGTTCATCTTCAGCAAACAGATTTTGAAGATGCCGCTGGGGATCATTCTTAGTTGCAGTGAATAGTTGGATACTGCATTCTAACCCTGTAAATTTCTCGCCTCGCTTTCCTCGAGGATCTTGGTGCAGGTTGGCGGCTTGCAGCACGGGTTTCTGCACCAGAAATTTGCGTTTCGCCGTAATACAACAGTCATCGAAAAACCCCACGACCGAGTTTCTTGCTGAAACTTTCGGCATAACCAGCAATCCGTGCAAGTCCGGGATTGGTGGCGGGAGACATAAAAGGCGACATGTTTATTTTAGTGAGTCGTCACAGCTACGTCTTTATGAGCTTCATTTTTAAATTTCTTTTCCTAGGAGCTAACACAGTGACATACACATAGACCAAGATCGCCGACCTTGTGCAGATTGCGCCCGACGATTTCAGGAAACAGAGCCATGTAGCAATTGAGGATAATATCAACGCCAAATATGCCAACAAGGTGAGATTCCTCGTCCTGCTGGACTATACACTCTCAGTTGCTAAATTCATTCAGGTTGTACAAAAGATTGGGCTCTGTATCTGCCTCTGGGACATACTCTGGACCTCCGAGGGGTTGATCGGCCAAGGTGATGGGATGGTCAACGTTAATGGTAAGAGAGTTCTGGGGTTTTTGTCAAGTTTCCGGTTGGCTAACTAGGCGATATCCAGTCGAGTTCCGCATCGTGGTATTTCGGCCGTTCAAGGGAGAGGTTCTCGCAGCGCGCATTATGGACCAGTCGCCAGAAGGAATAAACCGTCAGTCTTCATATCATATGTCCCTCATAAGTGCCAGTACTGACAGGCCTCCAGTTGCCACGGATTTCTTCGACGACATTTTTGTTCCTTGGACGGAGTTGCCGGACGGTTCTGAATTGTGAGTTGCCCCCCAATCCCCGGTGACGAGTATTGCTTAACACAACCTAGTGAGCCTGCCGAGAACCTTTGGGTCTGGAAAGACGAGGACCAAGTCATGTACTTCGACAACAACGAGATGGTCCGATTCCACGTCATCGCTGAAGAGTGGCACGACCAGACCCCCCTCAAACCAGTTGAGGCAGCCGTCGATGGCGCAGAAGACACGCCAGTCCCTGTCAACACCAGGCCACCGTACAGACTTACAGGCTCCATGAGCGGGCCTGGTCTCGGATGCTGCTTATGGTGGGAATAGTGAGAGGTAACGGGCCAGAAAGAGAGAAATACCGGGATTTGGGGCGAGGCCCAGAAGACAAAGGATAGATAGATGCTCGCATTTGGATGGTGGTCTATTTGGTTGATGATATACCCTACCCTACGCCTTAATACCTTCCAACAGGCGCTGTTCTACACCATCTAGAACGGAATAGTGCTCAATGACAGCCAGATTCTCGGCCTCGGCCAGGAACTGCTTGTTGGGATCGACGCCAGGGCCAAACATGTTGGCGCCTCCCTGGGGACCCATCTGGTTCATCTGCTGGGCCATTTGGTTGGCAGCTAAACGAGCGAGTTAGCTGACGGCGCACTTTTCCTGTTTTTACTGCAAGTAAATAAAACAATGATAGAAAAAACGTACCATTCTCACTGCCAAGCAAAAAGTTGAACACGGCCTGCAGACCAAAGATGCACAAAAAGTACCAGCTGATGCTAGACATCCACCGCGGGTCCATGTCCCTAGTAGCCACGCCAGCCTGGAGCATGCTCTTGAACTTGATGGTGAGCGGGAACGGCAGTTTCACTACACAAGTCGTCAGTTAGTCTGTTTCACGCAACTCAAGCAGATAGTAATCCGCCCCAACAAGCAAACACAAAAAACCTACTAATAACATAACCACTAAAAAAAGCATTAATCCAGCTCATGATCAAGGTATTCGGCACAATCATAGCCATCTGGTTCTTCATCATGCCCATCATGCCCTCCATCGCGCTCGGGTCGCTCATCGGGTTCGGTGGCGGCTGGCCGCGGTTCTCGGGGTCCTTGAGGTACGCGCCGGACTCGTAGGCCGTGGTCAGGGCATCGCGGCGCGTCTCAAACGAAGGGCGCGATAACACGTGGAAGTTGCCGCGCACGTTGATGCCGTGGATCAGGGCCCGCTGCTCGCGTGTTGTCTTTTGGTCCTGCTTCTTTGGGGCTGATGCCATGAGAACGGTTGCGTAGTGTCGGAGCACGCCGGTCAGAATCTAAGAAGGGGGGTCAGTCATTTGTTGCATTTTATGTGTTGGCTCGGGATGGAGCTGGTGTCGGGCGGGAGTCGAGGCGTACCATGACAATGGTGATAGGGAACAGGATCCAGTAGCTGTTTGTTTGGGTTTCTCGTTAGCTATTGAAATAACCCCCAATTCTTTCGGAAATGCAATTCTTACAATAACTGGGGATCCCGATGGATCGTCTGGACTGGTACCTGCGCCATCTTGTCGTCTCCCACGGTTCTTGCGCTGCGTTGCGTGTTTCTACCGTTGGTGTTTTGCTGTACCTAAAGCAAAAGCTCACCAACTGTCAGGAGATGTCGTCGCTCAGACCCGCTGGAAGCTCAGCCAAGCACTGGGGTGGTGTGGGGCGCGTTCCCCTGTCGGTCCAGGCGCAACGCGATGAGTCAACCAATCAGAGAAGAGAATGCGAGCTTGTCCAAATGCGCAGGTGGCCTTTCCAAGTGAAGCTCCCAGGGCCAATCCAACATCTTCGATTGAAAGTTGAACACCTTTCCGACCAACTTCAGCTCGAACAACCTCAATCGGCCAAGAACTCCTCCCCACGGCCGGAACCACCGTTGTTCCCATTCCCATGCCAACCGACACAATGGCGGCCGAAAAGATCACCGTCTACAACCTCGCAGGTACGATCTCCAAATTCAATCCCCATTCCCTAATGATCATCACCGTCCCCAATAATGTAATGGTACAGCAACCACCACCACACCTCCAAACTAACACCTCCTTCACAACAGACCTCAAAAACACCACCGACGACGCCATCCCCAACTACCTCAACAGCATCGGTTTCACCCAATCCCACACCCTCACCGACGTCCGCCTGGCCCTCGGCTACTCCGCCTTCGCCCTCGCCGCGGCCTGTTTCGCATGGGACTACCACTTCGGCTTCGAGTCCACCAAATACCTGACCGCGGCCGCCGTCGCCCTCTACACCCTCCTAAACGGCGCCCTGACCCTCTGGGTGCTGTACGCCGAGCGCGGCACCGTGTACGTCGGCACTTCGCGGGCTACGGGCGAGACGGTGCGGATTGGGACGGAGACGAAGAAAAATGTCCCGGAGTATTTTGTTACGGTGGAGGTTACGTCTAAGGATGGGAAGAAGGCGGAGCTGAAGTTTGCGCGGTCGTTTACGGAGTGGTTTGATGTGACGGGGCGGTTTGTGGCGGCGCCGTTTCAGACTATGTTGGTGAGCAGCGTGCCGGTGATTGCGAAGGCGGATCCGAAGCGAGCGGCCGCGGCGCTGGAGGGGGCTACGGCTGATGCTACTGGTGCGAGCGAGGGCGCGGCGGCGTATTCGCCGGAGGTTCTGGAGATGCTGGCGAATGCGGATGTGAGTGTCGTGGGGTCAGCTGCGGAGGAGGCTACAGGGTCGGAGGCAGCGGCGGGGAAGAAGGGGGGTAAGCGGCGGAAGGCGTAGGTGGGATAGATGGATGATGAAAGAAGGGGGACGTATGATGGCAGGGGCCTGCTAGTGCATATGGATGAGCCGGTTATCTCAAAATGCATTCGCATGGGACAACCAAACAAAGCAATTTCGGGAGTTCAACATGCTATAGATGGGATTGTTTTCCAGGTCTTCGATGTACATTACCAACAACATACCAAGGCCCATTTCTAGCCGGAGTACATGCAAAACCAGCTGTCTATGCGCCGTCCACGCAAACCAAGGTAGCCTCACCACCCACCTCACCCACACTCGCCCTCAACCTCCCCACAGCCTCCACCATCCTCTTACTCCCCCCCTTCCTCACCCTCGGCGCAAACGCCTCCCTATCCACTGTTCCAGTGAAAAGGCACCTTAGATCTCCCCTTCCCATGTCGAGTCAAAGAGGCCATCCATCAACCCCCCTGAACAGCCCTCGCCCATCCCGCCCTCGCCGACCTCGCCACCTCCCTGACCCTCCTCACCGGATCACCACACGCCACAGCCAGCATCTTCTGTGTCGGCAACACATACGCCCTCACATGGCGCTCCTCAAATCGCCCCGGCACCGCCGCAAGCACCTGCAGCGCCAGACGCCGGCACAAAGCCCGTTTCGCTGCCGTTACCCCTGGCCCCGTTGCAGTGTCCTTTCGAGATGACAACGGGGGGTTTTCCTGGTACACTTTCGTCACACCCTTGATGACAGCGCCGACATGGCCTGCCAGTGTGGCGGGCTCGTTCCCCAGGATTTCTATCAGGACCTCTAGTGCTGCGACTGTCTGCGACGAGATGGTGTCCGCGGACAATGACAAGCCCTCCTGACTGGTGAGTGCGGTCACGAGCAGCCTAATAAGCGCCGGGAGGTCATCCTGGTAGATCGTAAAGGAGCAATGCGGGAGGACAGATAGGACCGCGACACGATAACGTGCTGCGGCAAGCTGGTCGGCAGACCCCGGCTGGGCGGGCTGGAGGAGCGGTTTAGCGAGGTGGGCGTAGATCCACTGTTTATGGAAGAGTCGGGTGATGGCGTGGTTGTCGCGCGTGAGGAGCGAGCTGGGTTTGACGATGAGGCCGAGAGAGGAGGCGAGGATCTCGCCGTTGGGTGTGGGGGATGATGCCGCTGTGTGGAGGGCGGGGATGAGAGTGAGGACTTGCGGGTCTTGACGGGCTGCGGCACCGGCTATGAAGTTGAGGCCGATGGCGCTGCCTGCGCGGAAGCTGGTTGCGTCGAGGGAGGTTGATGAGGCGGATTCTTTGAGCCAGTTCGCCCAGAACTCGAGGACGCCTTTCAGGACTCCAGCGTCCCCTCCAGCAGCCTGCGGCCCGGGCTTGAACTTGTTGGCGAGAATCGATCCTATCGCAGCCCGGATATCGCTCTCACGAGAGGAAGAGAGGCCGCCAAAGTCGGGAATCTCGCTCATGAACCTTTCGGCGTGTCCACCAGGGTTGTACTAAAACTAGTTAGTAACGTCAGGCAAGGAATAAAACAAAGAAATGAGCTACGTACCAGTCCCGTAATAGCGGCGGGCCGTAGCCCCTGAAGGATCCCCAGAGTCAAAAGCCCACTCGCGAGGCCCGAGGATGTCTCGACAGTCGGCTCCGTTGTGGCGCGGAAGAAGTTGAACGCCTCGTGGGCCAAATTACAAGAGAGCTGGTGTTTCTCATCGAGGCTGCGTACCACCAACGCAGCCATCTGGGACAGTTGGACCAGGGCCTTCTCGCCCCAGGGACCCTGAGCTCCGGTCGACGCGGACTGGTAGAGAGACGCCACGATGAAGACGCTGCGCTTGAGGAACTGGGCGTAGATAGCGGGGCCGTCATCACTTGACGGTGATAACGCTGCGATGGCTGATTCGTCTGATTGGAGTAGCGAGTGTTCGGGCAGTCCCCTAAACTCGGCCAACCAGTCTTGAGCATCCGCTTGTTTCGACGTGAGAGCTTCAGCTCCATACTTGGCTTCACAAGCTTCCCGGAACCAGATCACGGATGCATGGAGCGATGAAATAACATGCGCGTTTGCGGTGGCGCCCTCATCCAAGCTGGACTTCACCACGGGTGTCAAGGGGAAAAGCCCCAAGAGACTCGCTGTCAGCGTAACGAAATGTTGCAGAGGTAAGCCCTTTTGTGTCGTCTCTAAATGGATGCTTGAGGGAATCTCGGAGCACCCAATAAAGGTGAATCGAGACAAGAGGTCCTTCAAAGCACCGAGTGAGTACTCCGAGGGGTTGCTCCAATCGCGCTGTTTGATCTCTGCCTTGACCCGCCCCGCAAGCTCTGCGTACCCGTCAGTGTAGTTCGCGACAATGGTGCGCAGGGCCGAGACAGCTTCATCCTCTAGCGTTGTATCCTCAGCGGTGTTATCATTCGAGCTCAGCGCCAGGCCCCTCGTGATGATCGCAATCAAGAGGGAACATATCTCGCTGGACGTCGAGGCAGAGCACAGCAATGTAGGTGTCCCGTCTTCCTGAAGAACCTGTTGACTGACGAGCAGAGCGAGGCCTTGTGTGACCTGTTTGAGAACGTCCTTGTCTTCGGACGCTGCTTCTTTGGATTTGGCGGTCCATACTGGGAGGTACGCGTCATGAAACAATGTGTCTAAGTGGGTGCGCTCTTCTATCTTGAGACTCTCCTCATCGTCGGCGTGGCCCTGTTTCCTGTCTCGGAACAACTCCATCCGAGTTTTGAGAAGAGAGTTTAGGAGCAGTAGGAGGTCGGCGGCATGTGAAGGTGATTTCGGTTGGCGAAGGTTTTGCCGGATGGTGTCTATAAAACCGGCGTTGTAGAGCACATAGGCCCTGATGTTGGAGCTGATGACCGTCATCAGAAGTAGGCCGGCCTGCTTCGTGTAGGTTGGGTTGGCCAGATCGTCCCCGCAGTCCCGAGAGACAAGATCGACGTAACTCTTGAGTAGTGAGACGTCGAGCTTGAATGTCTTTGTACCATCAAGCTTCCGCGCGATGGCCCGAAGGACTTGGAGGGTGGCGTTAATGGTCTCCTTCACCTCGCCGTTCCTAACTTCATATTTGAGAGAGTTCCAGATGTTTTGAACGTAGGGCACAAGATTTGCCTGTGGGTTGTCGTAACTTTCAATACACGCTTGAATCGTTTTGAGGATATCCAGCTATTATTTGCAGTCAGTATCCAAGCCCCAACTGGTAAATACTACGTAAATGGAGAGCGCCAACCTTGACCGCCACGGTGACCGCGTCCCCTTGGTCCAACTTTTGGATGAGAAAGGAGAAGGCCGAACCGGCAACACGGTGATGTGCTGAAAAGCAGTACCGCAACGCCTCCTTGAGATCTTCGGCCGTTATCCCAACTGGCGTGGCAGAAGCTCGCAGAGAAATGGGGAAGTAAGCTGAGAAGACCTTGAAAATCTCCTCGCTCACCTCCGGCGATGGGTCGTATTCTGTGAGGAACAGGGCGAGGATCTTGAACCATATCATGAGATTTCGTGGGTCCCTCTCACTTTGGCACACCTGGATGAGATCAAGGACAAAACCGCAGGATGAGCCGTACTTGTGTTGCAACTCGCTGCTGACGGCTGGGTCCTGGATGAGGCTGAGAAAGAGCTGGTATAACTCCAACCTAGTCGCTGCAGTCTGTAGCCGGAAGTCCTCTTTGATCTTGCAGACGTCTTCGAGGATCTTGATGCCCATGTTAGGCTTGAAAGACTTCGCTGCGTATAATTGCCGTAACGCCTTGGCGGATGCCGTGATGCCTGCTTTGTGGTCGTACGAGAACATAGCTCCGAAGAACCCAATAAGTCGTTGTACTGTAAGTGGCATTAATACACGTGAGCGAGAGACACCTATTGTAGATACTGGGACATGCATACCTTGGTCTGGCCTCAAGACACTCTTGTCGAGGACCTCGAGTGTCCCGGCAAGGAAACCCAGCGCTAAACCCGACCACAAGATACCATCAGCAACGTATCAACGTGTAAACAAGTCAGTAACCATACCCTTTGCCCGAGCAATGATATCACCACTGACCCCTTCAACGCCATCCTCAGCCGGGCCGCTCTCGGCATTAGCCGGGGTCATCCATTGCTGCACAGAAGCGGCCCAATTCCCGACAACTGTGCTGCTCGCCCGGGAGCTCTCGATTTCTATGCATAAAACGTCAGCAAACAGCAATCCAGGTGATCGTGCTCTTAGTAACGCGCAGAAAATCCCCACCCAATGCGGCTTTCTTTGTAATTTCTAGCTGTGCAGTCTCATCGTCGGAGAGCACATATTCCAATGCCCATTGCTTGAGGTTCGACATGGTTTATTTACCAACGTGAATTCACCCGCAGTGCTGGCGGGGGGCATCAAATATGAATCTCCCTCACGCACGGGACTGAATGTGCGATCTTGGTTGGTACTTCTGGTGGTTGGTGAGACTGTGCTCTCTGAAGCTTCTGTCACACGTCTTAGAAGACAATTCGGCATTTAAATGCAAGTAAGATTGCCTACTCAAGGTAGGTAGTTTGTAAGCCTGGATTCGAATACCATATCCCTCGGTATTTGCGGTCGCCATCCCGCGCAAGCGCCGTTATCGCGCTGATGCCCCACCATGGCAGTACCACCAAAGGCTCGGGCGGTGAGGCAGGATTATGACGCGACTGCAGCGGGTTGGGAGGGCACTAAACCACATCCAGTAAGAGGGGCAAAACACGGTTCGCGAGCCCCACCTGAAATTTTCATTCTTTCAATGACAGCAGGGGTCGGCAGTTGAGCAACGGCCGGTTAGGGACCGACCTACGAGTGAGTCGAAATCTCTCAAGTAAGCCAATTCTGACTCCCAATCTTCATATAACCGGACAGATTGGATGTCTTGTTTTTGATTCCCCTTTTTGTTGCCCACAAGCTCACCGGTAACACCTTCCTTGTTGTTTCCCGGGTTGTTAGTGGGGTCCGCGGGGTATGTTCACATCGTTCGCTCCTCCCCGTCTTGATTCCTTGTCCGGATTTGTTCACGTTGAGTCGCCCGAGACCGGCGCCGTGCTCACTTACATGGGCGGGCCAATTGGCCTCATCATTGGCTTTTGAGATTGTTGGAAATCAGTTTTGGTCTCAATGAACGACTCAATACCGGATTCATTGAATTTAGAGGCTCATTTTGAGCTGTTGCTAACGATGTTTGCAGACAAACTCACGCCGAGTGATACGGCCGCGCCATGGCGTCAAACGAAGTGCCCAAGACCTGCAAGGTCATTCTCGCCGACACAATAGCCAAGAAGCTTCTAGCAGAGGTCAAGGAGACGCTGGCTAGCATCCAGGGTGTCAGCAAGCCCACTCTGGTAGCTTTTCTGGCTAACGATGATCCCTCCGCCGGGCAATATGCCGACTGGTCCAAGAAGACGTGCGAAGAGAAGTAAGTGGCCTGTTCGTGATCTTGAAACCAGAGGGAAGAAAGAAGGGGAAAAAGGAGAAAAAGAAAGAAAACACCTTTCTGACTTTCACCCAGCGGCTTCAACTTCGACCTCCGCAAGGTCGATAAGGAAGCCCTTGAAGAGGCCGTCGTGGCCGCCAACAACGACGACGCCGTCGACGGCATCCTAGTCTACTACCCCATCTGGCGCAACAACCAGCAGCAAGACCGGTACATCCAAGAAACCGTAGCACTATCCAAAGATGTCGAAGGGCTCTGCCACACCCACCTCTTCAACATGTACCACAACATCCGCTTCCTGGACCCGCCCACCAACACCAAGAAGTCCCTCCTCCCCTGCACCCCACTGGCCATCGTCAAAGCCCTCGAGCACCTGCAGATCTACAACCCCATCCTCGCCTACGGCAACCGTCTCTTCGGCAAAACCATCACGGTCATCAACCGCAGTGAAGTCAACGGGCGTCCCCTAGCCGCCCTCCTCGCCAACGACGGCGCCACTGTGTACAGCGTCGACATCACGGGCGTGCAGCTATTCACACGCGGCAGTGGCATCCGCGCGCCGCGCCACCAGGTCCTGGACAAGGAAGGGTGGGGGCTCAAGGAGGTGCTGCCGCTCAGCGATGTCATCATCTCGGGCGTGCCGAGTGAGGATTACAAGGTGCCGACGGAGCTGATCCGGGACGGCGCGGTGTGCATCAACTTCTCGAGCTACCGCAACTTTGATGGGCCGGCGGTCAAGGAGAAGGCGAGCATTTATGTGCCTAGTACCGGCAAGGTCACTATTGCTGTCTTGCTGCGTAATTTGGTGGTATGTCCACGTCTCTTTTTTATTGTGTTAGGTTTGATGAAATACAGAGATCTAACAAGATTCACAGCGCCTAACTGCTAACCGACCACGGCCTGAGGGGGTATCCGAGGAGGATGACAAGGCGAGGACTGAAGCCTTTAAGGATGGCTGATCCCCCCTATGTATCAAGCGCCCTCTTTCATTTGTATAGTACATTTTGCGCGTGGGTTTCAAGGGTTACAAAAACGGGGCAAAAGTGAGACGGGTAAACCAAATAAACATCTACTCAGAGATGAGATGTTAGCATCTGTAGAAACTAAAGAAATGTACCATCCTGTGCAACACACACCAAGTACTTCGTACACCATCTCATATTGCTAAAGGGGCGGTGCCTAACTCAACCAATTCACTCTCAAAACTGTCTCAAAACATCATATATCTACAAGACGAAGGAAGAAGAAAGAACCCTGGGTATCGAACCAACCAACTCTCTGCCCATCCCAATCCCAGAAGCACACAACAACCAAACAAAAAAAGTGCTTCATACAGCCCACGCCGCCAAACCAAGAAAAGAACCAGATAAACAAATACCGCCTTCCTTCACTCCCTTCTCTTTCTTACCCTCATGCCCTACCCCCCTTGCCTCCACATCATCTTTTTTTCTTGCCCACCTCTTTGCTTCTTTGACTCTTGGCGCATTATCATGACCTTCACCCATCCTCCAAAACTCGAGACGCCAAAAAAATAAAGTAAAAAATAAACCACGGCAGAAAAAATCAAAAGAGCCAACCCCGAGTATACCATAAAATGTCCTACCCTAACAATCCAACCCCTCCAAAGCCCGCCTCGCCGCATCCAACCGCCGCCTGAACATCCGACTCTCCGCGCTCGCCCGCCCATTCTCCGTCAAACCCAACACACACTTCCCCAGGTCCGCCACGACCCGTTCCACCAGGTACTTGTCCTCGCGTAGGAGGGCCTCAAGCGGGTGCGGTTGTGGTGAGCTGTCACCATTGTTGGGGCTGTCATTACCCGGACCGAAACTAAAAGTGCCGCCGTCTGTGGAGATGGAGGCGTGCGCCGCGTGCAGGCCCATGTCGGACATGAGTCGGCTTGCGATGGTGTTCATGTCGTTTCCGGTTCCATTGGCGTTCCCGTTGCCGTTAGCGATGCTGCTGGTGCTGCTATTCGGGAACCCCGGAGACGTCGGAGACAATGGAGAAGGGGGCTCGCTGCGCTGGCTGAGCATACCAGCACTACTGGTCTTGCGCACCACGCCCGCCAGACTCCCGATACTACCGCCGTCGATACGACCACTGTTGCTACCACCCAGCCCGGCCCCGCTGGATACCGGTCTCGAGCCGGGCCTGTTGACAAGCGGGAAACTGCGGTTGGTGCCGACTGACTCGAACGATGCGGTCGAGGGCCGGTGGAGTGAGGCATGGGTGATGGTGGCGGTCGAGATGGGGCGGTGGACGATGGTGTTGCGGCGGGAGTTGGATGGGAAGTCGGGTTCTGAGGGTGAAGGGGAAGACACGGGCGGCCGCTTAACGGCGGCAGCGGGCGAGCCGGCGGTAGACGACTCTTCGGCGATCGGCGAGATCGACCCGTCGCTGTCGCGTGTGACGGGCCCCTGAGTTGGTGGGTGGAGCATGCTGGGGGTATGGGACGACCGCTTCGTCGCGGCGGAGCTGCCAGAGCGGAAGCGGTGGTGGCTCTGGACCGAGGCCGCGCGGGATGAGGCGTCGTAGAAGGAGTGGAACTCGTCCGGGCTGACGGGGGACTTGAGCGAGCGGCTCTCTTGGGCAGTGGCAAAGGTATCGATGGTAGAGATAGAGTTGCTGCTGCTTCGGCGGCCGATCAACCGAGGCCGCTGCGGCGGGTGCTGCTCGTCGTGGCTGCTCGTGTCGTTGCCGCTGCTTAGGGGCCCGCGGGTGGTCTCGACGGAGTCGTCCGAGGTGTAACTGTCTTCGCTAGCGCGCCGGGCCATGCTCATAGTGCCCATGGCGCTGTGCAGAAAGAAGTGCTCGTAGTCGAAGGCGTCCTCGCGATCTTCGTGCGAGATTTGATGCTGGACGCTGTCGTGGTAGAGGGATTCGCCGCTCTCGCTCACCAAGTCGTAGTCCTCCTCGGCTGGGTCGTGGAAGGCCGCCTCGCCGTGGTCTTCTGTATCCCCATTCTCGGTCCGCAAGTCGTCGTCGTCAACTTCCGCGCGCTCTTCCAAACCGCGCACAATTTCCTCTGCCGCAGCCATTGCATCAAAATGGTGTTCGACTTCTTCCGCATGTCCACGTTCATGTTCTTGTCCATGTTGATGTTCGTACCCGTTTTCGTGCTCTTCCTCCTGCTCCCGCTCTTGCTCGGGCTCGTGCCCAAGCTCCGTGCCCTCCTCTGCATCTGCATAGTCCGTTTCTTCCCCATCGCCAGGGCTGTCCTCCAGCCGTTGTGCCGCTTCCTTCAAGCCACCATCCACACTTGCATCGTCCTCGTGCCACTGACCGTGCTCGGGGTACTCGCCCGTCATAATTTGCGATGCCCTGTTCGAAGGAGGTTCGTACCAATGGTCGATCTGCGAATGCGTGAACGGGCTGGGCGTCCTGAGACTCTGCATGCTCTGCCGCTTAACGCTGTCGACCCGGGCTTGCTCTCGCAAGCTGGAAATCTTGCCCTTTAAATCCCGCATCTGGTCCTTGATGTCGCGCATCTGGGCTGCAGATGATGACCTCTGCGGTTGCCTCATACCACCGTCACTATGAAACGATCCAAACGTGGGGCTATCCATAGCAGGGCTCAGATACGCCGCGAGTCTCGCATTATGACTCGCGCTGTCAGCCTCTCCCAGCCGCGCAACCTCGTCTTCTGTGAGCGGTTTCAGTCCCCCTTCCCGGACGGAATGGGCTTTCGAAATGGGACGCCCCGAGGTCTCGTCCGCATCGCCACGGATTTGATCGGCGCTCTTGGATGCTGTTAGCGGCTGTCGATAACCCCCCGCGGCCCCGAGTGCGCTCTGGGACCGGGGAAAAGACACTCGGTATGGCAAGCCATTTCGCATGGCAACGTCGCTCGACATGCGCGTATGCCCAGAGGCATGTTCGGGCGGAGGGGACGTGGGGTTCGCCGCATCGTGGTTGTCGGGGGTGTATACTGCAGTTGATCCTCGCTGGAATTTCGGCGAGGGTGTTGAGGCGTCGGAACCGTACGGGGAGTGGTAATGCAACGAGCTCCGCGCGCGAGTTAAGTTGCCTTCCATGGTCTACACAAAGAGTTCGGCTTAGCAACCGCCACTGGCCTCCATTGTGTGGCTTGACAACTCCAGAATCAGTAACCTACCGTCAACCTCTTCTTCGCATTGGCCAAGATCTCTTCGGCGCGCCGGCTTATCGACGTCGTCGAGTACGTCGATAACCGATCTGCGCTGTCCACCTTTGTAACGCCCAGTCGCCCCGGTTCCATCGCAGCGGTGCCGTCCACATACGACGACGCCATACTCTCTTCGTCGTCCCCCTGGAATACGCTATCGCCGACGCTGACCGAGTCGTCAAAGTCGGCAAAGGCAGCGACGGGCTCGCCGTTCGTAACAGTGCTCGTGCTCTCGATGCTCGACCGGCGCTCGTGTTGTTGTTGTTTCCCCTTTAGATTCTGCTTCGATTTCTTCTTGATCGAGGATGCCGCGTTGATGGTTGGAGACGACTGCAGCGCTGTGTCGTTCCCGCTGCCACCAAACCTGGGCGAGACCTGCCTCTTGAACGCGGGCCGTGCGCGCCCGGGCGAGGGCTTTCCAACAGTGCTCTCGACCTCGGTCACCTCCCCAATATCCGACAACATGGTCCCGTTTCCGTAGATGATAGGCGTGGTGGGCGTCATGGGACCAGAAGGGCCGTATGGACGCGGACCCGCCATGCCAGTCGCGACGAACATATTATGCATATCGGGGCCGACGCCAGCGCCTGAGGGGTTGTTGTGCGTGTTCTTCCACATCATGAGCGAAGCATGATCAGGGCCGTCGAGACTGGCTTCGGGAGAGTCGCTGCGGTCATAGTCGGGCAGAATCATGTCGGGATTTGTAAGTGTCGGCGAAGCAGGGAGGCCCGACTGCTGATGCCCATTGTGGTAATGGGCGTTTGCAGCTTCCATGGCCGCCATTGCTGCGTCTGGGTCCGCGTCCTGCGTCCTGCGTCCTGCGTGCGTCCTGCGCCTTGCGTCTACGTGTGCGTCTGCGTCTGCCCGGTTGCGTTTGCGGTTGCGAACGGGCCCTCTAAATGGTCGGCCTGTGTTATCGAGGGTGGGACGCGAAGAAGCAAGGTAGATCAAATAGATGAAAGGGAAGGGATCCCGTGTGGGCACTGGCGAGGAACCGCCTCGAGGGCGCGCGTTTGTCTTCTGCCGGGTAGCGCGCGGGTAGTTGCGTCTGATCGCTGGCCGGATCGCTGGCAAAATCGGTATTGTTCTGCTTTCCGACGGACGGGGGACGCAATGCGCCTGCGGTGCAACCACAGATCTAAACGGGGCCCTAGCGGGCGCGGACGACGACGTCTGAATGGCGCTGGCAGTTTAATTAACCGTAAGGTCGGGAACTCGCCGTCGACCTCAGGAACCAGGCGGGTAAATCACGTCGCAAGTTGCAGACCGCAGGTCGTCGCAACTCGAATCGAGGTCCGCGTGGTGGCGTTCTCGATGCGGCTGAAAGAAGGGTAGATCAAAAGGAGCGGAGCTGTCGAAACGACCAAGCAACGACACAATACAACGGAGACGAGGTGGGTTGTAAGGCGAAATCAAGAATCGGGTGTTGAGAAAGCGAGCGAGAGACGACACGACGACGACAACAACGACAACAAGACACAACGAAAGAGTGGAAGCGTTGGAAAGCTGAGATTGCGGCGGATAGACTTGAGGAAAATTGAGGGGATGAACCGATCGCGTCAAACGCGAGGACGAAAAGCTGGGAAATTGCCGGCCGTACTGCGCCCGCCAAGGAGGCCTGTCTCTGGGGGGGTCTCTCAATGCCGGGGTGGGACCGCCGTGCCGTGCAAGTGCCCGATGCGCCCACAACGGTCAAGAGTCGTGGGGATCAAGCCAGGGACAACGAGTCCAAAACCCCAGGGAAGAAGGGACCTGAATCTGGGTCCACAGCGCCTGCAAGTGATTTCCTTCCAGCGCAGATCGCCCGGGGCGTGCCCTTTTGTGACTCGGGAGTCGGGCCTGCCACCGGAGTCGCCGTGCTTGATTATCGTCAGTTACAATGGTCAAAGTTGTCATCAATAAATTTCTCAAATGTACCAATGCGAGGGAGGAAATCAAAACTTTCCCATGTCTTGAAGACAAGACCGTGGAAGTAACGTTAAAAACGAATCATCGATTGTTTCCGCTTCAAACCTCCCAAACATCTAACCCAATCATGTTCATCCGATGTTTGCGTGGCTTCGGCCCATTCCCGAGCTCTTCGCACGGACCCTCTTCTGAGGTGGTCTTCAAAGGGGCCGAAGGACAAGTGTGATGTGATGCTGCCAAAAAATTGACAAACTCGACAGGGGCTCGGACTTCCGGGCCGTAACAGAGAGATAACAAGTCAAACCAAAACGAAACTTGGCACACCATAACCTTAACCCCACGGTCGGATTCTAGTGTAGTGTATTTTATGCTGGACTCCAGACGGTCATATGTTCAAAACATGCCCCAAAAGAATGCTTAGCCCCCTATGAAGCTCTGCCGAAGCGATCTCGATCCCTGTGGAACTTCCTTGACGAGCCCACTCCGTCACGGGAACACAATCATCATGCCGGAGGACACAACGTTGTACAATACACAATACACAACCTCGCAAACCGGCCTCCTTACTTAGAGGGATGAATACCCACCTCAGGATAACTACCTGATCCCCATGTGCCGAACCATCAGCCTCAACCAAGAAAGCGAAAAGCAAAGCTGAGAATGGCCCAGTTAGTACGTACCTAAGTTAAATTCCCAGTACGAAGTACTTACACTACAGAGTATTCTGTCCGACAACCGGACTCCAGGGGTTCGGTCTCTCCCTCAGTGTCTCTGATGCAACCGTGGTGATGAAAGACGGAATCGAAGAATGGAACCCCATTTCTTCGGCCCACCCAGAAATTCGGGATTCCACGGGCCAGGCCAGCAGGCCAGGTCCGACCGACCGAACCCCTGAGCCACGCAGGACCCCATCAAGATTGCACAATGGGACCGTTGGGAGAACATGGTTTCTCACAGTGCGTACCCAGAATATGAGCGACAACTCATAACCTTAGGCCGGAACTGTCCATAAGAGCATAAACTCCGCAAAATTAGGAGGCGAAAATACATCCTTCCGAGAGGGGAAGCTCATCAGCTGGATTTTATTCAAGGGGCAACGTTTGCCCAGAATTGCCTTGAAAAACGTTCCATCATGAATTGGCTCATCTCGCTCACCTCGGAGGTTCAGGAAGAGTCTCGAGGAACAACAAGACATTGTCCCCCGCAAATACTGTGCAAATAATTAGTTACCATGAACTGCCGAATCAGTAGTGGACACTACACTATGAATATCAGGCCCGAGTTAAGGAGATGAAGCGCATCGCACATCAGCACTAGCACTAGTGAACACCTGAGCGAACCTTCTTCAATCACTTGCCCCACAAGGTAAGGAAAGGTTAATTTGGAAGAATAAACGCAAAGACTCAGATCACGCAAACACAGTTAGACAACCATAGAAGAAGAAGAAAAAAATCGTTGGAGCGAGCAAGTGTCAGCAAGTGTCTTCGATTCTATGAAAAGTTAAGTCTTGCTATCTCTCCCGTGTATGTGCTCAGGCCTCTCAACCTTTCTAACCACACCACAACATCCGCCTCGAAATCTCATCTTTTCAGCCTGGACACCTGCCTCAAGGCGATTGCTTCCTTTCCTCCTGCTAAGCCAAAAATGAAGACTTTCTCGAGTCGGCGTCTAAAATGTTCAGGAAAAAATAAAGATGTTGAAGTTCTTTTGTTTTCCCCAAAACGCCGATATGTTGTGTTCGCCCTGTGTATGCCGTTCCCCATGTGGGTATCGCAGTGTCATGAAACTTTAAGGCGCCTTCTCTTTTTTTGGCTCCTGCGCAAATTGCGTCTTTGTTGAAAGACGCCGTCCCACCAGTCCGTAACCCGATCATCCGCCCGTGAGGTGTTTTTGGTATCCGTTGGGGAAAAAAATAAGTGAGAAAAACTCAAAAGGCGTACGTCTTTGCGCCGCTTTGTGTGTTGGTTGATTGGAGGGTCAAAACTTCATGTGAAGCATGGACTCATCCCGATAACTAGGTAGGTATCCCCCTTTCCGTCCCCCAGCCGCGACACCGCGTCGCAAGAATTTTACCGTACAGCCGTGAAAGCCCAAATAAATCGCCGCAAAAATGACAAGGATATCAAGTCTATCCGCCCACCCAGGTTTGTTGAGAACCGTACGCCGTTAATGCTTATCCATCCATATGCCATGAGGGAAAAAAAAAAAACTAAATAAACAATAAATCGTCCCGAGGGACGAGTGAGATTATATCAGCAGAGAGAAGTTGAATCTTCTGCGACATTGTATCCCACTTAGAACTTGAGCGCCTTGGGCTTCTCCCAGCTGAAGCTCTGGTTGGTGCCGAAGTGGCCGTTCTTGGCGGTCTGGAGGTAAATGGGCTTGGCCAGGTCAAGCTCCTTGACGATGACACCGGGGCGGAGATCGAAGTTGTTGCGGATGATCTGGACGAGCTCGTCCGAGGTCTTCTGCGAGGTGCCGTAGGTGTCGACGTAGATGGAGAGGGGCTCCGCAACACCAATGGCGTACGAGAGCTGGACGAGCGCACGGCGGGCAAGGCCGGCGGCAACGAGGGACTTGGCGATCCAGCGGCCGACATAGGCAGCAGAGCGATCGACCTTGGAGAAGTCCTTGCCGGAGAAGGCACCACCACCGTGGGCACCCCAGCCACCGTAGGTGTCGACGATGATCTTACGGCCAGTAAGACCAGCGTCACCCTGGGGACCACCAATGATGAAGAGGCCAGAGGGTTGGATCTGCATACTGTCAGCCGGTGTCCTTACACCACAACACACATCTCATTTCTTTTTCATTTCGACTCACGTGGTAGATGGTGCGGTCATCAAGGTACTTAGCGGGGATGGTAGCCTTGATGATCTTCTCGAGGATCTCCTTGCGGAGCTGCTCGGTGGTGATATCGGCGGAGTGCTGGGCCGAGACGACGACAGTGTCGACACGGAGGGGCACGACGGCACCGTTGTCGTGCTTGTACTCAATCGTGACCTGGGTCTTGGTGTCGGGGCGGAGCCACGGGAGGGAACCGTCACGGCGGGCAGCCGACATGGCAGCGTTGAGCTTGTGGGCAAAGAGGAGGGTCAGGGGGAAGAGCTCAGGGGTCTCGTCGGTGGCATAGCCGAACATGATACCCTGGTCACCAGCACCGAGGTTCTCGAGACGGTCCTCCAAGTGGAGACCCTGCGCGATATCCGGGGACTGCTCCTCAATGGCGACGAGCAGGTTGAGGGTCTTGTAGTCAAAGCCCTTGGACGAGTCATCGTACCCAATGCCCTTGACGGCCTCACGGACGACCTTCTGGTAGTCGAGCTTGGTCTTGGTGGTGATCTCACCGAAGACCATGATCATACCGGTCTTGGTGGCCGTCTCGCAGGCGACCTTGGAGAGGGGGTCCTCAGCCAAGCAAGCGTCGAGGATGGCATCTGAGACCTGATCGGCGATCTTGTCGGGGTGACCCTCACCGACGGACTCCGACTACCGAAAGCGGTCAGCATCGGCCACGGTGTGTGTGTTTATGTGGCGCAAAAAGCCCACACCGAAAAAGGGGCGCCGGCAAGACTTACGGTGAAGAGGAAGTTGCCCTCGTTGTAGTGCTTGGCGGTGCCGTTGGCCCCGTTAACACCGTTGGAAGCCATTATGATTTTATGTGTGGAGAAAACTGAGAACTCTGGGAGGGGGGTTAGCGGCTGATCGGCTGAATTCTGCGAAGCTCGGCTTCCGATGGTTGTCTAGGCGAGACTTCGGCAGTCTTTTTTTTCGGCGGTAAAGACGAGAGGAGAAAACTCCCCCACGGGGAATTGCCGGCAACCCCACCACCCAAATGCTTATCATCGGTCGGGCCAATCTCTTAGAGGTCGAGATAAAAGCTGTTTCGACGATTTGCGAGGCATTGGAGGGGTTCTGAAGGTAGCAAAGGGGGAGGGGTCATCGGGGAGCGGGTGGAATCGAGCGATTCGAGTTCGGGCTCCGAAGCGGGGGACGAGAAGAACAGTTTAGGACGTCAAGGCCGGCTTACCTTTTCGCAAGAACGGAACAGTAAACAACCAACGCGAGCAAGCTGATTTTCAGCAATACGCAAAGACGGAAGAGGATGGGCGTTTGAGGCTGGGAAGAAGATGGGGAAGACGAAGACTCCGGGGGGGATGTGGCACTATTTGAGGAAAATTGTCCTGGTTCTCAACGAAGAAACGGCCGAGCGTCGGCCATTTTTCACCGCAAGGATGCGATTGCGGCACAGCGGGGTACCCCGGCATAAGGGGCCCGACCTGATACAGAAAATAGTCCGTCCGGCTCAAATCGTGCGGAGGCCGACCAACTCCGGTCATAACGGAGAAACGTTTGGGACATAATACTGCCCATCTCAGCCGTAACAAAAGTGGCTAGCGTGGGCACCAATAACCCCGAATGCCTACAGCCTCCGGCACGTTCGTGCCTTTCCGACACGGTTTTCCCCAAGCAATTGCAGCAGTGGCTGGCTGTATCTTGCCCGATCGGTGCTTATTTTCTGTAGTGGTGGACACCATTTGGCCGACCCATTGTTATCGGGTACCTCAGGCTTGTCCCTTTCCGTCAGATTGCGCCATTGCTGCCCCTCACCGCAAAGAGCCAGCCCATCAGCCATCGAGGTCCCCACTGAGGGGCAGAGGGCAGATGAAAACGCGGAAAGAGCCACGTTCGGCGGGCGGCTCGTTTGTGTCGCTCGCTCCGACGGCAATGAAAATAGGGTAAAATGGTTGCCCAGTATTACGATAGTAGACTGATGGCCCATGCACGCCTCTGGGGGGTAGTCAGAGCCGCATAACGTGATGCAGCCATTGAACACGACACAGTCAGGCGAGTCCTACACCGGACGCAGGGATGGTGCCTTTCCAGCCTCTCATGGTGCAGGTCCAGGGGGGGGTTCAAGGCCTGGCTGATGTTGCCCGACGTGAGTGAGTGTGAATCTTAGCCACCGCCTTTGAAATTCTGCCAGCAACAATTTGAAGCTCCCCGAACATACTCCGTGCCCGGGGCCATTGGAGCTTCGTCAACAACAACCCCTGTCAATACGCATCGCACCATTCGCGTATTTGTGCAGCCCCGCGCATCATCAACATGAGTAAATACGGTGTGATGGTGATGGGCCCTGCGGGGGTCGGCAAGGTACGGTTTCGATTCAACTATCGATAGCTTCGAATTGTAATCTAATCGAAAGATATGCAGTCCACCTTTTGCGCAAGCCTCATCACCCATCTGCAACTGAACCGCCGCTCTGCCTTCTACGTGAACCTCGACCCCGCGGCCGAGCATTTCGAACACCAACCCGACCTCGACATCAAAGACCTAATCTCACTCGAAGATGTGATGGAAGAATTGCAGCTGGGGCCCAATGGGGGCCTCATTTACTGCTTTGAATTTCTGATGGAGAACCTCGACTTCCTCTCTGAGGCACTCAATTCGCTAACCGAAGAATACCTCATCATTTTCGACATGCCCGGTCAGATCGAGTTGTACACACACATCCCGGTGCTTCCGACACTAGTCAAATTCCTCACGCAGCCCGGCGCACTCGACATCCGGCTATGCGCGGCCTACCTCCTCGAAGCGTCCTTCGTCGTCGACCGGGCCAAGTATTTTGCGGGCTCCCTCAGCGCGATGAGCGCCATGGTTATGCTTGAGGTGCCACATCTCAACATTCTGAGCAAGATGGACCTAGTCAAGGACCAGATGCGCAGGAAAGACTTCAAGCGCTTCCTCGTTCCCGACACGACGCTGCTCGAGGACGACCCAGCCGAGGTAGCGCGCAAGAAGGCGGGCGTGGCGGTCGATGTGCACAGCGTGGACCCCGCGGATAAGGACGCGCTCATGTCGGGCGCATCGTTTCGGCGGCTAAACACGGCGGTCGCCAACCTAATTGAGAGCTTTAGCATGGTCAGCTACCTCAAACTGGATTGTACCGACGAGGACAGCGTGCAAGCGATCCTGAGTTACATCGACGACTGTATCCAGTACCACGAAGCGCAGGAGCCGAAGGAACTACCCGAGGAAGAGATGGAGGAGGAAGAATAAAGTTCTGTTGGACACACCGTGAGAGACGCGATAGATCCGGGTGGCCATTTGGATGGGGTACTTGTGTCCACACGGCTGATGTTGCAGAACGACCTAGGAAAGGTCGGAATGATTTGCATAGCGCTGGCGTCTGGTCATATAAAAGTCCTTTCTCTTTCCGAGGCTCTCGTAAACATGATGTCGTTTCCCCCTGAAATACAATGTGCTCCTCCATACCAACACAAACATGATACCCAACCCTTACCTATCCTAATGACAATCCCAACACCAACCCCAACTCCCAAAATACCCAATCCTAACCCCATCATCTCCAATAAGCACGCACGAACCGCTCTCACCACCATCCTCCTCCATTCCCACTCCCACCACCTCTCCCCGACGACCCCGACGACGGGCCCCCTCTCTGTCCTCCTCCCGCCCTCCCCGCACCATACGACGAAGTCGAAGCCTGCCTCTCAGCCGCCTGCGCCTTCTCATATTCCGCCCACCACACCTCCGCAGCGCCCACACTCCACCCAACCACCTTCCCACCCACAACAGCCAGATCCCGCGCCGTGCGCCCCACGCCCCGCTGCCACACAGCCGACACGATCAACCCGACGCACGCCCAAAACACCAGCTGGAACACGAGGCGCGTGCCGAAAAGAATCAATCGACGGATGATGCTGAGGATCTGTATGACCACGATGGCCACGAGGAGTAGTGTGCCTGCGGCGACGAGGCCGGGAGGGGCCGAGGCGAGGAGGATGGAGAATTGGGTCTCGAGCGCGGTGTAGAGTGGTTGGAGAGCTGTGAGGAGGGTGGAGAGGTGGGTGGAGAGTTGGGCTTGGGCTTTGTCGAAGAGGTCGGACATGTCGGGGGAGAGGAGGCGGGCGTAGAGACGGGCGAGGGCGGTGGTTGTGCCCGGGGGGAGGAAGTCTGTTGATGAAACCCGGTGTTAGAGGGAAGGAGAGAATTTTTGGTTATGCACGAGGTTGTTGTCTGTGCTTTTGCGGTCCGTTCCATTGTGGACTTTGATGCAGGATGCAGGGTGCAGGCGCGCGTTGAAGCGGCGCGTGGGGAAGAGAGGTGGACAAAGCGTACCTTTGAGGTTGTCAAATGACCAGTCCGATGGCTCGTCCATTTTCTTTTGACGTCACGTAGTAGATTCGCGCTCTCGGTCGTTATTGTTGTCGAGTAAAAGTAGAGAGTTGAGCGCTGTCCTGTGTCGAAGAATCGAAGAAGGCGGTCTCGATGCTGTTTTGTTTCGAGGATGTGACGTGGGGCAACCGGGACGCGCCGCAAGGAATCAGAAGACGGGAAAACTGGCCGCTGACGCAGGGGTTCCGCCAATAAAATCCGATATTTTGGCTACCGAAAGTGCGGCGAAGTTGGGGACGCAAGGAGAGATGCTTGGTTGCGATTATTTTACCACGATGCAGTGTCTGATCTGTTGTACGGAGTAACAGGACACTTTCCCAGTCCGCGATGGGGGCTAATCGAAATGGAAATAAAAAGTGGGGACAAGACAGAGTTCAAAGAAGACTCGAAGCCACAACCATATTGTGCTCGCTTCTTTGTCAATTGCTGTTTTCGGTATGATTGTTAATCTCAATATGGCTCTTGTCAAATACCGTATTGTAGGAAGAATCTCATGAAGCAAAAAGGCTAAATTAGCTCAAGACCAAAACTCCAAATCTAAGGGGTGCTTCTCCATCACCTAAATGCAGCTTCATCACCCGATCCACCGCCTTCCAATAGATGAAAGGTAAATCCGGAAATCTCCCTCTCGCTCCTTATACCTTACGCCAAAATAAGCGCACAATGCGGCTCGTACGCCTGTATGGGCCGAGAAGGACCTGTCTTTCGGTAGTCGCCACTACCAACGGCGCCCCATCTATCAACAATTCCAAGGGGGTCCAGTACCCTCGTAGTCGGTTGCCAATGCTCTCCTCGCCGAATCAGTCAGGCTATTGTGCCTTCTCAGCCTTCTTCGCCTTCTGCTCGCGGAACTTGGCAATCTCAATCCTAACCGCCTTATCCACGCGATTCTTAAGCTCCGGGCGGTAGCCCGCAATGAAGAGCAGCTCCAGCCAAACAAACAGCGGCGCCAGGAAGATAGCCTGAAAAAGGTTGTCCAGCAAGGCCGGCGCCCGCCCCTCAAACTTGCCGTGGCCGATAAACTGAGCGGTCCAGGAGACAACCTGCAGCGCAATGCAGATCTGGTTGGTGCCGACGGGGTCGTGCACGCGAAGGCAGTTGGTACCGGCCGCCGAGGCGACGCAGATGAGAGCCAGGACACCCCCTGCAACGGGTTCTAGGAGGAGGTATAGACCGCCCCATGTCAATGCGGCTAGTGTTCCGAGGTTGGGTTCTAGATAGGGTACTTGGAGCCATGGCGGGAGGGTGAAGAATGGCCCGTAGTTTGAGGCCTGGGTCAGGTTAGGTCAGTCATTTGCCGTTCATCACAATGGTATCTCAGAGGGTCACGTACGAGCTCAAAGGCGGAAAATAAAATCAGTGGTATACAAACCATGTGAATTGCCACGTTCACCTGGTCATGGTGGTACGCACCATACTGTGTATTACAAGCTGATGTTAACGAACGTACTCACGGGGACAACTGGTAGTCATGCGGACATGGTCTCACCAGTTTCGGGAGATGACGATGAGCTTACAAAGGTGAGTTGCTTCTCAAGGTTGAGAGACATAGTATGTTATGTGAAGCACTTGAAACCAAGGAAAACAATTGTAGGGTAGATGGGGGAGCCGCTTGAGGTGAGCACTGAGCGGAATTGAAGCCCCTGAGGCAGAGAACCCACGCGTTGAATAAGGGATCCAAGACCCAAGCTGGACAATGCGGTTAACGGAGAAAGAAGCGGCGTAAGGACAATGGTAATAATGATTTATGTTGATCATCGAGTGAGAGCAAGGTATACTGGGAGAAAGATTGGGCAGTTCAAAAAGTGTTGGGTATCTCACTCAAGCTGACTTGGCGAGATTCCAGGGGTGGGTGGAAGCAATGGAACAAACTTTGTGCCTCGGATGGTGCTGCGGGTCGCCTGAGCTCTTTCCCCACGGGGCATGTGGTACGTACCGATCACCCCATATCCAAATGTTACATTCTACGAAGGACAATGCTCTCTCAAGGTCCTCAAAACCTCTCGATTACCACCTTGTAGAATTGGTACCAGGGCGGATCTTTCTTTATTCTTGGTCTGAGCAAGAGACTGACTGTTGCACGTTATCCACACGCCCACCTGATTGTTCTAGTCCAGAAGATAACCAGCTAAATGTCCCAAACTCTTTTTGCAAGGCCTTATTTCGTTAAATTTCATCTTTTGGAAAGGCTGAACACCTCCGCAAGTTTGCTGCAAAGGATTTATGTATCCGTATTACTATATAATACCTTTTGTGAGAGAGAAAATACTGGCTGCATCGTTTCATTTTGCCAAGGCTGAGTTCCCAAGAACGCGGTCGCGCTTTGACAAAGCTTGTGCACGGACCAATACGTCAACCTCAGCAGGCATTCCATCAAAGGCTCAGCCTTTTCGTGCTCGCTCCCTGCGTCCGGTCAGCCTTAACCACCACGATCAAACAACGAACCGGGAAGAACTTGTCGGTCTATTAAAGACGCGCTGGGTCCCGCTCCCGCCAGCGGCACTTTTATCTCAGGACCGACGCTTTTCCTCCTCCGAACCGTGAGCAAAGCGGCAAGCATGCTGGCGCGCCTGCACTTTCGCTCATCCTAATCCTTCACCCGTCGCCAGCTTAGAAATTTCTGTCGTTCGGCCGCCTCAACACCCCAATTTGCGCCGCGCTTCTTTGTTATCCGCCCTGCCCCTGCGACGCCGCCGCCGATCTTGCAACATCTTTCTACGAGCGACCCCATCCGCTCGCCATTAACAACAAGCGCACCTTGATCGCCCACATCAAACGCCATCAAGATGTTCTTCCTCCACAACCTCGAGCGGACGGTGACGCTCCACCCCTCGTACTTTGGCAGGAATATGCACGATCTGGTCACGACAAAGCTGGTCAAGGATGTGGAGGGCACCTGCGCAGGCGACTACTATGTCATTGCTGTTATGGACACATTCGACGTCTCGGAGGGCCGTATTCTCCCCGGGAACGGCATGGCCGAGTTTACCGTGCACTATCGCGCCGTGGTCTGGCGCCCGTTCAAGGGCGAAGTGGTAAGCGCATCCTGGGCGCGGTGGGGAGAGGGGGGTTGGGAGATTATGCGACGTCTTGCAGGGCTAATTAATGGCTCCCCAGATCGATGCGATCGCTCAAACGGTGAACCCACACGGGTTCTTTGCCCAGGCCGGGCCACTCCGGTTATTCGTCTCCGCTCATGTAAGCTTCGAGGAGGGGAGGGCTCTCAGGAATACTTGGGGGGCACAGGTAGTGCTCGGTTGCTGACCCACGCAACAGTTGATGCCCGACGAAATCAAATACGACGCCAGCGCGACACCAGCACAGTTCACTAATAACGCTGATATGGTCATCGAGCAAGGGACGCATGTGCGTATAAGGATCATCGGTATGAGGGCGGAGGTCGGCGACATGTGGGCCATTGGCAGCATCAATGGCGATTTCCTCGGGTACGTACTATCGTTGGGTAGTCTTGGTTCTGGAGGGCGAGTGTGGTTGGGATGCTGACATGTCTTCCTCGACAGCTGCCTCCAAGCATGACAGCCTATCGGAGAGCAGGCGCACGATTCCAAATTATGAATGGGATATTCCTGGACCTATGAAATATGCCCACAGTGGCAAACACCCAAAAGGCCCAAACCAGATTGTCCAGCCGATACCCGAGTATCCGAGTATCGATACGAAGTCCCCCTTCTCAGCTTCCTTTCCCTTGGCAGCCGTGCCATGGATCGCCGTTGCATGTCAAGGGTTGGAAGCCAGCAGATGGGGCGAACAGGATTTATTTCGCTGCGGTTGGAGGTGGTAAATCAGCCGTGGTCGGCCGCATCCAGCGGCCCACGACTCACTATAGATGGATGTAATGCACAGCCAACTGCCCGTCAAATCAATTTTTGTTTGACCGCACTCAGAGCATAGCAAGTGGTGATCCAATGCCCATCCATGTGTGTACGGGCTGGGTTTCCGAGTATTGAGAGTGAGGGATTTGGAAATGTGATGTGATTCATTTCAAGATCTCCCCGTCACCGTCCCCTTTCCCACCAAACCATTCCATCATCGGGTACCCAAAACCAGAGACCTACTTAACACTTGCATTCGAGATTAGCTAAAACCAACCCCCGCCCGAGTATGTTCGGGCGTTAATCTTCGTCCTGCAACGGCTGGGGACATCATGTACATACATATTTCGATGCGTCTGCCTGTCTCTCGGTAGCGTCCCTCATACGTACTATAAAGTCTATCTTTTGACGCTGGGGGTGGTCTGCAATTGGTCCGCTTGGTGAGCCTGCATTTGGGATTGGGGGAAACTCGCTCATAACGGAGGGAGTTATGGAGTCGGTGGTGGTCCATCTCGGTTGGCTCGCTTCGCTTACTCTCTCTTGTTGGAGATGTGTGTGTCTCAGGTTGTTCGAAAACGCTATGGTGGGTTAGTTAGCCCCATCACATTCTCGGTTGTGCTACCAGCGAACTTGAAAGCTCTTTTTTTTTTTGCCTTTCGTGCTCTCTCCTCTTAGATCCATAAGCTACTGCTGTACTCCATGTTCCGTACTTCCGCGCGTTTGCGGGACGGTCGATCGTTCCCCCTGCTTCCTACGACGAGTTACACACACAAAAATCCTTTTTCTGCTTTAGGAGCAAGTAAAGTAAAATAATCTCCGTCAAGAAGTCAACAGAAACCAAACCTATCTTCCTTCCCAACGGGAACTGTGTCGGAGCGGACCCCCTTCTCCGTTTTTTTCACTGATAACGTTAACTTGATTTGCTTCTTGAGCGGACAACCCACGCCCGTTAACGTTATGTCTCAGTTCTGAGAATCAAAACCTAATGAACCCTTTCTCAGACCGAGGAAGAAAGAAAGACAAAACTAGCTCACGCCATGTACAGATCCGCATATGCCAGACATCTTAGTGCAAAGCGGGAAAGAAACATCTGAATCAATGAAACTGGCGGGAAATGCGAATGAGATACCAGCGCGAGATCCCACTTCCCCCTCCCCATTTCGTGCATACGCTACTGCATACTAGACTCTCCTGGTCCCAGACATGATTGATGGTGAAGACTGTGATAATGCCCAACACACAATGTAAGTCCGGTCCACGGTCTTTGGTATTCGACCTCCAGCTTCTAATCTTCAGTTTCTTTCCCTCCCTGCCTTTAGTTGCTGACGACCTACGGTACGGCCCGCGCAATGCAATGCATATTGCATATGCGATGGTAGTGTAGTGTGGTGGTGTTGCTGATGGGGTCTGTGACGGGGAGGGGGATGTGTATTTGTGAGGAGGCGTGCGTATAGAGTAATGCGGGTGCCACTTAGTAAGGAGACAGATGGGTGGGCGAGCGGAGCAGGAACGCAGAACCTTTCTCTTGAGTCCATTGGGATAGAGAGAAGGAGAAGGTCACATGCAGGTTGCCGTCGGGCACTGTTAGTTTCTTGGGTCGGACAGGTTCTTGAGATAAGTAGAAGGCGAGTGATCAATTGGGTTGAATACAGTGCTGCCGTTGAGTTATTGGGTAGAACGGAAGCTGTTGGGTCACGAGTGCGTGGACCGGAGAAGGGAAGAGGTAGAGATCTTGGGTTGGGTAACCCAAGGCATTCAGCTACCCGCCTGTTGCCGCCTATCGGGGACCAATGTCAAGATCGGGTCGTCTGCCTGTTATGCGTCTGGTCTCACAAACGCTTGTTCATGGCCAAGCCAAAGAGACGGAGCCGAGAAAACAGGGAAATATGCCACGATGTTGCGGAGAAAGACGTCGTGCATCCTTAGCCGAGCTTGCCGAGGCAGATCTTCAGATAAAAACAAGACCTGCTGCCCCAATTCTCAGCTTTTGTATGGATCGCACTCTTCAACCAGCCAGTTGGAAATTAGATCTGTCGTGGAACCGGGCATCTCTGTTACACAGTTCACCGCCCGCCTGTTGCGGCTGAGGAGCGATGCCCGCTGTCGACACTAGTGTAAACAACACATTAGCCTGTGTAACAAACGTCTTCGTTCTAATCCCCCCCCTCGGTTATTCCCTTGGTAGTATTGTACGTATGTCTGGGTAACTCCATCTCCGACGAGGTGTCGATTCTGTGGCTAACCGCTTTGTTTGTCTGTTGTGCAAAGGTTACACACCTCCTTATTCTCCCTTTCTCGGTAGCACTATTCTTGTTTTTTTTATGTCCCGGAATGTGGGCTAACCGCCGACAAACATCCTCAAGCAGGGAAAATATTAGGAAAAAAAGGCAAGACACGGTTACCCGCCACACCGAAGACAATTTCCACAAATCCAAGATCGTATTCTCTCTCTTATGCATCAATGTTGTGGATGTACCACCCAGCAAACGCACACACACCCACATTCATCCGTACAAAATGACCTTCTTCAGGCAGTCAAACCGTAGCCAATAAGAATTTCTCCAGTCTCACTTCACTTCATCCAGCTCGACAAATCCAGCTCGACTAAAAACGCAACCAACCCATCAGATGCAATCGTTCGTTCGAAGATCTCCCATCAGAAACGGCCGGAGCTCCAATACGAAGCACCCCGTCGATCCCACAGGCCGTTAGGTCGAGCCACGAGAGACATCTTGTCTATCGTGTGTGTGATGGAGGAGATGTTCGTCAGTAACCTCCCATCCTCAATCCTGACGTTCTGTAATGTAGTACAGAGTAGTAGTACCACCTTTTCGTACTTCCCATATGTGCCCCCAGGCGTGTTGACAACCGAGACATGTGTAAGATTGGCGCTGGACATCAGACCGCTTTCCCTACATTTCAATATCATTTGGTTAAATATATCACCAGATATGGGGACAGAAGGAGAGAAGTTGTTGTTAACTATTACACAAAGGGTTTTGGTTTGGGGGCGTGGCTTGAGTCGGATGATTCGGTTTCATCACGAGTTGAAAAAGTTGGGTGTAAATGTTGTTCCGGATCTGTACACTATCCTGAAGAAAAGGATCCCCCGTCAAGAAGAGAGACCAGAAATCAGTTTTACCCCTCTCCCAAGTAAGTACCCGCGACGATCTCGGTAATGTGAGAGATCGATCTCCCTCGCATCCCAAACCCAAACCAAATCCCAAATATCACCATGCCATAGGTCCAAAGGCTAGTGACCTGCAGGGTTCCGGGTAGCCGCAGGTCTTTCATGCAGTTGGTTCGCCACCCCCGGTCTCCCGGGCTCCTGGTCTCCATACCCTTCCCCCTCCTCTTTGTCTGTGTTTTCGGGGTTGGGCCCGATGCTCCGGGAAGTTTGACTTGGGTCTTTCTCACAGTATGGATTTGTTGGGCAGCATCTCGTATACACCGTACTGTATGTATGTACACTATGTATGTCTAGCTAGCTAGTAAGGTGAACGCTAGAATCTCATCCGTTCACTGTTACGAGGACTCCGACATCTGAACAGCCCCTCCATCTCTGGGGGCACCTTGATGTCTCGGTTTCCTTCTGCTCCTTGCCGTGGATCTGGCCCTAGTGTGGTTTCCGCTTGATCTTGGCATATGATATTGCCCGCAGCGGGAGCGGCCGGAAGGAACCCTGCGATCTGATCAGATCTACTATCTAGTGTGGAGTTACATACGTGGAGTCATGGGGGGCGGTGTTTAATAACTGTGTGCTACCAAGCGGCAGAGTCTGCAGATGCAAATCATGAACGACACCAGCAACTCATTATCGACCCAAACTTGCTTCGACGTCCTGAATGGTTGGATGGCGTGATTGGGGAAAGCACACCCCAGTTCGAGTTAGCGGAATCCATGGGATCTGAGACATGTCTTTTTTTTCCTTCGGGGATGATCTCAGTGTGTCCCTTTTTTGGTTTTGTTTCTTTTTTCTTTTTTTGGCCGTTTGTCTTTCTTTCTCACACCCCTCCTCAGCTCCTTGGCGGCCCGAGCCAATCCGTTTGCTTTATTTGACGGCATGTGGATTGTGGATCGGGGTAGGTCAGGATCACTCGGCGTTTACGCAGTAAATTGGGCTTTTGGCGAGTCGTAGTGTTGATCCTCGGGTCTATGGTGTACCGAGATGAGGGGGACATTGTCGGGATGGCTCGAGGTTTCTCTTATAATCGGGAGGTTGCTTGGATTTTGAGCTTGGGGGGTTTTGTTCTTTGCGGAGAGACGGCTTTGCGAAGAGACCGTGGGTAGAACTCAAGTACTCAAAACTCAATTGTCCAGAACCGAGTGTAAGTGATACCTCCTCAAAGAGCTGTTCCTCATGCTCATGACACCTGTCCTGGGAAACACCAGTGAAGCCCATGTTTGGATATTCACTCCAGCACCAATAGACCCCAACAAGGAAGCCTGTTCACTAACAATGCTAGCAGACAATACCAAACCTCGTCCCTAACCGTCCCATCCGGCTGATCCACTACACGCACAACCTCTCAGAGACCACCATACAAGACCGGGAAACCCCCATCCGTCCTATTACTCGTCCCTGTTTCCTGTTTTCTTTTCCCTTCCAGGCTTCCTGGACGTCCCTTTCCCTCTCCCCACCGCCAATCACAGAGCATGAGCACACCCGCAAGGTGACTGTAGGCGACACACGAGACGCCTCTCGGGTCACAACACCACACAGCGACAAAAAAAGATAGGGTGGGCTACTGTAGTTGGCTGGGCTGACACAACGAGGCTAGCTGACGGTAAAAGAAAAAAGAAGTGTGTGGGGGGTAAACATCATGTTAAGGGAACCTGTCCCAGTATAAAGAGAAGAAAAGAGATTGCTTGAAGGGATATCCACACGGATCACGCTGCACGGTGATCCCTCCCAGAAGGACCTCAGGGCCAGCTAGGGCAAGGCAGGCAGAAATTTGGCAGGGGTGATACGCCGGCAAGCAAACGTGCCTGGGCGCTTGAACAGGACGGGACTGGTGCGCATTGCGATTGGGAGTTGTTCGTTTGTTTGGTTAAGCCTAGGAGATTGGAGAGAAGAGTGGGAGTACGAGAAGCTAAGGCGGACCAAGAGGAGGAGGCGAGGAGTGCGTGCAAGGGAACGTGGTGTTGAGGGTCCTGAGATTTAGGATCCTGGGGGTATATATAACCCACTCGAGGGAGCGAGCAGCCAGTGCCGAGGACCATTCCGCATCGACAACACCTTGTTAACGAACCGGGGTTACTATACCCAACCGACTACCAGCTAACTAACCCACTAAGCAAACACCATGTTCTCCCTTCCCGCCCGTCTACCCCGGGCCTTGTCCCGCCGCGGCCCGTCAACCCTCCCACATTCTCGGATCCCGACCCAGATCCAGATCCAAACACAGACCCCCAAACGCTCCGTCGGATCTGCCCCCCGACTCCAAGCTTACATTTCCGATATTCGCCAGACGAACAACCACAACCACCTCCTCGACGGCGGGCCTGGCATCCTCCCCCATACTCAGAGTTTTGGCAACAGCAATAATAACAGCGCGACAAGAACGATACCGATTCGCGAGGCACGAGCTCCTCCCCCAGCTATTGCAGCTACTCCTACTCCTGCTCTTATAACCCCCTCGACAAACCTTACAGGTTTACCAGCCCCTGCAGAAGAGTCAATGGTACCATCCGTGGTCTCCTCCCACGCACAGCAGCTACAGAACCGTGAGGAGTTCTGGCGCAAGGTACCCATCTGGCGGGATGTTGCGGCAGAGGATTTCCTGTCGTATAGTTGGAGTGTAGGTCCTTCTACTCCATTCGCCCCCCCCTTTCCCCTTTTGGCAACGTGAAAAGAGAAACGAGAGGCCAGTGCTAACGATATTCGTATTTAAGACCCGAAACATGGTCGAGACCAAAGCCCAACTGCACCAGTTCCTGCAAGCTACCCTGCCCGACGAGGTTCCCTGCGACGGTCTCAACCCCAACGCCACCGTCAAAGGGCAGACCCAGACCCGCGAGGCCTTCATGTCGGATGTCTTCGAGGGCATCACAGCCGCGACAATGGCGGTGCGGATGACGTGAGTTTTTTCTTTCTCTCCCATCACTTTCCCCTCCTCCACTGCTTGTCACTGTCACGAATGACCGGGCGGGAAGATACTGACTGACGTGAACAGCCCCTACATCCTCAGCCGAATCAACTGGCTCGACCCGCGCAACGATCCCATCGCAAGACAATTCCTCCCTCTCAAATCCCGCATGATCCCCGACCATCCCAAGCTGGCACTCGACTCTCTACACGAAGAAGCCGACTCACCAGTCAAGGGGCTGGTCCATCGGTATCCCGACAAGGCTTTATTTCTGCGTAGGCCCCGCCCGCCTTTCTCAAATCCCCCCTAGCCTGCCCCCCAAACTATCTATATTCCCCGCATCATCTTTACCTAGAAAGTTTGAACCTGACACTGACTCGTTAACATTGATTAGCAACATCCGTCTGCCCAACCTACTGCACCTTCTGCACACGATCCTACGCCGTCGGCGCCTCCACTCCCACCCTCTCCAAAACCCCCTTCAAGCCCGGCCGGCGCCGGTGGGACGCCGTATTCGCCTACATCGCCTCCCAGCCCCAGCTGCACGACATCGTGGTCTCCGGCGGCGACGCCTACTACCTCCAACCGGACCAACTAACCGAGATTGGTGAACGACTCCTAGCGTTGCCGAATATTCGGCGGTTTCGGATTGCGTCCAAGGGGCTGGCGGTTGCGCCGGGGCGGGTGTTGGAGGGGCGGTTGGGGGAGAAGAAGGGGGCTGGGGATGGATGGGTGGATGCGATGGTTGGGTTGGCGAAGAAGGCGAGGAAGGTCGGGAAGGCGATGGCGTGGCATACGCATTTTAATCATCCGCGGGAAGTGTCGTGGGTGACGGAGATGGCGGCGCAGCGGTTGTTTGAGGAAGGGGTGATGGTGCGGAACCAGACGGTGCTGTTGCGTGGGGTGAATGATGATGTGGCGACGATGGGGGAGTTGATTCGTGTTTTGGCGGATAATAAGATCTTTCCCGTGAGTCCCCCTTTTTTTTCTGTCCTCTCCTTGTTTTTTCTGTACCCTCCTTTTTCTCTTCCACTTGCCGTACTCCAACTAACGCAGAACGCCAAACAGTACTACGTCTACCAATGCGACATGGTCAAGAGCGTCGAGCACCTTCGCACCCCGCTACAAACCATCCTCGATCTCGAGGCCCAGCTGCGTGGTTCCATCGCCGGCTTCATGATGCCCTCGTTCGTCGTCGACCTACCCGGCGGCGGGGGCAAGCGTCTGGCCTGCTCGTACGAGTCGTACGACCGCGCCACGGGTGTGTCTACGTACAGGGCGCCCGCGGTCACGGGACGGGATAAGGAGAACCGGGTGTATGAGTACTATGACCCGGTCGGGGAAGTCTTGAAGGGTTGAAGGGGGGGTTGGAGATGAGCTGGCGCTGGCGCTGGCGCTGGAGCTGGAGCTGGAGCTAGACAGCTGGGCTGTCAAAGGGGGTCTTTTGCTTGGGGAGGAGGCTTTGCTATCCAGGAGGATCTTTGCTGATCGTATGCTTTTAAGCGTTATCTTGATGCCGTGATATGCACGGCGCGGATACAACCCAACGGAGAAGATCATCAGGAGCCAAGAAAGCAAAAGTGATGAACCGGTGACGCTGAGTCCGAAGATGCTGGAAGTGAACCTACCTTAGGTCGACGGGGTTGTGGCCGACGCAGAGACCATACACAGCCCATCCATGGCCCATCTACACTTCTCCAAATGTCAACAAACCTAGATCTAGTGTAATCAAGCATTTCTCACCCATATCACAAACCCCAGCCAAACCTACCCCACTAAACTTAGCCACTCTTCGGTCTAACACTGACTGCCACAATGATCGAGCTTACTATGTGTAGGTCCTTGGTGGCCAGCAACATTCGGTATTATCCGTCATGGAGTTGGACTTCTACCCCACCGGCCCCCGGCCACGGCATGATCCGTTCGATCGGCCCCACTTAAGCCGGGGCCGGGACCCCCGAGACAGCTCCATCCAGTTTCGAGTCCGATTTGGGACCTCTCCACAAAAGAGTAAAAAATGCGTCGAAAAATATCATCTAGTGTAAGATGTGTGAGTTTGGACCTCCTCCGGTGTTGGTCGACCTCGGCATATTTTTCTTGGGTTTTTTATTGCCTTGTCCGAATGACTCGGGAAGTCACTAGTGTATGGAGTGTCTGCCTCGCAGACGTGCGCAAAATCCCATCTCGGCACTTTGCTGGTCCCAAGCGCGGCAGTAACGTCAAATTGACAAGATCAACCCCAGCCGGCCTCCGTCCCATTTGAGGCACCGAAAGCGGGAAAGAAAGTGGCTTCGCACGACATCTGTTTTCCCTGTCGGTGTCGTGCAGATGGGAGGGAGATTGCAATTTCCAGGGTGAGGGGGGAGCTCAATTTTCCATCACAACGGACAGACAACCCCAATTTAGCACCGGCTAGTTGATCACGTCTGCAATGGGCTTGGGGTGGCGTGTTTCCCACATGGTTTGACTGCGCTTGTTGCTCGTGGCCGGCTTCATGGGTTGTCTGCGATCTGCAGGTTGCTTTTTTGCTCCCCATTTTCCGAATTCATGACCTCGCATTCCCTTCTTTTCCCCGCCGGCCGTAGTGGTATCATAGTGTACACTAGTGTACACTAAAGGTCGGCGACGTTGGAGGTGGAACAGTCTTGTTCCCTGCGACCCCAGACCTTGCGTGCGGTTGCCCATCATTTTCGGCTCTTTTAAGTGGGCCAATGTCAATCTCTCGGAAATCACTTTGTTGTGATCAGAGTGCTGACTTGCCCCATTGACGCCACAGGCCGAACTCGAACGAACAACCATTCCTCACCTAGGCAAGCCTCACCAGGTGCTTGGGATTCTGGGGTCCTTCGTCATGAATCGTGGCTTGCAGCAGCATGTGTTTGGTCGTCGATGGGGAGGAAATGCTCCTGTTCCAAGCAATCGTGGGCAAGCATCAAGCTCCGTGCCGATAAGCACGGCATCGGATCCAACAGCGAGGCCGTGCGATTTCGGCGATATTGTCTTCTTTATTGCAAATGAGGAGACCGACAAAAATGCTCAACGGCAGAGAGACGATCGCGGACCAACGGCGCGCCGCTAGCTCCCCAAGAACAACGTGCTGAATGACGTTTTGTATAAGCCGCTGCAGTTGTTGAAGACGCTGCAATATCACAACCCCTCGGTTCGCTTCGGGTTCCTGCATTCGCCCACGCAGAAGAGCGAATGGAAACGGCGCAAGCAAGCAATGCTACTGGACGTCTCATCGAAACGCGATTCTAGAAAGCGCGGAATGATATTGGGAGCCGATCCCATTTGGAAGCTGGAACCGGTGTTCCTAAGATAAACTGAGCGCAGCCGTTGGTTCGAACCACAGCCACGGAGTCGTACAAGATGCATGCGCACCGCCCGAACTGGTGGTTGCACCGACGTCGGTGTTTAATCTGAGCATTCCCAATGGGGTTACTTATATTGGGACGGGGAGCCGCCGCTGTGCCGCATTTCCGCAGGTGTGGGCTTGACATCTGCCTCTCTTTTTTGTGGTGTTTTTGCCTTGACATCTCGTCCTCAGAGGACGCCCAAATTAGCATGGCCGGTGCTTTTCCCGAAGAGCCCAGACTTCGTCACGGAAATGTTGTGTCGTAGGCTGAAACAAATCAGCCTGAGACATTCATGGATGGGGCCTGTCCTCGAATGTTCAAGTGCTCAAGGCACCGGATATTCGCTCAATCGATGGAACCCGTCGCCGAACCGAAAGGAAAAAACTCGGTGGGGGTGCAAATGGCGGTAAGTCTGACGACTCGCTTGAAGAAGACGCGACGCGAACCAGCGACAACGTTACGATGCTGCCTCACGTTTCAGATGGGTAAACACAAAAAAACACTGCAGTCATGCTGCAAAGCTTGGACGGGAAGCCTGACTGACCGCCGGCCAAAGGCCACGTGTGAGGCGCTGGATCTAAGACATCATGGCGAAAGGATCCAAGCCCGCCCGTTTCCGGACCTCTCAACGGTGAGGAGGCTCCGAAGCCGAGTGTTGGAGCTCGTCCGCGAGGGAAGGATCACAACCCCCCACCCCACCTGCCAGCTCAGCAGCGCAGCAGCGCAGAAGTGGAAAATATCCGTATCTGTGACAGCCTGTTCGCTTGCCAGTAGGCTGCGAGAGAGTCGTGGATCGAGGATCGCAGCCTGGTAGCGAGGCGACGGAACCCCTAAGCCCGTGGAAGGTTGTGCGTTTGCAAACAAGCCGAAGGCGAGCGTTTGCAGGTGCCGGCTTGTTCTCTCTGGGTTTCCGAAAACGTCATTGCGTCAACCCAGCCAATCTATTTCTCCCCAACCAACAAGCTGATTTGGTCGTGGCCGTCAACCACTGTATTCGAGACGAACCTGCACCGTGTTAGCAGGGGGCAACGCGCAAAATGTGCGGGTGTGTATCTCTGCGTCAATGCAGCGAGAACACAGGTTCCTCCTCAAAGTCCAGCTGGAGGCGACAACGCGGCACAGGCGTGTGTTTTGCTCAAGTAAAAAAAGCTGATTCGCGAGTTGGTTGAAAATGGGCTTTCGCAACAAACCAACAGTGCCAATTGGGCGGTCAGTTGGGGCTTGGGAGCCTTCTTGCTCCCTTGCTTCTAAAGCGGATGCGCCTTCCAAGCTCCGTGCCGCAAATTCTGACTGTTGACAGTTCGTCGGGCAGCAGCGATCCCGTCCTTCTCCCCGCATTGGAAAAAAAAGAAGAAACGCGTCTGGGGAAAGAGCTGATAAAGTCGCCCTTTCCCCGGAACGCCACTGCTTGGACGTTGATTATCAGCCCAAATATACATGTGCCCCCCACCCACCGAACAACACAGTACCGTACGAATTATAGGACGGGTCTGATAATATTCCTCTTTTTGCCAAAACATCGGGACGAACCTCATTTTCTGTGCCGCCACCCGTCCCGTCGGGAGTCCAGAGCCGCAGAAAACTCAGACAAAACAGCGTGTTCCTGATCACAGACCGCCGGTTGTCTCTCTTTTTTTTCCTCCTTTCAAGGCTCCCCCCACGAATCGGCTTCAAACCATGGCGCTTGGTCGTTGCTGACCCGCAATCGAAGAGAACTCGCTTGTCTTCCATCTGGAGGCTGAGCCAGAGTCGCATCCTTGTCGGTCCCTCGCGCGTCGGTCTTGGCCCACTTTGAGGGCTTCTCCCAACTGGCTGGAGCCCTGAACAGGAACACCACTCCGCCAGGGTTGCTCGCGCCTGCAGCAACCAGTCGTGAGATGGAAAAGAGCAGGGCCTTCCCGGCGGCTTCTGGCGGTACCCCAGAGGGGGATGGCGCTATTTCCGCGCTGGCGACTCCAAGGGTCCATGGTGGAGTGATGGGCGACAATCGCGCCCACGACTCCGCCGTCGACATGCCGGGGCTGATTCGAGAAATGGGAACAGGGGTAGCTTCCCCGTCGGCTCGCCCGTTGTCGCCAGCACCACCCTTGACACCCCGGGCGGCTTCATCAAGCTCGCATGTCCCTTTTCTCATCAGCTCCTCCTCCATCGCATCCTCTCGGCGTCTCTCTTCATCCCCCCTCTTCCTCCATGGTACGAGCCAGAACAACGAACCAGAGACAATCCTATATCCCCCATCCAGCCTCGACCATCCCGATCTTGTTGTCGATAACGCAACCTTCTACCTCTCTTCGGGGTCAAGATCCAGCAGCACCTCCAGCTTGTGGTCGACTGATTCGGACGACAGCGACAGCGATAGCGAGTCGCAGACGACACCGATCATCACCATGCCCGGCCAAACGTTTGACGCCCTACCGGGGCATCAATTCCCTTTGTCCAACACCGCCAAGATCGACAACACCTTCCAATTGCCGCCATATTCAGCTGACAGTGGGAGGAGCGAGCAAACGCCTAGCCCGCTAAGCTTTTCGCGGTGGACCAAGAAACAACATAACTTCGACTTGCAGAACAGCCAACAAGCCCGGAAATTGAGGCGGCGCGACCAGAGCAAAGACAGCTCGAGGCGATATGGTCTTACGCGGGCTGGCAGCGTTCAAAAAAGACAATCAGGTTGTGTTCCGCAGATGACGCGCGAGGAATTCGAGGCTCTGCCCCTGGCGATACAAAGAAAGGTGTGTAGCAAACTGCATTTTCTTTAACTATTATCTCCCCCAATTCCATCAAAACGCCCAGCGCTTCAGAAATCTACCCGCACGTTATCTCCGCATTAGCGTCCTTGGGCGAAACAATGTTTCCAATTCTCCGGCTGGCAAACATTCGCGACTCCTCTCCCCACTTTCTCATTATTGGCCGTCCTGCGAGTGCTGCGGCTTGTGGCTGGCTTCACCTTCACACCTCCGCCCCAGTAAGCGGAAGAACCAATTGGAACGCCTTCCCTGAACCCAGGCGACGCTGTCGCGGGCAGCTCATTACAATGGACTTGCGCTCACCTCGATGGTGGTTCGAGTCCAGAGTCTCAATGACAACGAGATTCCGAGCAATCATATTATCGGTGTCGGTGGTGAGCAGCCACAGGCTCAAACAGGGAATTGCCTGTCCCGGAATACCCAATTCGGACGAAACAACCCACACTCATCCGTCTGAACTCGCCGTGTTCCTGAAAGCTGCGGGGAAAAGGGGAGCTTGGGCCAGCAGTTTTGCACCTCTGACGGCCGACCTCCTCCAGAAATGGAGCTTTCGACGTATGTCCCACCAACCTAGCAGCAAAGAGGGGTCCGTTGAGGTCGTTTTGCTTCTTCAACCGGACTTCCACGCCACCAAGTGGTGGTCCGCCGCCGGACGTGGTGTTACGTCAAAAGGAAACATCGGTGGGGGTTGGTAGTGGCAGTGTGCGTGTGCTGAAATGCGTGGCCAACGCATATGCACACCCGACCATCGCTTCGTGTCTGGGTTGAGCACTTCCCGCAGTGCGAGTCGTATTGTACGAGGGGCAAAATAATGCAGCTCTATCACGGACTTTTAGCGTTCGCACCTGCAGGTCCCGAGACCTCGCGGTTTTCGCGCGCTCCCCATTCGCTGTTGACCGGGGACCGTTCCTTGCATTTCACCAAGCAGTGCGACTCGCTCATGCTGCAGCCTCTTCGCTTTCCGTATTCTGGGTCTCTCTGTTTGATTTCCAGTCACTAAAATGGTATCCTTTTTTCTAGTACTTCTCAACATTGGAGCGACTGCGCTTCGCCCAAGATTCCGGGCTCGTCGAGGGCATCTCACGCCACTACGACGATATATCAAATTTTAAGGGCCGGAAACCCCGCCAGGGCCGTCGTGGTTCGGGACACCTTGCTGGCCGATCCCGCGGATCCGCCTCTGAGTTTCACTTGCCCGTGTCTGATTCGTCGCCCACGTGCGTCAACCACCCAGAAGCAACACGAGAAGGGGGGTCTGGCCGGGGGAGCACAAATCGCCCGATAATACGCCATCGCGCCAGTGTGATCCTTGATGCTGCTGATGAGGCCGTATATAAGCTGAACCGCCAACCCAGCCGTCGGAACCTTCCATCCGTGGTCGACTCTCCGCCACGGTCTCTCTCGCCCGCCCGGCACAGCATGGACTCCCACTCTCGCGCGGTGCTTGATGGTCCTACCCAACGGCCCGCGGACGTTCCCCAATCATTCTACGACAGCTTCCGCTGGTTGGACGAGGAAGAGGACCTCGACCTGCGGTTGTTCCTAGACGACTACCACGCCAACCTGCGGGAAGGAACCCCCACATCCAAACAACGGCCTTCGTTTCGTCGCACCATGTCGATTAACAAGGCTCCATTCGGCCGTCGGAGTTCGATATCCTCCACAAGGCCTCCCACTAAGGGCGCCACCACGCCATCCTCGCCGATCCACAGCCCATCTAACAGCATTTCCGGTGATTTCAGGACCCACGCGAGACGCAAGTCGCGTGCCCTGTCTCTGATCGCACCCAAGCACGCCGCCCAACCATCCATCACGGGCTTCGACCCTGCCGCTACACACTACCAAGACCCCGAGGCCCGGTTGAAGCTGCGCGTGTACCTGGCTTCGCCACAAAAGTTTGACGAGGCCGTCGAATTCGGGTTTCCTTCCGCCGACGCGCTCTCCCCCGCGCCGGTAGTCAACACCGACGACTCTGACTTGTACGGGGAGTCCTCTCGTGGGCCCGCTAGCATGCGCACCTTCATGACCGGCCTCGACGGCGACGACAACGATGATGACAACGTTTCTCTCTACAGCGACCGCGGGTCGTCGGCGGAGATTGACTCCCCCAAGACACCAGAGCCGTTTGAGCAGCGGCCGATCGTCTCGCGCCATGCGCGTTTTGCCTCGGAGGGCGGGCTTCTTGGGCGGGACACCGGGAGGAAGACTCCAGAAGGGTATTTCTATGCCCAGGCCCCGGCTTCGTCGCGCGAAATGACCCTGCGGATGACCCTTACCCGCCCCGATCTCCGCGCCAATGAGGAGGATATGTATGGCTGGCAGCAGCAACAACAAAAGCCCATCTACCAGCAACATGCACGCCGGCCTACGGCGATGGCCGCTCTGCCCTCGGAACAGAGGAATGTGCCCGTTCGGTACAGCGTGCAGAAGGATAGCCTGGATCGGTTCCCGGAAGTCGACCACTGGAACGATGCCCCCGTCGAGAAGGGCGTCATGCGGCGACTTTGGAACCGTGTGCGGAGGGTGTAATTTTCTCTCTCGCTAATGGTACACGATACCTCACCTGTCAGATCTCTGACTCGATTTTTTTTCTAATTTGGAGACCGCTTTGTTTCTCCCTTTTGACACGAATGTAACGCCTCTCGCTCTCGCTATCAAGCATTTTACTCTCATTTGTGCGCGGCACCAACAGCTGCTGGTAAAAAAAATTTATTGGGGATCAGTTTCTGTTGATTTTTGCAAGGCGCTACGGATTTCTGTCATATATTTTATATCTTTTGGTTTCATCACCGCATTTTTAGGGTGTCAGCGAAGGTGTTTTATGTCTATACTGGTTCTATTAGCATCTCACGATGAAGTCTTTTTGGTTGCCCAGATATCTTAGACGGAACCCAACTTGGAAATTGACGGCGTCAGAGCCAATGTCTTATTCCTTGCTCACTCACTGTCCCTGTCCTGAATGTCTTCTGCTCTGTCTACAAAGTACCCAAAGTCGCTCTGTCTCCCGAAAAGTCCTGCCAACAACCCAAAAGAATAAACCGCCGCACAGACTGGATCATGATACATGAGAACATGCAACCACCCCGCCAGTTGACCCCATCTGCGGGCCTCCGAAACCACATGTTCCCAGTCCCCTAGTGCAGGAGGTTGCACGACCTAGCCGCGGCATCTACACTATTCGTTGGCCGGTTGGTCAGTGGTCCCGAACCAGCGTGGTGGGTGGACTCGGGCGATGCGCCGAGGATTTTAAGTGGGTTTTGGTTTAGTGGATTCTGGTTTAGCTTTTTGGCTCTTTTTTTTCTCGTGCCAATTCTTACGGTGGGCTGGCTGCGCGGGTGAACCCCGCGTTTTTGCTTTGATGAAGAGAGGTCGGCGAGGTTGTGTTCAGTTGTGAAGTGGTTAGTGTTACATCGGGCGCTTGGAGGGGGAAACTTTCTGTGTTAGCTGCATTGGAAGGGTGTTGGGGAAAAGGGGGGCGCATTAACGTTATCGTGCAGTCTGGGATGACAAGGCTGCGAGTCAGCAGGGGCGTGCAGGGCGTGCAGACTTGTGGGTTTGTAAGTGATCGAGCGGTCAACGTCTTCTTCTTGTTCCCGACCGAGGGAAACCCCGGGGAGACGAAGATGGGGACAACGCAGGGCAGGGTTATGGTTTGATACTGTCTATGTACGGAGGACTCGGAGCAGATACACATGTTGCGGGTAAAGAGAATGGGGGGCGGTGAGTCTTGGGATGGGCCTACCGTTGTTTTCAGTCGGGTTTCAACTCACTATTGATCCGGTATGTTGGCCGTGTCAGGGTTGGGGATCCCAGGGTTAATGGTAGCGAGTTATTCCGGAGAATTGGGAATAGTTACCATTTACACGAGTTGTCTTGTTTCATTGTGTTGATGGTCAATACCAACACTCCCATCAATATGCACTACATACCGTACAATCCTTGTTTGTTTTGTTCTTTTATGCAAGAGTTCCAATTAGGCTCAAGCAAGTCTTTTCCCTCTTCCTCTCTCGGGAAAAGAGAAAAAAACTTCGTCTGAGACACACGTGGATTTACGACCAGGGATAAGCTTTTTTTTTCCTCGCTTGTCTCTTCCTCTCGCCTCACCTCTCCACCTCCGAGCCAGATCGAGCCAAAGAACAAGATTTTACCCCCTTCCCCGGTTCATCCATCCCAGGCTGATCATCGGAGCCGATCTTGAAACCCCGGGATTTCACTTTTTCTTGTGAACACATCTGGCGGTGAAGCTTGCGAGGGGGGGGTGGAGGGGGTCGGGTCGAGTGTTTCTTTGTCAAACCTTGTCAAACCTTGTCTCCCGACTCCGAGCATCCGTGGCATCCCTCGCATGGAAGTGGCGAGAGAGAGGCAGGCAGAGGCAAGGCAAGGCAAGGCGAGCTTGCAGGCTTGCAGCTGGGGGTTGGGTTCTCGGGTCATAACAACCGGATCGTCGGTCAACACTGGGAACGGCAGGGGAGTTGTGGAGCTTGTGGAGTTCGTGATACGGGGAATTCCGTGGGGGGTTTTTTTTTCTTCGGTGGTTTGATGTGGGGGACGGGAAAGATATCACGGAGTTGGTGTGTTGTTTAGTCATTCGGCAAGTAGTCAAGAGGTCGGTGTTTTGATTTTTATTTTGCTCCGGCGATTGTAACTTTGTAGTGTGTGTACTTCCAACCTCGCGAGCTTGTGACGTGACGTGACGTGATGAGATCGCGTCTTGCATGCGGGAGGGAGTCACCAAGAGGCGATCGTCAAATGCGAATGCATTTCCCCCCGCTGGTCACCTGTTTCCCCACAAACCGCTACCTTGTACGGACAATTGATCACATCTCTTCCCGCCTACGACGTTCTTGAAAAGTTGGGGGACTCAGCTGGGAAGATGCAGCCATCACGCACCCAATCCGGCGGTCGTTGTCTTGTTCCAGTCTAAAACCCAGCGCTTCGGTCCGGCCCAATCCCGTTTTAGAAAGGGGATGTCGCAGTGTGATGGGAAGCGGCTCGGGGTACTAGAGCGCTAAAATGGGCGACGTGCTGAGTTGAAGATGTAAGCCGCGGGTTAGTTGAGAGGATGTGATGCGATGGGTGGGTGAAATGGGCACGGATTGGTCGGCGAGTCGCGGGCATTTGCAGCAGAGAGAGACAATGAGCGCCAAAGACTCGGAGATAATGTGATGCCTTGCAGTCTGCTTCTATCACGCTGCTGACAGGAACGAAGTAGATTCTGCAAGCCCGAGTCAGTGAGTATTTGTGGTGTCAGTTTTAATTCGTTGACTACCGTGAGACTTTTAGCCCCAGTGACTTACACAGAGACAGGTGATTGAGCCAGGAGCTCTTTTCCTGTCTCATTCGATATGGAACTCGGCAACCAAGACAGCCTCAGGCTGTGTGTGGCCTTGCCTCCTAGTGATACATGTAAAAGATAGGCAGCCATGTCGACTTCTATGTCGCGTTGTAATTGTCATGAGAATGGTATATCATAGTAGGCATGTCTCAAGATGGGGAAATGGAAAATTGAAAAAAGAAAAAGGTACAAAAAGCTCACTGCCCACCTCCTCCAGTGGAACAGCTACGAAAAACCCGAGGGTTTTTGCTTGGGTGCCCCCTCCGTGAGTCGAACTCAGGAAGGGGAGCAAGCAGGCAGTACGGGGTACTGCCCGCGCCTCCCCAAATGCGCCATCCGCGGTTGGGCATTTGCCGGATGAGGGGGCTGTTGGGAATTGGTGGTGGAAGGGTGGGTTATAAAGGGCTGTGTAGGATTTGGGGGGGGGGCGGCGGGGAAGGAAGGAAACCGCCATTATCAGGTGATGGAAAACACAACCTGGCTTGCCTTCTCTTCAATACCGTTTTTAGCTTCCTTTTTGTAGTTTCAATGCTTAGATTACACCCCGAGCTTCCCATTACAGCGTAACGTGAACGGACGTCGGTACGGCCTCGGGGAGGTATCCATATTCCAAGTAGATGACAGTGGGCACTACGTAGAGAAGGAGGAAGTTCACACATTATATCTTCAGTAAGAATTAAGTCTGTCAATACCCCCACGGCCGTCTTTGCCCCAGATTAATACATGCGATCTCCATCTCAGTTGATTTGGAGCAGTGGAGGAGACAAAGACGGGTGACACAAAATATATGTTACCTGGTGCCGACATAAATGCCCTCGTCATCTGATAGTGAGGACCTTGCCATCGGCTACAGTGCCACGTTGACCCTGCCTCATGTACCAGAGGTTATGTGTCTTGTCAGTATCCTTCCCGAGGTCCTCTCGACACGGAATGGGGCATTTGGACATCTACTTGATGTCTAGGTCAGGCAAGTCAAGGTCGGGACATCAAGCACATTCTCATAATAACACCGGCTCTAGATAGCCTTAATAACGCTAGGAATCGGAACATACACTGTGGCCTTCTTAGCCCATATACTTGTAGCACGCTGGTTGTATTACTCATGCACTTCATTGCTTCTCACATACACATAGACTTATCCCAACGTAGTTTCCATCTCTGGTAATCCATCTCCTTGTAAAACCCTTAGGGGACTGTCTCTTTGTAAGACGATACATCTCAGTCAATCCCCGTCCGGTGTCACTTACATGATACCTCTCCGTTTCCCCATATGTAAAAACTAACTCATAGGACTTCTAGACCGGGTTCCTATCGCATGTGCATATGTCCCCTCCTTTTCACTGGGAACAACGCTCTCCTTGTTGTAGATATGTCTTCTGGGGTGGTCTCCCATTTTGACGTCTCTCCTCGAGACATGCTGTCCGAGGCGGTCTTTTCGGCAAGCCTTATTAGACTATTTCCCTCTTGAACAATCATCACCCTAGACGATCTCTTACTCAGAGAGCCCCTAAGATATCCCCTTCCTTAGCATTTTACTTTCGACAATTTTATTCCCTCTCTTAGAGAGTATCTGTTTTAGATAATCGTCCTGTGAGATAATCTCTCTCGGGCAGTTACCTTATTCAACAATCTCTCGCTCTCTAGAACAGTCTCCCCCGGATAGTCTCTTCCTTACACAATGCCCCTCATATACGAGCATCAATCTATATCTGGTCTCTCTCTCACTTACGTGGTCTCCTTAAGACAACCTTTCTCTTTGAGATAATACCTCCCTCATACACTCTCACATTCTCAGGTAATGTCTCTCAGATAGTCTCACTCTCCGATAGTATCATATTCGAAAGTTCTTCTCGGACGGTCCAACAATCTATCTTTCAGATAATCTCCCCCAAGTAATGTCGTTCTCATCTGCAACCAATCTGTTTCTCATATAGCCTCCCTCTTGTGTAATGTAGTCTTATTCTCGGGCCGCCGCTTTCCGACAATCTCTCTCTGACAATCTCTTGTTTTCTCCTTTACATACCTTCAAACAGCCTTTTTTACGTACACGTACGTCACAACACGGAACAAGACAGCAGCAAATACAGCAGCACTCACACAGTAGCACAAACAAATCAAAACAATACAAACTAAACACAGCACCTCCCACCGCGCTCAACTCCAAAAAATAGCCTATCCATACATCACACATCTATCCACCCACCCTATTCCTGTCCAACCCATTCAAAGTCAATTCACTAGTTATCCTCCACCTCTATACCCAATCCCAGCCCCTATGCCAAAACGACACCGCGCCCCGCAACACCCAACTTCACCGGCCTCACGCCTCCTCATCGCTCTCCTCCCCCAACAACTCCCCCTCATCCTCATCCACAACCGTATAATCCCCCCCCCTCGCAAAACTATCCCTCGTAGTAAACCTTGAACCAGCACCCCCACCTCCAAGCCGACTCCACCTCCCCCTCCCATCAGGACTCCCGCCAAACAACCCCCTAACCCCCCTCCACGCCGCGCCCGCAACAACAGGCAACGCAACCACCACAGCAGCGACCGCACTAACCACAATAATCGGATACCGCACCCACGGCTGATCCGTCTCAAACACCCCTCCCGCAGCGCTACCACCGGACCCATTCCCACCGAGGCGAATCTGTCCAAACTTGCCACTCCAATTCCGCCAGACATACCAACCCGCCGCCGCAGCCAACGCAAACGGGATAGTGACCGCAAAGAACAACCCCACGCCCGAAAGGCCGGAATGTTTCCGGTTGAATTCATCTTCATGGTTCGGGCAGAAGTGAGCGGTGGACGGGTCGTCGCTGCGGTCGAATTGGACGCCGTTGACGCAGGTGGTGAGGGGGATGCGGCGGTAGCCGGTGGGCTCGTGGTATTCAATTTCGTCGGGGTGTTCGGCGCACCAGACGAGGGGGTCTTTGGGGGAGAGGCCGGGGACGAGGGAGCATTGGCCGAAGGCGTCGAGTTCGTAGTTGTAGTCGCTGGGGTAAGTCTGTTAGCAAGGGGTCTCTCGCAAGGGGGTGAGAATACCAGCGGGCAATAATACCAGCCGTAAAGCACCGGCCGGTCAATGATGGAAAGGGGAAAAGCGGAAAAGGGGGAAAGGGGGTGAACGAGTAAAAAAAAACTCACCACTCAAAATCCTCCCTCGAACAAGTACAATTCTGCTTCCCATACAATGGCTGCAACCGAAAATCATTCCAACACTTCCGATCATGCTTCTTCCTCAAATACTGCGCCACATGTCCAAACAAACACCCATCTTCCTGCATCGGATGCGACGGCGACCACACGTCATAATCCGATTTCCCGGCATCCTCCTGATCCAGCTCACACACCCGCTCGCTGAACCCGGAGAAATCGATGTTCGTCGTAAACGGCCGGCCGCGGGCGTCCTGACCCCAGAGCAGGAAGTTGCGCGACCCCCCGGATCGCAGGGTCGTGATATCCCAGACTTCGGCTTCGCCACCGTCACCCTCGACAAACTGGTGGTCCTGCCAGGTTTGGCCCGCGTCGAGAGAGTACGATAGTGTCTTGGTCTTTTGCTGCGCGACGGGTGTGGTCTGGACTAGCACAATAACACCGCCCTGGTCGCCGATAGCCCAGGTCCACTGGCCCTTCTTGACTCTCTTCCACGATACCCCCGCATCCGTAGTCATGAACGTGTCCGAGTCCTTGCGCGGGCCGAGCGAGTCGCCAACGTTGCCCCACGCAAACATGATGCCCACGGCGCTTTCGGACGAGTACGTCTTGCCGCGAACCCGCCGCTCAGTGTAGCCGTGCAGGTGCAGGGCACACTTGTCGTCGCCCGTGGAGGCCGAGGATTGGCAGGGGAACTGGCCAAAGTCGTCGTGGCGAGGGGTGGGCAGGTACGCCCATTGCGCGCCGTCGTTGTGCGTGATCTTGGTGTGGAGTTTCTTTGGATCGCTGCTGTCTTCGCCCTTGCCGTCCCTTCTGGCAGCCGCATTCGCTACGACATTGACTAGGGCAACGCCCTCGAGCCCGGCGATCTTGTCGAAGTCCACGTACGAGTCCTGGTCACAGTTCACATCCCGGACACTGACCACATACGACGTGCCGTTGGAGTTGCTCTTGAGGATGGTGCCCAGCTCGCAATCGCGGTCGCGCATCTCGGTCGCCACAAACAAATTCACAGCATGTGTCGAGCTGTCCAGCACGGTGTAGATGTGCTGGTGCGGGATGTCGAAGCCGTGCGGGAACTGCGCGTCGGCAAAAGTAACACCATCCAAACTCGCGCTCGCCCGCAGCGTCTTGTTCTCGCGGTTCTCCGTCGCCACCACGATAAACTCAGCCATGGTCGCGAACTCCTTGACGTGCTGCTCACGCACGGCTTCCGTGTCGAACCAGTCGTCCGTCGCCACCAGCGTCAGCGGGCTGTCGCGCTCCTCGCCCTCGTGCTTGAGGCACAAGATCTGCTCAGCCTTGCGGTCGGCATACCCACGATACGTGCTCGACCCCGTGAACTCACACCGGCGCACCGATCGCCCCGCGGTCTGCCAGTGGTCGCCGCCGTCCTTGCTCCACGAGGCCACGCCGTAGCACTCGCTGGAGCTCTCACACCGGTTGCCCATCCACAGCAGCCAGTGCTTCTTGTCGGCGTGGAACGACAGCGGGAACACCTCGGCCGACGGCTCGTTGGGGGCCTTGAAGCTGTGGAATGTGCGGCCGCGGTCGGCGCTGTACAGGATCTTCTTGCCCGTCGTCACAAAGTACACCATGTCCTTGAAGTACAGGTGCGGCACGATGTACAGGATCGTCTCCTCCGCCAGCTCCTTGGGCGACCGCCACGTCTTGCCGTGGTCGTCGGTGATGTGGATGCGCCCGACCTTGCTGCGCGTGCGGCCGCGCATGATGATGGTCTCCCCTTCCGTCGAGCTCGACTCGCCGCGCTCCAGGTAGTGCTTCTCCCACATATCCCACGCCTCGTCGTCCTCAAACACCTTCTCCACCTGCTCGACCTTGTCCGTCGCCGGCGTCGAGGGGGTCTTTCCTCCACCACCAGGCGCCCCCGCAGCGTCAGAGCACGGCCGCTCAATGTCCTTGTACTTCTCGTCCAGCTCGGGAGTGGCCTCGCACGTGTTGCCGGGGATCTTGCGGTACCCAGACGTGCCGCGGAACGTGTCGTCGGGCTTCGAAGCATCGCGGCACGCGCCCTCGGGCGGAATCACAGGGCCCTTGGCCACACACTTGCCGTCCTCGCGCACAAAGTTGAAGTCGCACTCGTAGTCCGCCTCGGTGCACTTGCAGTTCTCCATTTTCGACTCGGCATGCTTGAACTCCTCCTTGATAAAACAGTTCGCCTTCTTCTTGCGCCGCGAGAAGCTCTGCGTGTGGCCCATCAGACACGTCGGCTTGCCGTCGTCGTCCACGCGGGCCGACCACTCCTCCATGTCCCCCTTCTTGCACGTGTCCTCGTGCAGGCCATCAAAGTCGATCGAGATGACCCGCCAGCTCCCGGACTTGCTGCTGTCCGTCGTGCCGATCAGCAAGAACTTGAGGCTTGCCGACTCCTGCGTCGTCGTCAGGATGTACGGCCGGATCTTGAGCTTGTCCGGCAGCGCCTGCTGCTTCCACGTGAGCCCGTGGTCCAGCGAGTAGTTGATCTCGCTGACATCCGCGTTCTCCTTCGCGTCGCGCACCGCCACCAGGATCGACCCTTGGTCGCCGAATTCATACTTGTGCGGGCCGTCCAGCGCCTTCACCCACGTCATTCCCGCGTCGTCCGACACATACAGATTGCCGTCGTCCCAGTAGTCCTTCAGATGATCACCCCGGTTGCCCACCGCCATCAGCAGGCCCGGCGCGGGGCTGGAGAACACCCGTCCGACATTGTTGAGCTGTGTGACCGAGTGTAGGTGGATCCGCTTGCCCTCGGCCGTCACGGACTGGAACGTCCGGCCGTCGTCAAAGGTAATCTCTGAGACCACCTTCTTCCTCGCACCCCCTTCGCTCGCCACTTCCTCCCAGTTGTCCACCTTGTTCACCAGGAAAATCCCCTGGATCCCGGCGACCTTCTCAAAGTCGACGTGCCCGTGGTGGTTGCGGTTGGTGTGCGGCAGGTTCTCCGTGAAAAACGTGCCGTTCGAGTTGCTCGTAAACAGAATCCCCATCGGGTTCGACGGTCGCGTCGTCATCACATCGATCTGGATGCTGTAGTTGGTGCTCTCCAGCACCGTGTACGCCTCCTGCAGCACCCGGTGGTCGTGCCCGTCGTGTGTGTCGGGGAACACCGCCCGGTGCCACTTCTTGGTGTCATCTGTCACGAACAGCGCCATCTCGTCCGTGTTGGCCGAGCTGGTCGCCACCAGCAGGTACTTCTTGACTACCGCCACGTTGACCACCCCGGGTACCGGTTTGTCCATGTCCAGGTTTGGCTCGAACTCCTGCGTGTCCGCACTGTCCGATGTCGGCTGGAAGAAGTTGTCCGAGATAACCAGCCGCTGGTCCTGCTTGAACGGCGAGAAGCTGTCCCGCACCACGCACAGCACCCGGTTCCGGTCCAGGTCGTCCGCGCCCGTGGTGAACAGATCCGACGACTTGGCCCACCAGCACCCGTCTGTGTTGCGCCGCAGCTCCTTCGCCGTCGACTTAAACCCGTCCGTCGTGTACAGCGTGACCTCCTGGCAGAGGATGCCCTCGCAGATCATGCCGTTGAACAGGATCCGGTCCGGGTCGTCCGCGTGGAACTGCAAAATGTCCCCGCGGAACATGCTCATCTCCGCCCCCGAGTTGAACTCCTGCCACGACTTGCCGCGGTCCGACGTCCGGTAATGTGTGGTGCCCTCCGTCAGGATGTACGCCCGGCTTGAGTCGAACTCATGCATGTATAGCAGCCAGGCCTTGCCCTCCGGCACGGCGTCTATGCGATCCCACTTTGTGCCGTGGTCGTGCGACCGGTATACATTGTTGGCGTAGGTGTCTTGGAACATTACAATGTCCGAGTCGGAAAAATAGTGTAGGTTCTTTGGCATGTTATCGAACTTCTCTACGTGGAAGCTCGGCTGGTCGTGTTTCTTCGCAGCGGCCAGCGGTGCTGCCCCGAGGGCTGTAGCGAGCAGGGCCACAGCCCGCAGTGCTCCCCAGACCCTCATGGTGCGCTGACGACGGCGTTGGCGAATCGGGCGGTCATTAAAGTGGGAGGGGAATGTTATCGATTAATCGCGTGTTCGATCGGTCGTTCGCTCGCTCACTCGCTAGTGTATGTAGCTCGGTTTAGTTGGGCCGGTACAATGGCGTCGGTAGGCAACCTCGCAAATCCACGCTGCGCCGAGCAAAAGTGATTTCGTGCTACTCGCTCGCCTCGTTGAATCTGCGCGCACTCTCCTCTGGCGGGTCGTGCGACTCGGAGCTGTTGTTGGTTGCAATAGCTTCGAGCTTTATCCTTGTCTTTCTGTCTCGTTAAATCCCAGGCTGCCTTCCGTGCGTGCCGGAGAAACCAAGCCGCATAAGTGTGCAAACAGCGAAGTCGAATTCAAAATCCCAATAATCCCGGGCAGGCGTGATGGAAAAACGGAACGTTGTCGTTGGTGTTGTTGTTGAAAGATGCAAAAAGTCAAGACGAGACAACTTGCATCAGCAACGCAGCCAAAGCAGGACAACTTTCCCGAGTCGAACTCTTGCCTATTCGGAGGCGGCGTTGCGTCGCAAGCTGAGACGCAGCGCACCAATGGCAGTTGGCCGGGCCCGCTGAGAGTGGGTTCTCGAGGAATCAAAGAAAGTGGGATCCGGCAGCCGTTCCGTACTGTGCTACTGTGTCAGCACGCTCACGCCACGCCATGCACGGTTCGCTCAGGCAGTTGGCCTGATTGATGGGCAGTTGGATGCGGCTTTGTTGGCATTGGAAAACTGAGCTTTGGGCCGATTTTGAGGCCTGAGCAGTCCACCTCCCAACTACACTTCATGAAATCGAATGTGAGAGACAGAGAAAGGTTGGTTGAATGGTTTTCAAGATTTATACAGGACAAAAAGGTCCGCCTGTGGGAATTAATTGATAATGTTCAGTGAGCAAATTAGCAAAGAGTAACTTTGCTTCTCGTCTTGTGGCCGGTATACAATTCACGGAAGAATCACCCGATGGGCTGTCGAAACAAACACTCAGCCAACAAACCAACCAAACATCAATGGCCAACACTCCCGTGAAGGCCCTCTAACAAGACAAGCAAAAACAATCTCTTCAAACACGGTCACAAACTGGTATATATCATCGAAAAATAGCCAACCCAATCCTCCCTCTCTCCAAAATCCAAAACGGAAATGTGGACATGTCGGAACATTACAAATTCATGTACTGGACCCCTCAAATCCACCGGGCCCTCCCTCGCGGTACAAACTACAGCAAGGGAATAGACCGCTCTGAAGCTGTCAAAATAATTTGTCCGCCATAGCCCTTTGCCTGCTGCAGCGATGCCGAACAAGAACCACACAAATGGAAACCCCACCCCTTAGCGCCAGCGTTTTTGTCGTTACTCGTGGTGCTGTGTCTACAGGCTGAGTACAATAACGGCCTTGCCGCCAGCCTTCAGGCCGACCTATTCAACGGATTAGCATAAGGTGTAGCATATATTGCGGTTTCTGAAAAACATACCGTGCAGCCCTTGTCACTGCCATAGTACTTGCCCCCCCTCAACCAGCAGGTGCCCGAGATGTCACCTTGGATCTCGATGTTGAAGTTCAGGAGAGCAGTGCTGGTCGGCAGGTTGGGGAAGATGGAGATGAAAGTCTCGCCGGTCAAACTCAACCCGACACCGATGTTGACGGGGGCCCAGTTGCCGGCCGAGTCGGGGAAGTTGGGGCTCTGCCAGGTGCAGGCATCCTCGACCCCGACGCCGGCGTTGTTGACATAGTACTGCGCCGTGGTCGGCGCGCCCTGCCACCAGTACGAGGTCTTGGAGTCCGGGTTCGTCAGGGGGTACGTGCTGCCGGGCAGGGTGTTGAGCGGGATGACCATGGCTTCGTTGCCGGGGTAGTCGGTACGGCAGATGGCGGCGTTCTTGGGAAGCTCGTTGCGGACGGAGACGCCGCCGGCGCCGGGCGCGCAGATGCGCGTGGCATTCTTCCGGGTCAGTTCTAGCATGCCGTCGCTGTTGCACCACAGGCCGCCGACCGACTGGCCGGTTGCGCCCTGCTCCTCGGGCCACTGCGTCTTCTCGTAACCCGGAGGGCAGGCGTACGAGCACATCATCCCCGTCGTGCACCCGCCGGAGATGGCCGTCTTGAAGTTGTTGAACGCGACACCCTTGGCCCATGTGCCCATAGCGGCGAGCGTGGCCCAACCGTCGGTGGTTGTCCCCGGAACGGGCACGGCACCATACTGCGTCGGCAGCTTGTTGCAAGGCACCTTGCCGCTCGGGAACTCGGCATCCAGGCCCGTAGGCAAGGCCTCCTCCACGGGCTTGGTGGACGAAGGCGGGGGCGGGGGCGGCTTCGAGCTCGTCGTGGGCGTGGACGAAGTCGACGAGCTGGTCTTCTCGAAGAACTGACCACCGTGGTCGGGGGAAGCGAGCGAGGTCGACGAGACCGGCGGAGGCGAGCTGAAGCTCGGCTTGGTCGAGCCCACGACGTAGTAGTCGCCCTTCTTGAGGCCCTTCTCGGCCTCAGCCGACTCCACCTTCTTGCCGGTGCCGTCCACGTACACGACGACGGTCGGGCCCTCGACCACCTCGGTGACGATCACCTTACCGCCGCGCTTCTCAATGGCCTGGGCGTGCTTCTTGGAGTGGAGATGGCTGTGGCCGTGTCCGTGGCCATGGACGTGGGGCTGGGCAACAGCGCCGAGGACGAGGGCTGCCGCAACCGCGGTCTTGAAGAGTCCCTTCATGGTGGTGGTGGTGTCGTCGTGTAATCCTTATCTGATACTGACTGGTGCTCGGCGTGGAGGTGGTTAGTTACACATGTCCATCTCTTCCCCTTATTCGACGTTCGGGCCCCCTTGATTATCCTTCCTCTTCCTCCCCTTTCCAGCCCCAGCGGGCACCTCAGCGCGTGGAACTCACCTGTTGAACGAGATGAACACAAAAACGCTCGGTTTCCGGTCGTACAAACTACGCGCAGGGCACGTAGTACCGTGTAATTCTCGATGACAGTTCCAAAAGAATGTGGTAGAGAGCGCGATGTCTCTCAGTTGGATGGAATGATGATTCGTCGCAAAAACGAAGGAGTGTTGCGAAGAAAGAAGGAGTGGTGACCAAGCGGTTCAAAAAGAGCGATGAACCCGCAAATTGGAAGTCGGGGGGGGTGAGTGAATGACCAGGGCCAGAGGTCCAGCGCCAGGGTGGGCAGTAGGGGGGGACCCAAAGGGAGTGCAAATGAGCGTCGGCCAGGGATGTTTTGCCCAGAACATGCTGGCCATCAGGGCAGTTGACCAGGGCGACGCCCGCCTTGCGAAATTGCGTCCCCAGGCATGTGGGGCTCAAAATCGTGTTGGAGGGTTGTTCCTGCAGCTGGACTCCTGGGGCGCTGCAGGTACCGCATGCAACCCGACGGTCGTCAACCGGCCGGCGGCCGGCCGCAGCCAGTAGCAGCTGGCCATGCGAACCGCCAGCGCCAGGGTTCCCATTCCAAAAAACATGTTTTGGACGAGATTTGTTCTCGACCGAAGAGCCTAAAAAAGTTCCACGCAAGCGTTTCATCCTTTTGGGCCTCCAGGCCTCGTACCTCGCGCCCAACGGCCGCCGGGACGTGGAAACAACCCACGGCAGTCGCGGTGTTGTCCCCGACAAAAAGATTCGGCAGACGACAACCCACAATGAACGCGCAACCCTCAGGGCTTCCCGATCTGCCCCCCCAGGCAAGTTCCCGAAAAGCCAAGTCTCCAAATATGGGTGCCAAGCCGACACTTCCGGCCAGGGGTAAAGGGCCAGAACGCTTTCTGCCTTTCAATTTCCGAAAGTCGAATCGTTGATCGTCATGAAGAGGAACACCCCTCGTTCGACCGTTTCTCCAAGACTTTTTTTGCGGGTTTATTTTCCCTCTCGACATGTTCCTTTTCTTTCCATCCACCAAGTGGCAAAACAGCCAGTTTGCTCGGCGCACAAACCGCGGAACCGCCGGCGCACCGCAGCCCCGTGCCCGTCATCGTGCCACTGCTCTGGCCGGAGGAAACTTCTCTTGATGGCTGACTAGCCTGAACAGGCCTAGTCAGGTACACAGTCCGACCATTCGAGGCAAGGAATATGCCCCAATTGGGACAAGGCGCGCGCTTCTCAGGTTGTCGAGGCACTTTCTTCTCTCCGGGCTGACTCGGCGATGAACCAACCCCGGGCAGCCCGCAATGGGGGCTGCTTTTGAACAAAGTTCTGACCATGCACACGCCCGAGAGCACGTCCGCCCGCGGCGCGGCGGATCACGGAAATCGGAAAATGCAAGATTCCATCTTTCCGGCCCGTCTGACTTCGACCACGATCGGGTTCCTCATGACGGCAACAGGTTTCAGTGTTTCACAGACTCTCTGCCCAGATCCGAAGCTCGGATCGACGGCCGGTTTTTTCTTGTCCAAACCCCCTGTGCTTTTGACGATTGCCGGTTGATTGCCGGGCAATCCCCCAGATAAACTGTTGATCTATTCGTCAATGCGGAGCAGTGGCCATACACTATGCCGCCATGTGTGTTCTGTTTCCATCTCTCCCCCCAAATCGGGAACAAGCATAAAACATGTTTTCATCTGGTAATTCCACCTGAACCGTGAATGATTTCGGCTCGGGACATACTGAAGGCTTAACTCTCCTGCTATTGACGCCGTTGCTAGGCGAGCTAGGGTACTCGCAAGGACCGGACTAACCGACGCCGCATAGCCACAACGCCCAGCGGAGTTGGAAAAGATCCAGAACAACGCGAAACCAACACGATCGGTGATCGGAGCGACGTTGGCGAGGTGCCGTGGAAATGGAAAGGCCCCCACCTGTGATGAAAGGGATGTGGGCTGGCCCACGTTCAGTGAAGACGTGCCGCGAGACACCACGCATCAGGATCATCACGACCGACAGGAGAATGAGATCTGGTCTGAGGGGAACTGAATATCCCTCTTTGCGCACGCAAACTAAGTCAGTAATTGCCGGTAAGCTCACGAAACATTCAACTGGGGCTAAGTGGTTCTCAAGACCGTCTTCAATGTTTGCCAAAGGGGAGTTGAATGGTACCAACAAGTTGTGCTTATTCAACGGGATAGGTTCAGACGGAAGCCTAGACCAAGCTTTCTTGTCTCTCGCTAGCTGTGATGCAAAGTCGCTTAAAGTTCGTTTCGGATTGTCGGTAAAGTGTTGAGTTGACAACGTGACTACCGAGTTGTTCTAACTACAAGTGTCAACAACTGCGAGTTATCCTCCGACTCCATCTCGTGAGAAACGCACGGGGTTGATGCCAGCTCCGCTCCTTCGCCGAGTTCAGATGAACTACTGTGTACACTACGCAGCTTGGCAATGGAAGAGTTTCGAACGGTCAGCCGTCTAAGAATTTTAGTGAGTCTAGATCTAAAACCAGCGGTCAAAATTAAAGTTGCTGAGATGGACCGATCACCTTACCCCGCCGCCGAGTCAGAACTCCCAGCTTAGCTTTTGGACTTTTCCAGCGTTGGCTAGGTAGCTAGTTCACTAATTGAGTTCCAGTTGTGTTCGTCACCGCCGCCCCGAGCCTCCCATCCTAACTTTAACTTTGCCTGCCCGAATGACGGTTCGGACGAACTATGTTTTGCCTTCTCCTCCCACTCGAGCCAGCAACTGAGCCTACTAAGGCATTCAAGGACTATGTCAACAAGATATATGTGAAAACTGAAAGAGTGATAATTTCGAAATACTAACAAGGCCGTTTGACGGGGAGGTGGCGGTCAACCAAGACCCATGCATTGTCTGAATTGCTGAATCCTCGGTAACGGTCGATGACACCGCCCCGCATTAGGAAACAAACAAAACACTCCTGTGCGGTGTCACCGGGTAGACAAAGTTGAACTATCAACGTCGGCACTGAGAAATAGAAGAAATTAAAAAGAAGGGAGACGAAAGAAAAGAAAATAAAAGAGAGAAGAGGAAAGAGAAATGAAAACGAAAAGATGAAATGAGAAACCCCGTCCGCTTCAACACCAAGTGTCGGGAGCGGCGGCGACGAGAATTCGGTTGCTTGGCAACATGCATTGGCAAATCGCGGTTCCTTGATGGCGATCTTTCTTACAAAACCATCGCTTGGAACGGTGTAAGTCCCGCAAACCAGGTCAAAGCAGAAATCAAAGCGGGTTCTGCCGGGCGGAGATCGAGAAAAACCAGGCGCTGCTGCTCTTGATGCCTCAAAAGGTGAGCATCATTCATGCAAGGCCGACGAGGCGTTAGTTCCTCAAGCCAAGGAACCTGAAATGTCTCTATCTTCCTACAGGGTTTGTTTTGGATACAGATTTAAGTTACCGGCAACGTTGGGTTGATAATAATGCTTCGAACCGGCGAATGACGAAGGGAAGCGGCTTTACAACACGGTCCGAAAATTCGACTGCTAGGAGAACCATAACGTAGCGCAGCCTTTGAGACCAACGACAGGTCGCTCACAAAACTGAAAAGGGATGGGTGTTGTTGTGCCAGCTTGCGCCACCACACTCTCGTCCACTCACAAGCCACCCATCCCCGCTTGAGCCACTTTTGCCTTGGGCGAGGCCCGCCTGGGACGAACTCAGCGCCCCACAAGGGGCGCCTGAGCTCAAAACAGTTGTTCGCCTTCACGCGTCTTGGACCAACCACACGCCTTGTTTTTGTGTTTTTTCAGGTGAGGAAGCACCGCCACTGCCCTCTCAACGAGCAGAACCGCAATTCTGAGGAGAGCTGAATGTGCCAAACGGTAAGCAGTAACCCTGAAGGGAAAAGCGAAGGCGTGGCTTGAGCACCCAAATGGGCTTAGCGCGGCGAGGCTGCACCACAGCACACCGGGTGGAGCCCAGGGGGCTCAAGTACCGCGTTAGCAGCCCATGCCAGAGCCTTGGCGTCCCCCAACGACGATCCGAGAGTGGGGCTAGGAGGCTTCCCTGGCAAGCCTGGCGAGCCTGGCTGTGCTGCGCCCATTTTTCTTCCACTGTTCCCATCATCCATGGAGCCTTCTTCCTTCGCCTTGGAAGGCTTGCTTTCTTGTGGCGACACGACCTTTCCCATCAACATCCCATCCCACTGCTGCACCGCAACCAATTCTTCTCTGTTGAATGTTGACCCGCATGCGATTTCACAACGGCCATTCACCGTGTTGTTTTTCCTCATCCCAAGTCCAAGCCAATAGTTCCAATTACTCTTTTGGGGGCTCGTTCTTGTCCGTTTTTCCCTAGCTCCAACGCCTTCCCGCGTAATCGAGCTGGCAAAACCCGCCGTCGGCTGGCACGTACGCAACGCCGAAAGCTCTCGCCACGATCTCCAGCCACACACACACATAGACGACACCCACACCCGCATACCATCAAACTTCGACCAGTCTCCATCAGAACAGCGATGCGCGTGCGCTCCCGGTGAATGCCGTAGCCGTGGGAATAGTCAATTTCGGCAACTGAGGAAGCACGAGAGGTTCGTCGGCTTCAACAGGTTTCTTGTATGGGATTGGCCCTCTCGCTTCTATCTTCTTGTCCCTTTGGCTCTTGCCCGTCATGGCTTCGGAACGGGGCCCCACCGCGACGGAAGCTGTTCGAGGGCCCTCGACGTCGACCGTGCCGCAGACAAACACTCCGTTTGGGGGCGTAGCCGAGCTCGCGCGTTCCAAATCGTTGAAGCGACCTCGAGATACCACCCCGACATCACAGGACTCGTTGGTATCCGCTGGCGACATCTCACCATCCAAAATCGCCCGGCTCGTCGGGTTCGCAAGACAGTCACATCCCACGGCCACGGGCGGGATAGAAGACGACGACGGAGCGCACGACGGGGGCCACAGCGAACACCAGTCGCTGTCTCGGCTCGACCAACACGACGGGTTACCCAGGTCCGACGATATGATGCACCACACCGCGGATGATGCGGACCGGCCGCCACACGACGCGCCACCATCGGACAACGGGCATTCTGACATTGAGGCCGCTGCGGCTGCAGCTGCCGCAAGAGCGCTCAGCTCAGTCACCATCCCAACGGGCCACGTCCCCGAGGATGATCTCCATGAGGTTAGCCCAACTAGCGGAGCGAGCCTTGACGACGGCGATGGCGATGGCCATGTTGTTGACAGCCCGTCCGCGATGGACGTTGACTCGCGCCACGACGACGGTTTGTATGCGCCGCAACCTGACGCGCCAATGGAAGACAAAGCGGGCGGAAGCTCCCTTTCGTACCCTGGGGCGATGCCGGCACCCGGTCACCCTCAAAGAATGATGAGCATGCCCACAGGTGGCCCACAGACACCAGGCGGTAGTGACCTCGCCCCTCGATCGCCCGGCTCGAACAAGAAGCACAAGTGCCCGTATTGCGAGACCGAGTTTACACGGCATCATAACCTAAAGAGCCACTTACTCACGCACAGCCAGGAGAAGCCCTACGTGTGCCAGTCGTGCCAGATGCGGTTCCGACGGCTGCACGACCTCAAGCGTCACAGCAAACTGCACACGGGTGAGAAGCCCCATGTGTGCCCCAGTTGTGATAGAAAGTTTGCGCGTGGCGACGCGCTGGCCCGGCACAGCAAAGGGGCAGGCGGCTGCGCGGGGCGGAGGCAGACGTTGGTGGGCCCGATGGGGCTGAAAGATGGCTACGATGGGATGGCGGACAGCTCTGGCATGTCGGTAGACCTCTACGACGGCGGCGCCGATATGTCGGAAGACGACCGGCGACGCTTGAGCATGCCGAGTATTAAACCACACCACGTCGGGAGCCAGGACGGCTACGGCGGTGCTCACTCCAGCACGTACCCTCCTGCAGCCGGGCAGCGCCAGAATGCGCCAGGCGGTTTGTATCCGCCCAACGTTGACCGTGGCGCACCCAGCACCAACACGTCCCCAAGTATGCCGAGCAGTCACACGCCACAGACCAGCATATCGTCAGTACCACTGAGCGCGGGTAGTTCCACCATGTACTCTCAGAGCGGCATGACAGAGAGTCCCAAGCCTCTGAGCCCCGGCTTGGTGCACGGGGCCGGCCAATCAAGAACGGGCACCGAAGCGCAACCTCACGGCGCTCCGGGCCTGTCTCTTCCTTCGCATGGTATGTCACCTGCGGCCAAGAAAGCATGGCTCTCTCAGTACCCCCCCACTGACCGAGACGCGATCCAAGGCACCACCCCCTCTACCAATAACAACAACAACGCCGCGACCGCCGGCCATCACTCAGCTGGGCGGGGGCGTTCACAGCAGCCGCCAGCCCCGCAACACGCCGTGCCTCCACCAGCCAGCACGAGTGGTGGCGGCGAGCCCAACAACTTCGGGCAATCCGATTCCACGATTTGGTCGTATTTCCAACACCTAGAAGGGACAGTCAAACGGCTGAGTGGGCAGGTTGAGACGGAAGTTCGGGGCAAGGCACAGTTGCTGGAGAAGCTCAACGCTCATGAGCAACACATTGCAGCGCTGACGGCCGAGGTGGCTGCTCTCCGGCAACATCTCACTCCACCGCCGTTGTCATCGGATCAACAGCAGCAGCAACAGCAACATCATCAGCAACAGCAGCAACACCACCACCATCCGGGTGCACATGAAGGGGATGATGGTTCTGCCGGTGACTCGTCCGATGCTGCTACTGCTGCTGCCGTTGCCTCTGCCGCTGCTGCCGCTACCGCCGCCGCTACTGAAGCCGCTGTTTCTCCGCAATAGTTTTGGTGAGCTACCACTTTGGTCGAGCGTGTGGTGTAATAGAGAGCGCTTCCGGCTAAAGGCCAAGCAAATATCCCCACATCCTCTCCCTGTCGTAGGAAGAGGGCGTGTCTGTATTTTTTTTATCTTAGAACGGGGTTCACGGATTTCCTCTGGTCTTCGACTGAGGGGCGGTTAACGGAACGTGCATGGGCGTTGGGAATGGCGTACGGGAAACCGGGTTTGTGATTTTTTTTTTCATTCTCATTTGCGCTTCATCTTGATGTGTTTTTGTCACAAGCGGTAATCCGGTCATAAAAGCACACATGGCCATGGCATTATAGCGGGATGTCAACGTAAACGTTGGTTGTCACAAGGATCTGGCGGGTCTACTACTACTACTTGTTTGAACTATCTGGTTGCTGAAGGTAGATCTGTAGGAAAACAGGGCAGATGAGCTACAATGTGTGCGTGTGTGTGTGTGGTGAGGGGAGTTGATGGGGTTGGTGTGAGGAATGTGATGTCTGAATGTATCGTCGTGTCTGATGAATGCTTGGTAACGTGGTTTTCGTAAGTTGGAAGGTATCCGTTTTATGTACACGAGATGATTTCTGGGTGAATCCAATTCTTCAAGAGGCAGAGGAAAGGGTTTGCATTTTCGAGGATACAACCCCCCTGAATACGATAGCTGCTTGAGAGGATTTGACGCTATGTCCCAGAGCCACTGCCTCGGATGGCAAAATTTTCTTCTGTTTACATCGTCGCTGTTCCCGATCCTCCCGAGGTTCATGAGTCCGTCAAACGGGATCGGGGTTGAAACGTAAACCGAGAAAGTGAGTGAAGTGGGGTACTGACCTGCCACTGATCTTGGCAGAAAGCACATGATAGAAAAATGAATTGGGCTGCGCAGCCACAGAGAACACTTGCTCTCAGCAGGCGCGCATGCCGGAACATCCCATTTGCCCCACCTCGTAACGTCATCATTTGCAGCTGAAATGGGTTGCTTGCTCTTGCACGTTTTCCAACGCCTCGCCGCGGTTCACGGAGAAAGGGAAGGGACCCTAGCGCATACATTTTTTGAAGCTTGGACGACCCCCCTTCTTATCTGAACCCTTTTTTTGACAGATTTATTGAGGGGGTTATCTTTATTGTTTAGAGGTTTTTTTGGCAAAGCACGACCAAGCCAGCCGTTGAAATTGCGGCAAGTGAGATCAGCCCCGTCCGTGCCGCGATCATTGCGTTCGACATCCTCCCCCCTTCCTCTGGGTTTCTTGGGATCAATCCGTTCGATCAACCAACCGACGACATCCCGTCGCTATTCCGTCCGGCTTCTCGTTTGTCCCCTACTTGCGACCGCAGACGAAGCCGTGAATACCTTGAGGGCGAAACGAACCTCCCAATATCATCGCAAAGTGTCCCGCCACAGGGCAGAACCGAACGCCGATTTTCTAAACCCACGCAGCAAGACCTACGCACCGATTGAACCCTCGCTGCTTCCGAGCGCGCGCATACCCGCGTTGCACACCCGAGTCGAGCAGCAAGCACCCTGCGTCCTTCCCTCTGCCGAATTACCACGAGGAAAATACAAACACACGCCGTGGTTGATTCCTGCCGTCCGGGCCGCGGCTAACCACCATGGCGCCGTCAGCCCCAACACTTGTTGCAGGTGAGCTACCAGCACCACGCCTTATCTCATGATCTTATCGCCATCGATATTGGTACACACGGATACATCCAACAGAAAAGGGAAAAAGGGTGGACAATTGCGACGGCCTGGACCTTGACGATGGGCAAGAGCAGGAACGCTCGAAGAAGGGAGCAAGCCAGAAAGGCCGCTCGGGAGGCACACAAGGAAGAGACTGTCCAGCCTGCTGACACTAAGACCGCAGCCCCTGAAAATGGAGACGTCGGCACATCCAGCGCTGCCAGCACTGCTAGCAGTGTGTCGTCGAGGAGGGAGATCTTTGAGTCGGTGAGTGGCTTCCACCCACTGCGGCTGGTCGACAGGCCTGGATACGGGGCTGACGATCTACAAGGAACCCGAGGGCATGCTTACTCCCAGTTCGGCTCTGAGCTCGGTCCAATATAAACAAGCGGGTATTGGCCAACGAGCCGACGTTGCCGATTCTACCGGAGACATCGCCGAGAAGGAGGCGGACGACCTTTCCTCTGTGGGCGGCTATGCGCCGAATGGTGCGGCCGAGGAGCAGACTCAAGCGAACGAAACGAACACCACGGAGCTCCCCGACACATACCCCGACCTCACCGACGAAGCAGGCCGGAAAGCGGCGGCGCGGGAGCGCGACAGGATCAATGCTTATAGAGCAGGCGGCATCCGGTTCGCGCCGTGGAACATACCATATGGGCGGCGACTGCAGACGATGGCGGTGCTGGTGCACTGCCTAGGCATCGCGATGACAGTGTCGTTCTTCTTCTTCCTCTGCGCGATCCCGCTGACGTGGCCGATCCTGATCCCGTACCTGCTACACATGCTGCTGTCCAAGTCGGCGACGGACGGCCGGCTACGTGCGCGGTCGGAGTGGTTCCGACGGCTGATGGTGTGGAAGTTCTTCGCCGGCTACTTCCCCGCCGAGTTGCACAAGACCCACGAGCTGCCGTCAACACGCAAGTACATCTTCGGGTACCACCCGCACGGCATCATCTCCCACGGCGCGTTCGCGGCGTTCGGCACGGAGGCGCTGGGGTTTGCCAAAAAGTTCCCCGGCATCACCAACAGCCTCCTCACCCTCGACTCCAACTTCCGCATCCCGCTGTACCGCGACTACATCCTCGCGCTCGGCATCCAGTCCGTATCCAAAGAATCCATCACCTCAATCCTCACCACCGGCGGGCGCGACGGCGACGGCATGGGCCGCGCGGTCACTATCGTCATCGGCGGCGCGCGTGAGTCACTCGAGGCACACCCAGGCACCCTACGCCTCGTCCTCGGCCAACGAAAGGGCTTTGTCAAAATGGCGATGCGCACAGGTGCCGACCTCGTCCCCGTGCTAGCCTTTGGCGAAAACGACTTGTACGACCAGCTCAGCGCCGACGAACACCCGCTCCTGCACCGGCTGCAGATGTGGGTGCTGCATACCCTGCGGTTTACCCTCCCGTTCCTGCACGGCCGGGGGATCTTCAACTATGACGTCGGGCTCATGCCGTATCGAAGGCCGTTGAATATTGTGGTTGGGCGGCCGATTCCGGTGAGGAAGTTGGCGGCCGGGGAGAAGTTGGATGTCAGGGAGATGGATCGGTTGCATGCGGAGTATGTGGCGGAGTTGGAGGGGATGTATGAGCGGTATCGGGGGGTGTTTGTTAGGACACGGAGGGAGAGTGTGGCTGTGGGGAGTGGGCAGGATGGGGATGCGGGCGGGCATGAGATGGGTGGAAATGCTGGCTTGGAGATTCTAGATTGAGGAGGGGGGGGTGGATGAAGGGGTTGATTGTATCAGGGCGGTGGTGGTATAGGATAGCCCGATGGTATATATATCTTTGATTCAGTTTACAAGGTTATTACAAGGCTTGGGAATAACAGTCTTGGGTTCTTATCTCCCTTTTCCCTTTTTCCTATGCCGAATGGGTGGGCGGTGGACTGGTGACCGTTGGTTGGGGTTGTTGGTGTGTTTGCTTGTGGGATTGAGCTTGAGCTACCTGGATAGGCGGTTTACTGTGGAAGTAGGTAAGTCTTGGAGTTTTGCGATGGGGTTTCTTGTTTTTGTGTTATTCGGTTTGGGTAGCTGTCGTTTTAACGTTGGGTATTTCGATGTCGGAGTTATTGGATTACTGCCTTGTCTATATATCCGTCTGTCTATCTGTCTTGAGCATGACAATGCAGGCAGGTAAGTAACCGATGGGTGAGAGGGTTTTGTCAGGAGTGGTGTTATGTTTATTTTTGACAGTTTTATCAATTCCATTAGTAAAGTGAGGATCGAGAAACATTGGTTATTGTTGTTAATGTTGTCACTGTCAGGAGGAGGAAACAAGCAAGCAAACAGCGCTTGATGGGTGAAGTTCGTCCTCAGCATGGAACGCGAGCCGAGCGTATTTCATACGGTAACTTATGTATTGTAGTGTATTCTCCAAACGGACCTCCGGAGATCCCTGGTCGGCAGCACTCCGGGCCGGGCAGATCATTGCCCAGTTGAGTTCCGGTGTCCCGGTTTTGCTTGAATTCCCCAGTTCATGCAATGCGAACTTTCTTCGCCCGGGTCATTCCCAGCGGAGGCTTTTGTATTTTGGTATTGCGATACTACGATTCTGTGGTGGGCTAGTTGCTCAAGTTGCTGCAGTCAGCCATGTCGGAGATGAAGGATTGGTGGGTACATGTATTGTGGAAGTGGATGGCGTGCTGTGCCGTGCCGTGTCTTGTGGGGGAATGTGTAGTGTAACCGGGCAGGTGCGGTGGGTTGCATTGGAGCCATTCTGCCTCTGTTGTTGTGTTCCGTCGTTCTGCTTCTTGTTTACTGCAATTTTGATTCTGTTCTGGTTCGTCGTCAATCCTGTCATTTGTCGGGGAAATCCTGCGTTCTGTGTCTGTTACAAGTTGGTGGTTGAATTGAGTAGGTATGAGTCCTTTTACATGCCGGTTTGTACCGGTAGCGCAGTTCAATACGCGCGACTAATATGCGCGCAGAGAAACACCTTGGGAGTTGTCAAGCGTAAACAAGGCAGTCATCTTGGGATGTAGCGACAACCTCAAACACCATGGGTCATCTACCGTCTCCTGCATCCCTCTCCCCATCAAACGGAGGATCAAACGAGAAGCATGATACGGTAGAACCGTCACTCGACTCGGAAAAGTCCAGATATCAGTATGAACCAATGTCCGGCCAACGCCATGATAGGAACCGAGCCAAGGAAAGAATCATCTGGGTTTCCACAGCCCCGCCTTCTACCGTCGACGACCCGTCCGGTCGGACGGCCATGGCGCTGGTGCTGTCGACGGTGTTGGTGCTAGTGGTGAATGCGGGGATCTGGGCATTGGCGATGATGGGGCCGGGGTCGTGGGTGTCGACGGGGTCTGGTGTTGGTGTTGGGGGTATTGACGAGGTACGTTGGAGGTTTTCTTCACTCTCTTTTATTTTAACTCCGAATGATTTATTTTATCACTACATTTGCTTAAGTGTCTTTTGGAGGTCCTTTTTTTCTTTATATCCCGTTTTGAACCCCGCCATCCGCCTTACCCTAGTTAGTGTCTCAGTCCAGCTGCGTTGTCGATCTCTACCACCATCACCGCTACCACACGATCACACGATCACACACACGCAGACGCAGCTGCAGCAGCCCGCAGACATGTTCTACACGTGTACGAAGTGCCCGAGGTTGTTGACCCGTGGTCACACGGGCACACAAACTCACGATGCCCCCCACGCTGCCCCTCACATCATGAGCACAATTCCTTCCCCGCCCTCATTATGCCTCCTCCTCTCCCGTCCCTCATCCAACCCTCACACTCCCCTCTCATACAATGGTGGCTCTATCTCAAATCCTTCGATCCCTCCTACTAACCGCCAGGCGAACGTTGCCGGCCACCTCCACGCAGCCCTCAGTCATCGGTACCGCCACAGTCGACCTGAACTACACCACCTACGAGGGCTTGCAGCTGTCCAACGGGGTCAATGCCTTCTGGGGCATGCGGTATGCGGCACCGCCGCTGGGAGAGTTGAGATGGCGGGCGCCGAGAGAGCCAGTGATGGTAGAGGGTGTACAAAGCGCGAAGACGGTGAGTTTTTGGTGTTTTCCTTTCGGGAGAAAGGGGAAAGAAATAGTGCTAACATGAATGGAGATACCCCCCCTCTGCTTGGGCATCAACAGGGGCTATCCCTCGTCCGGCGAAAGCGAGGACTGCCTTTTTGTCAACGTCTGGGCGCCGAGCAACGCGACCCAGACCTCGAAGTTGCCCGTGTGGTTGTTTATCCAGGGCGGTGGTACGTTTCCACAGTCTGAGTTCCCCTGGACACCTTTGACTAACACCGACAGGCTACGTCGCCAACACCAACGGCAACTGGGACGGCAACGAGGTGGTGGAAAAATCGGGCCGTAATATTGTTATGGTCAACTTCAACTACCGTGTTGGCCTGTGGGGGTTTTTGGCGAGCGAACGGGTGCGGGGCGACGGCGTGCTGAATGCCGGGTTGCTGGACCAGCGGCTGTTGCTGAAATGGGTGCAGACGCATATTGCTTCGGTGTGTTCCTTTTGCTTTTTACTTTTTCGACTTTGGTTTTTTATTTTATTTTTCCCTTTCGTTCACTCACACTAACATCACAGTTCGGCGGCGACCCCTCCCACGTCGTCATCCACGGCGCCTCGGCCGGCGCCGGCTCCGTGGCCACCCACCTCGTCGCCTACGGCGGCCGCAACGAGAACCTCTTCATCGGCGGCATATCCCAATCCCTCTTCTTCCCGGCCCAGCCCTATGTCCGCGAGCTCGAGTACCAGTTCGACCGTGTCGTGAGCCAGGCCGGGTGCGACAACGGCGTCCAAGACCAGGACCAGATGGCGTGTCTGCGGGGAAAAGACACGGCCGTGCTGCAGGGTGCCAATGTTGCACAGCCGTTCCCTGGCCGTGACGACCCGCCTATACCGCTGTTTTACTGGGCGCCGTGTGTGGACGGGGAGATTTTGACTGATGTGCCGTATCGGTTGTTTGAGAAGGGGGAGTTTCTTCGGGTGCCGATGGTCGTGGGGACTAATGCGAATGGTGAGCGCCTGTATTTCTCATTTAATCTTTTTGTCTTCCCTTTTTTCACTCACTTATTACTCTATTTTCCCTATCCGCTGACATCCACCCCCCAGAGGGCGCCACCTTTGCCCCCAACGCAGCCTCCCAGTCCGACATCGCCGTCTTCTTCCGCAACAACTACCCACTCCTCACAGCCAACGACACCGACGACATCCTCGCGCAGTACCCGCTCCAGCCCCCGCTACCACAGCACGAGGCCTGGTTCCCGTCTGCCAGCCAAGCCTACGGCGAAGCCACGTTTATCTGTCCGTCGCAGAATGTGCTGTCCTTCTTGCAACAGAAAGGTAATGGCCAGGGGCCGGCCATGTATGCGTATCGATTTGAGGTCTTGGATCAGGAGTATGTCAATGCTGGGATTGGTGTGCCGCGTATGTTTTCCCTTCCCTTATCACCCCCCCCACCCCCCCGATCCACGTACCTTACTATAACAGTCACTGATCGTGTACTTACATACGATGTAAACAGACCTCTTCGACGCCCCAGCAATCTTCGGCCCCCACGCCATCACGGCCCCCACCGCCGTAGCAGCCAGCTACTCCACATACAACGCTGCTGTCGTGCCCCGCGTGATGGCTTACTACCTCAGCTTTGTGCGGGCGCTCGATCCGAATGTGTACCGTGCTCCGGGGGCGGCACGGTGGGAGGTGATTGGCGGTGGGGGAGTGGATGGTGCTACTGAGACTTTTGGGGTGGGGAATAAGGAGCACGATGGCGAGGGAGAGGAGGATCGGATGGGGGATGGTGGCATTAACCTCGACGTTGACGTCAGTACTGGGACAAGCGACGAGAGCACCAGCAGCAGCAGGAACGACTTGATGACGAAACGACGACGAAGAAAGGCAGCCAGGACAGTAGGGGTCAGAAAGAAGGGAAAGACAACGACAGCAGGGAGAGCTAAGAGACTGGTGATTCGCACAGAAGGGTCAACGATGGAGGAGACGGACCAGGGCGAGTGGGAGCGGTGCGGGTTCTGGAGTGGTTTGGCTGGCGGGAGGATGAGGCAGAGGTGATGTTTTGTTTTTTGCTTTGATTTCCTTTTTAACTTTTTAAGTTTGCATTTTGGTGGGGGATATGAGCATGAGTATGATACCACGAGGACGGACGTATGATTCGGAAGGGGGGATTGAGAGGGGTGGCATGGTTTATGGGTTACGATGGGGATGAGTTGAGTATGTATAGGTATAGATAGATGGATGAGTTACAACACGAATCAGAGCAGGTGGGTAGTTAGAAGATATGGGTGTTATTGACTTGTCATTACAGATGTTAGTATGCTTAGTATCGACCAGTTTGTGTAACGAGAAGTCTGGGTGTAATTACTGCCGGGTAGCTGAACTTCATCCGGCCCTTGTATCTTCAGTGTCTGCATCCAACCGTCGTGCTTCGGTTATATCCTCCCTCCTTCTCTCTCTCTCCTAGTATTACCTACATAGGAAGGACGAGACACAAAGTACAAGCTTGGAGTATCGTCCTTCTTCATTTTTCAATGAAGCCGCCAGTCAGATGGCTCGGGTGGGATGTACCGTACATTCGCATTCTTTGTTATCTCTGATACTCCACTTATGAACTTACGCGCCTCTTCACTCAAACACACTCTGATACACCGACACAGCCGCCAACCTCCTGCCCTCACCATCCCACAGCGACCGGCACGGCACCACAGGCAGCACAGGTCCCACACCCCCCGTCTCCAACCCCCTCGTAGCATCCACATACCTCACCACCAAAGCCGGCTCAGCATCATCACCCACTTCCCCCAGCCGGGCCAGCGCCTTCTTGGCAATTTCGCCATGGTTGACTGGTTTTATGTCCCCGGCGTTTGAGTGACTGTGAAGACCGAGTGTTTCCGCCACAATAGTCTGCACGAACCTCACTACTACTGGTTCCGCGCCATCCCCTTCTTCCCGCGTCGACTCCACGATGACATGCCACACTTTCACTGCGGGCTCATCCCCTTCCCCGCCTTCGTGACTGACGGGAATGTCCTCTAAAACTGCCACACTCCCCTCAACTGCGCCTGCAATTCCCAAATGGGCATGCCACTCCACGCCCGCGCTACGCGGGAGCTCGTCCACTTCGGCCGCAAATACGGGCGGCACTGGTAATGTTCTTGACGGGGTGGGCTCGGCTGAGGGCTTTGCAAAGCCTGCGAGGACAGACCTGTCTGGTAAACTGTGCTGTGTCTTCTCCTCGGAGCCGCTGGCAAATGTCATGTACTGTGGGTTGTACTTTTTGTCCCACAGATCTGGGCCAGATTCATCTTCTTCGTCTTCGTCTTCATCCCGGCTGTCTTTTGACGCATACGCTGCGCTCCATGCTCTGCCAGCCAGTCGAGCTTGGACTGCCATCTGGTCTTCTCCCTTTGTGCCGTGAGCTACACTAGGAGAAGTCGACGGAAAATACGCCACGGCGCTCGTCCACCATTGTACACCTAGCTCGGTGCCGATGCGCCAAAGATGTTGCAGAGAGAGGGACAGTTGTAGCGGGAGAGTGTCCTCTTCCCCTTTCTTCTCAGGCGTGGCAGATGGAAGCGCCATACTGGACGGGATCAGAGGGATCTGCCCAGCGATGCTGACCAGTTTCACACCTGAAGAGGAAGACGAGAAAGCGACATTAGAACGTCCCGAACCGAGACTGGCCACTGGGACTGAGATGGCCTGGCTGTATGGCCCAATATTGGCAGGCGCCCAGTACGACCGGGACTGGACGTGTAAGCCCTGTCGTTGGCCGGGCTCGAGAGCGGTGTGGACGGTCAGGTGTACCGCGATGTTGGTGTCGGCTGTGTCGCCGCACGAGATCGTGACCCGAGATGGAGGGTTGGGCTCGTCAAATAGTGTGCCATAGATGCTGTTGATGGTCGGGAAGTCGGCCATGCGACGGAGAACGACGGTGGCGGTTAAGATGGCTGAGGTTGGCAGGGATTTCCGGCGTAGTCGTTGGCGAATCTGCTCAACGATGGACGTTGTTGCTTCCTCAACACTTGTTGGCTCACTGCTGATAAAAGACCACTGCTGTAGTCTTCCAGCAGCAGGTGTTTTCAACTTCCCCAGTCGAGGTCTCTGCTCAACCTCCGTGACCCAAGCCGGTTGGGAAACATCGGTGCCTAAAGACAGTAACTCCATCACCTCAGCAAACTTCGCATCAAGCAACTCAGGTATCCTAACACCCCTGGCCCCTCCTTCGCTATCCCCATCCTCCTTCTCCTCCAACCTTGCATTCCTTAGACTCAACCAGACACTCCCCCCTCCCTCCTTTATGGGCCTCCTATCCTTCTCGGCCACCACAATCCTCTTCTTAAAAAGACTCGCCGGCCCGTCTAACACAAGCGTCTCAAACTCGCCCCCTTCTCCGATCACAGCACCAGTCTCAGCTGCTCCAAACCGCCGCATAGCTCGGGCCACCCGTCCCTTGCCCACGGCACTGGCAACATTGGTCCACAAAAACGAGTCGTCCAGCCCTCCACTGGCCACTTTGATGATGCGAGCCTCTACGCACGCCGCGGCCATATCATCTAGGAGCTGAGCATCCGACCCGGTGATCGGGTCCGGGACGCCCGGGGTCGGGAGCACGGGGAACTTCCAGAGGTAAGCCAGGGGCGTCAAGCCCAGGCGGGTAGCTACCGATTCCACACGGGTACGTTGGTATGTGCTCAGAATGGCACCGGCGCAGATGGCGTTCGCCTCGGGGTGCGCTCGCTTGATCGCCTCGAGCAGCGGGACCATCGATTCGGTCTCATCGACTTCGGCTTCCCGCCCACGGCCCGACCCAAACGAGGCAGGTTCCTCCGCCTTGCCCTCGCCGCCAGTGGAACCCAAACCATTCCCGAGTGACAATCTCCCCAGCGTCTCACCCACACCGGAGCCGCCCTCGACAAAATCTCGGTGATGCGAATAGTCCTTTCCGTGCTGTGTCGCGCTGCCGGTGATTACCCGGCGGTACAGCGGGATGCCTGTGGCCTCGGCATAGAGGGGGATCACCTCGTGGCCCACAGTCTGGTACATGAAGCTGTTGAGGTCCTGGTCGCGGTCATCCTCATCTGCTTCGGGTAGCATTTCATTTCCAGGCACCCCACCTTGGGGACCCGGCAGAGAGGCCGGCTCGTGGTCATCCTTGCCGATGCCTCGGCGCGGCGGTGGCCCATCATTATCACCGCTGGGAACGGAGTCTAGAGCCAAAGCTGGGTCCGACAACACGGCGGCGGTACTAGCCGCGGGCCTAGTGGCGGACCTGGTTCCATCGGGAAGATGTGACGTGCCATCACACGGCCCGAGCTTCTCTAATGTTTCCGGATGCAGGTTGGCAAGGGCGACGATCTGGTGTCCATTGGCCCGGCAGTGCAGCAGCGAGAAGAAGCTGTCTTTGCCACCAGAGATCAGGGCGATCACATTGAGCCCGTGAGTCTGGGTCGGCGCCATCTTGGCTCAGACCGTCAAGGTTTCTCTCGCCCTGGCGTAGCCTCGTTCAGCCCAGGGCCGCGTGTTCGTTTTCCCTCCTGGGTAACACTGAGGCTGTGTTGTTGGTTTGATGATGTCCACCCGGGGCCGGGGACCTCCCGCGGTTGGATACGAGAGAGCCTCGTTTCGTAACGCCCTCAACCGATATTTGCTGGTGGGAGCCCGCCACTCGCCAGTTGCCCCTTCGGATAAGCTTGTCCGTATCGAAGCCCAAGAGAAACCCAGCAGAAACAGGAGCACGGCTCTTGTTCCAAGAGACCATGGGCCCAGGGTCGGAGGACTCGGAGTGTTGCACCGCACAGGCGCGCCGGGGGGTGCAAATGCGGCGGGCTCGGCCAGATTAGCGAATCATTAATGTCAGTCCGTCTGGAATAATCTTGCCGTTTTCTCATTGATTTCCATGCCCAACTGAGCACAAAACCGTCGAATTCAGCGTCAAGTGGGGATCACGAAGCATGGGGATGTGCGGCCACTAGCACCCGCTAGGAAGTGGGGCCGTTATTCCAATTGTTCAAGGCCGCCCCGGCCAAACGGTTCTGGGAGAATGGAAGCCAAAAAAACCGACTGTGGCATCGAAAGAGGAACCCGACGCCCCGGTGTAATTTCCTTCAATAGGTAATTGGAAGAACACTCCAACGTCCCCGGCCACAGTTACCATTGGGTCTTGATTGAGGCTTGGCCGGCCGGACTCGGCTCGGCGGAGGGGAAGAGGGCCAGGCCGGGCCAGACACTGAAAAGAAGAAAGAAGACAAAGGAACTAACAAAACAGGAAGAAGGCAAGAAATGTTTGTTTTGGCGGCGAGAAGGGAAACCACTTAGAACGGTGACAAATGGGAAGGCGCACCGGAGATAACGTGTGGGAAGCACCTGCAGAAGTCGCAGCACGGTCTTGTTGCCACAAACACCAAAGAACGGGAAAGCACAATCAGGTCCAGCTAGAGTGGATCCTCCAGTGCCAGTTACTCAAATAACTCAGATCTACATACTAGACGAGTTACTTAGAGTGGAAGCGAGAGACCTGCAGACCACGACAAGACGCCCGTAAACCGGCGCGCTAAATTTGTCACCGCGTCCACAGCGCAGAATACGTTCAAGACACCGTTGCTGATCCAAAGAAGAAGAAAAAACAAACCACTTAAGGCCCAAGCCCGAAAGATGGCGCGTTCGGTGGACGGCGGACTTAGGTGCCTGCCCGATACAGAATAAGCTCGGAGATCAAGTCTCAGTTGTGTCGGCGATCCACACGTGCTGAGACTGCGAGGTGGTGTTGTTTCTGTCCGTTGGTTGGTGGCCACTGGCGCATTTCCTCTGTTATGTGTCTCGGTGGCTTGACGGGAGTCACAAACAACGCGTTTTGTGGACGGAAAGAAGGAAAACACTCCCTGCACGGTGAAACCAAAACGCCAATCTCATACACGGATTGTACCATGGAAGGTATGGAACGCCTCGCAGGGAGCATTTTGGACAGTGTGATTCTGAGACGGAGACGACTCCGGCTGTCTTCGAACAGGCTATCTAGGCTATGTTGAGTTGAAGAAAATTGATGTGTTACTTCGCATTGTGATTGCTTCTGTTTCAAACCACAAACCGCCACTTTCTATCGTTGATCTACGGCCTGCGTGTGCCTCGGGTTCCACCAGCCTTGCCAGGCAGTTTGCGGTGCCACCTCGAGAGGAAACGGTCAATCACTTGCAAGCACGTCACTTGAGGGAGAATTAATCATGTGTAGGACAATCGGTTGAAGAATGTGGGTGGACGAAAACCACCCAAGAAAGCTAGAGAGCTAAACATACAACAAAAAACCCCATGGCTGGACGGACGCAACGAAGAGTGAAGCCAAGACCCCGACTCTCCTCATCTACCCAGAAGAAAACGCGAAAGTGTTGTGAGAAAAAAGCTAAGTTTTGTCCAGAGCCTCAGCGGCGTGAGCCTGTCTGTCCGCTAAGGCTGTACAATTACAACGAGTGTAGAGAACCCGAAAGATGTCGTGAAATGTGAGTTTTTGTAGAGCGGGAAAAAAGCAAAAAATCGAAATCAAAACGCCGGTGTCCTCCCCTTCCCATGCTGGCAAACATCCTCCCTTGAGCTGCGGCTGCTCCCAGTATCACCCCCATTCCTGCCAGCCAATCCGGCTTCCTGAAAAGTTGAGACTTTGTGTTTTCCTTGCCAAACCATGCGATTCCACCGTAGAAAATGGCAGGGAAAAGAGGCCAAGTACAGTGGCTGGGAAAATGGTGATGGTACATTTCAGAAAAAAAGAACGCCCGAAGAGGAAAAGGGATGCGCAAACGCCGAAGATACATCCCATCCATTGAAATCGCTTCCGTGGGATGGGTGTGGCCCGAGGACCTTCTCCTGGCGGAGGGACGAGGGGCAAACAAAAAGCGCCGTGTGGAGATGAGAACCAAGTCTTTGGTCATGGCGGCGTCTCGAAATGTGGAGTAAAAAAGTACCCGCCCTCTTGTATGATGATGACCTTTTTGTCCTCCGGTGTGATGTTTGCAGAAAGTCATCGTTGTCGTCGTATCGGACATCAATGGCGACGGCACGTTCCAAGAAAAAGTGCGTGAACCATCGGCATTGTGAAGAGTGTGCGAAGAAGTGAAAGGGGTTTGGGTGTGTTCCCGAAGCTACACGGGGTACCAAGTGGGGATTGATTAGCTACCTATGGGTAGGCATTGCTCACTCGGACCGCTTGCGCTTCTTCTTGCCATCGTCACTTCCCTCATCGGACGACAGCTCGCTGCCACTGCTAGTGGGGACGTCGGCGGCCACCTGAAAGAGGACCTTTCCAAGGGTGAACTCATCAGCGCCCATCATACCAGGCGCTCCCATCAGGCCGGGATGCCCATAGGCACTGGTAAGACCAGCAGCAGCCATTGCTTCCGAATCGTCGAGAAGGTTCATGACAACAGCACCGGCGCCGTGGGTACGGGCGTGTTGCGCAAGGTTGTCAGAGCGCGAGAACTTCTTGCCGCAGTCACCGCACTCAAAGGGCTTCTCATGAGTGTGGAGCGACCGGTAGTGGCGCTTGAGGTGCTCCTGGCGGCGGAACCGGCGGTTGCAGATTTCGCAAACAAAAGTCTTGGATGGGTCCTCGGTCAATGATTGCTTGCGGCCGCGGCGGCTGGTGGGAGCGGGAAGCGGCGTCGAGTCGGCATTCTCAGAACCCGAGTCGGTGTCGTTCTTAGCCTCAGTGGCATTGGTGCTCGCGCTGTCGTCGTTGCTGGGTGGGGACTGGCTTTGGGTGTTGCCCGATTGAGACTCGGAAGCGGCGCTCATTGTGATGGTGACGCTCTTCTTTTGGCGCTTGTGGCGGTGTGAGTCGCAGTCGTCAGTCGAGGTCGCCGAGGTGTGGACGTCAGTGCTGAGCGAGTCGAAGTCACTCGACTCTTCACCGCAGAGGAAGCTGGAAGCGCTGAGAGAGAGCGCGTCGGAGCTGGCACGCGAGCGGGAGATCTTGACGTCAGCGCAGTCGCCGAGGTTGACAAGACCGTTGACGAAGTCGTCCTCGGAATCGAGATCGGAAAGCGAGTCAAAGGAGGGCAGGCTATGGCAGAGTTGCGAATGGAACTCAAAGCCAGCGTCGGTCGAAATGCCAGTCGAAGGAGACGCGCCCCGAAGCACAAACTTTTGGTCCTCGTCCTCGCCGGCGCACAGCGTCGGAAGTGCAGAGAATTCAGGTGCGAGGGTCGAATTGACGGTCCCAACTGTGAGGTTCCTAGGGTCGCAGAAATCGTCCGACGAAGTCGACTGTGCGTACGGAGAGGGCGAGGGCGAGAGCGACGGGCAGGAGGATGCGGGAGAAAGGAGGTCGCAAGCTTGGGTGTTCAGTGGGGCCATTTTGGGCGCTGGTGCTTGCGAAGGCAAGTACACTGTCTGGGGGTTAGCGAAGAATTCGGAAGCTTGGGCCAGGCCCGCAAGCGCCGTTTCCATTCCCCATTCCGCCCTCACTCGGGCATCCACCTAACCTTCCAAGTTACGAGGAGCAGAACCAACAAATTCCGGGAACAGGGAAAAGGAAAACATCGCAACATAGACTTACCAGGCGTCAAAGGGGGCGATGCGCATGCAGCCCAGTCAATGCTGGGGAAACTCTCCAACTCGCCATCCATACCAGCCTTGCCGTCGAGGCCGGAGAACATGGGGTTCAGCGGCGTCTGGAGCATGTCACAACTGCCAGGGCTGCTGATTACACTGCCTGACGATGAAAGCGGTGGCGTAGATGGCGAGTACGGGCCTTCAAAATCACCCACCTCCGTGTCCAGCACGATGGTCGGCTTGGGGGCAATGGGCATGGGGGATGCCACCGGGGTCAGCGTCGAGGGCAGCATCGGAACAGTCGCGAACCCCTTGGGAAGCAGTGCTGGTTGAGACGATGACGAGCTGGGTCGCGAGTAGGCAGGGGTCGACGGGAGCGGCGCCACGATCGGGAGTGCAGACATCTGCTGCAATGCCAAGGATGGTTGGTGCTGATGCTGCTGCTGCTGATGGTGATGTTGCTGCGGGATGAAACGGCCGTGCTGGCGGCTCTCCGGGCTGAGGTCCGGGCTATAGAAGAAGAAAGCCGGGCCGTTCGGCTGTGCTGTCATCATGGTCTCCATTGCGGTGGTGCTGCCCAGAGTCGTCAGTCCAGCTCTCGTGTGACGAATGCGGATCTGGGTGTCACCAACCGGTTAAGATCCTTCTTATGTGTTGGTGTCGTAAGGTATTAATTATGTATATATGTGGGCGTAGTTGTACAGTTGTCGTTGCAAGCGTCGCGGGTTGCCAATGGCTCAAGGATTGTGTGGGGTCGATTCCGGTGGTGTAAGGAATGGATGGTAGTTGTGACCTGGAGGGATCAAACAACTAACCGTTTACTGGTCTCGAGGATTGTTGTACATGGACTCGTCTTCGGATGTGCTGGTGTCCGTCTTACTTCCCTATCGTGGCATGGACGTCGAAGAGGTTTGGTGGTATGTGGATGGGGTGTGTGAGAGCGAGAGCGAGAGAGGGAGTTGAAGTGGGCTGAGAGGGACTGAGTTGATAGAGCTAAATGAAGGACAGGAAATATATTCCCAAAAGGCTCGAGACCGGAAAGAAACAAGAACCGACAGATGAAGCAAGAAGAAAGAGGGGATCACGCGTCTTGGTCGACAGATCTGCCCGTGGTGAGAAGAAGGAGGGTCAAGAAGGGAAGCCCTGGTGGATATGTACAAGACCGACCTCCAGATCAACGGCGGAGAGGTTGCAATGGGTTGGTGGGTGGTGCCCGGCGAGGAACCAAGCGAGACGATGCAGCCATGGGTGGGTGGATTGACAAGGGCAGGGACAGGCGGCCTTGCTGGACCATACCCTGGCTTTTTGCAACCCCTGTCCGCATGCCCTGTGTGTCTGGGGCAAGGTGGAGCACCATCAGATGGGTGGGTGTCTGGGTGGAGGCGCAGCGACCAGCAGGAAAGTTCTAAATCAGGACTGGCTCGAGATTTTTGGTTCGGCCATGCCCTCGGAAGTACCATTGAGCTCGCGGTACATCGACCCACCAAGCCGAAATGCAAGCGGTGGGCGGTGCCTGCACCATCCAGCCGAGGTGCTCGTTGGGTATTTCCTCTCAAGGCCCTTTGAGGATCATGTCGTATCTGGAGAGACCCCCCATCTCCCCACTGCTCGTCGTCTTGTTGGTTGCTCGCTCGTCGATTTGCCCCCCTCTTCCTTTGAGCTCCATGACTCTCTCCATCTGGAAAGTCAGACGCTTGAACGAGCTGACGACGAAGAAGCTGTTTACCGAGTGGAATTGCCACTTCAGAGCCCGCTACTCCGTTAGCACGACGCTGGTGAATCCGGAGCGTGCGCTTTGGGTCCACGCTACTTGGCCGATGCATCGCTGGCCCTACGATCTCAGGCGCTTTCTCGCTTTTCGTGGGTCATCGTCAGTGACAGCGACGGCAGGATCCAATCCGAACGCTGGAGAACGTCAAAGTCGCACACACAAGCGTGCTTTCTGGCGGGCGCAGTGCATGAGCGCTGGCCAACTAGAGGCACCGAACAAATGCACGATGCCGACCGTGATGACCTCTCCGCCTGTGATAGGTTGATGGTACATGTACCACCCAGGCCTCCCACCACAGCAATTGCAATTCAACCGAGGCGCTGAGTTGAAAAGGTTTGTCGGGCACACCCATTCGCCGCGTCAAGCTTTGATCACATCCCGTCCGTTTCTCGTCTCGGCCAGTGATAAGTACAGCAGGAGCGCTGCAGGTACGAACACCACAATGAGGGAGGCCGCCATTGCGCATCACGAGACAACTAAACGCGCCTACGAGAAGAATGTGTCGGTGTTGCCGCCCAGTTCGTTGATCACTTGATTGCCGAGAAGTAGAAGGTTTCTTCCAGAGAACCACTGCCACCTTGGTGGCCTCCCGCGCGCGTTTGAGGGCTTTGGGATCGCCGGTTTGCGAAGTGCGGGACGGGATGCGCAAGCACATCTCTCTGTTCTGCCCTTTGCCCGTTCGAAACAGCAGTAAAAACGGGCGATAGAAACCCGGCGAAAACATGCGGCGAATCATCCCGCGTAGGGCCAAGAATAGCGAGCATTGAACTGATGACCAGGTAATCCTCCGACTTGTTTATGCCGCTCCCGAGATCCACGTTTCTTTATTCATCGATGCGTCCTATTACATAGTAATTAAGTGTGTCAGATTCGGGGAAATCTTGCCTGCGACGTCTGCAATGTAGTGAAGGAACATAAAGGTAATTCGTAATGATGTCCGGAACTAATTACATCGGTCGCAAAAATATAAACTGGGACTCTAAGCATATTGCGGGGGCCCTTCGGCACACTACCATGTTATCAGTGTCAAACATGTCGTCTTATGGCGGTGGTGTTGATTGAACCTTGACAATCATGGGCAAGGCCACGCAGATCCCGTTAGCGGCAAAGTTGAGGGTACCGGTGAGACCAACCATCCAACACGGGACGAAATGATTTGCATCTTCGCCAACAGTGGTGGTCATATCGTCGTCCAGTCAGTCCGTGGACTCCCGTCCCGCGAAAGGTTGCACCGCTCAGCGGTTGCGTTGAGAAACTTGAAACAGCCGAGCAGGCGGCTGCCAGAAGAAGACGCACGGCGATCGCGGCAAGTGTGGTTGCTCGAACCACTCAACGCCAGAGAAATGTCAAAGAAAATTTTCGTCACCTTCTCATGGATGGGTGACCGTCCAGTGGGAAGGTGCGATGAGTTTGGGGGGCGTCAAAGCCCCTCCATGCAACCACTCAGGGCGCACCTGCCACTAATACGCAATGTGATAACGAGTTCTCAGATGCGCCTTCCACGGGCTTGCGTATGCCTTTCACAGCTGACTTCAGCACAAAACCACTAAACCAGTGTAAGTGGTCTCATCAATATCCATAGCCACCACCACTCGCGTCTCTTCGGACGAAAAAGGCTTTCCCTAGCCCAACGTGAGCTGAAACCATCCGGTTTCCACGCCTCCAACCAAAGGCGTGCTTTTCGGATGAATCGAGGCAAATCACGGCCCACGGCTACTAGTATCCTGGAGATTTGGGAAGCCCAGCTAATCACCCTACGAACAATCCGAATTGGTCGCCTACTGATCCCAGCGCACCTATGATGACTTACCCAGCAACGAAAGCTTTGAACCGCACTCGGCGGAAAGCTCATGGTACGTCCAGAAGGCGAACAGCCCGTTTGACTTGATGCGGGCGTCGACCAAGTGCTCATTGCTCACCGCAACATCCTCTATCACATGTGGCTAGTTATCGGCAAACAAAAGATCCCTTTTGGCTGATCATCCCCAGTCGGCCGGATATACAACTCCGGCGCCTCACCGTCAAACATCAGGCTGTCCAAATTGCACGCCTATGTTGTGCTCGTCGCATATCCACAGTGCTGTTCCACGCCTCGAAAGCTGGGTGAACCGACACAACTCAAAGCCCATCGCCGAGGATGAGGGTGAGTTAACTTAAAGCCAACCATGTTCCTGAAATCCTAAAGCGACGTCGACGACTCGTAGACATAATGTTGCCGTTAGACGGGAAGCGTTAGATTCTAATAAGCTGGCCCCGAAGAGGCACCCAAGAACAGTTTCCCCGGATTTTCACATGAGAAGACCGCTTGTTGGTTGCAGCCCACCCGTCTGCAGGTGCCAGGGTCTCAACACGACTCTGTGCTGCAGGACGTCAAGGTTGGCTTGTACCGGTACGTTCCCCTGCTCACGGACTTGCGACCCCCGCATAGCAGCAATCTCGCCCGCCACAGGTAACGAGCTCCCGGACACCGTCGCCTGATGCAAAGCCCTCCCCTCTTCCCAGATGGACGGAGGCTAGCCGGGCCTTGGTCCCAAAGAGGCAGCTCGCGGCGTTGTTCGGGAAAGACAAAGAAGACGGTTGGAAGGAATCCTCATCGGCCCGTTGCGCAGCGGAATGTCGTCGTTTCCCAGAAAACCCGGTCATCGCACGAGTTCGGTCACCCAAGATGGAGATAGCCCCCAAAGGGGGTTTCACTCGACATTCTGCCCTGGTTGCCTGGTTTCTCTTGTGTGCTTTGCCCGCAAAACCCACCCTGCACTTGCTGTTCCTTGCATGATGCCACAATGCAGGTACAAATTGTTCCGGAAAAATTTGGCAGCTGGCAGCATCCGTCAGGCTGCCGCTGAGTGGTGCATGGCACATGGACGTCGCCAAGATACCGTCGCACGGACTTGCGAAGGTCGCTGTTCCTGTTTCGGATCGTGGACCAAGAAGCCCTCCTCCATCAGCTTCGCCAAGTTTTTGGTGGGTTCTGTCGGTCTCGAACAATGCAACCAACATCCTGCTGGGAGAGAAGATACTACATTATGGTACACGACAGTGGATACGCACGACACGATACGAGAGCTTTCCACATCCACCTCATTCCGTCGTACTCCATCAACAACCCCCGCATAAACACCCGAGTCGTCGGACGACAGGCTTGCGCGCGGACTTGGCAGCATTTCGCCACCATCCAGCTGGGTCGTGGTCGCGTCGTGTTGACACCGACGGACAACAAAGGCTCAACGCCGCCAATCCGTTTTGGATTATTTAGGCCAGGAACTGACAAGACGCCAACATCAATCCGGTGGCACGTGCATATGAACGCTGATCCTAAGCACAAAAGGTCGGTTTTCTTTCCCCGCTTTGCTAACGTTAAACAAAAAATCGGAAGGAAAAGAAAAAGAGCGTGGAGGTCGCTCCAGACCTGAAACCACACATGCGCAAATTCGGCCAATTCCTCGTGCACGTGGATTAGATACCGATTTGCACAGGCTCCCTCAAAAAAACTCTTCACGTTGTAAAATTTGGGGGCTCCCACACACGTGGACTTCAAGATGGAAAACCCTCACGAACGTATTCCCCTTCGGTGTGTCAATCAGGTGGATGTGGCGGTCAGCGTGGCCGCCGAGGAAAATGTTCCACAGACACCAAGCTTCGAAGCCTCCCCGGCGCCCTGGAAATCTGGTACGGGACGGTTAGCGAACGGCCGCGGGCCTCGCGACCGATTGGCAGTCCCAAGGATCCCGATAGCAGTGGCGGGCTAATCCCCAAAACAGGAGAACTGTTCCGCGTCTGTGACCTCCCCGG